AACTCCACCTTGGTTTTGCACTCCTTCAGAATCCTCCTCTTCCAGGCCTGAAGGTACTATGGGCATTATCAGATAAAATTATCTTTGCTAATGGACCAATTAGCTCTTAACATTACTTCTTTCGAATTATAAATAATGTATTATTTAATAATACTAACTTGCCTGGGCCAAGGTAAAACTGTTTGTGTCTCCAAGAGGTCTAGACTAGGTTTTTCAGGCACTGCAGCATGCCAGGGGAGAAGTATTCAGCACTTCTCCATGGCTGTCGGTCAGTCCAGGGCTGGAGAAGACGACATGGTCAGAGCTTCCACCACGGCCAGGCTCCCAGGATAACAGTGCCCTGGGTTCGGAATTGAAGGCTCCCCGTGCTATAATCAGGTCGGTAGCTAGAGAACCAGACTGGCATGTCAGTTTTCTCTATTTATTGCTGAGTCATAAATAGATGAGTCCTTCCGTCCTCTCGCTATCCTAACAGGCCACCACCTGCCCAAGGAGCAGTAACTAATCACAAAGAATTCAAGGACGTTCAGCACTCACAAAAGGCTTGGTACAGAGTAGAAAACAGAGGATTGAATACGGCAAATCTTTGGGAAATCTCTGGGATGACCACAGAACTATGGCCACTTCTTGGTCTCAACCAAGCCTGTGTCACTGCAAATGCACTATTTCACTCTAATTCAGGATCTGCTTTGACTTCTTACTAGTTTTTGCTCTGAGGTTACACGCATAGTCAATTATCCCAGTGAGAACAAACACCAAAATCACCATTACTTAAATGGACTCCATAAAGTAAACATCAAAACAATTTACTGACTACAGAAATGGGGAGGCGGGGAAAGTAGAAGAGAAACAGGAATCTCTGTGTGCCAGTTAAACAGACCCAAGTTCTCTATAATCAATAAATTAAAATTTTGTGAAATTATTTTTTAAAAAATAAACAGGCCCAAGTACCCTACAGACTCTTAGCCATTTCCCAACACACACACACACACACACACACACAAAATGGCACACCTCCTCCCTCTCAGCCCCTTGTGACTGCATTGTTGTGACACCTCTTCCTCTTCAAAGTCTGGTCTGGCATTTATTTTGGACCCAGATCCCATGCACTAAAGTACTGAAGAAGGAATTCCCCTCAAACGACTCCCTCCATGTCCTTAGAAAGACCCTATGACACACTCAAAAGGGGCTTTTTTGGTGTAGGAAGCTGGAGCTTCTGGAGCGGCCATGGCTGGGCACTGACTTTGAGGTGACACTCCCCCGCTGACCTCACAGCCTCCCAGTATGACCAGGGAACAGGGATCAGGCACCTAGAGCAGGACAGAGTGAATCATGCTCAGCACAGGGCCCAAATAAACACAAATCCCTGTCCCATGTCCCAACTACCCAATGCAACCACCACTTCGTGAGGGGCAGAGGCGGCCTCCAGGACCTGTCTGTGGCTGACTGAACTCAGGCAGAACTGTCGGCCACACTCCCTCCTCTCACCATCTTCTCTTCCCAGGTTTCAGTACTGGACAACATGATCAAAGACGGCACACGCCTTCGTGTTTGCTAGACCTGCTGGATGATTTCTATGGATACTGAGCAGCACCGCTAAGAAATTAAAATTCACTTTCACTTTGATTCTCACCAGCATGCTTTCAGGTATGTATGTGCTATTTTCAAAAGATCCAGAGGGGGGCAGTAATACCAAAGAAATGCCAGCTGCTGGTAGCTTCTCCAGCTTCTCTGCTTTTGTTTATCATGACCTGTTCAGCACTGACGGTAGTGTAGAAGGAAGAGCCTGAGAGCCTGTCAGACAAAACTTTACCTGACTCCCAGCTCCGCAGGGCAACTTCTCTCTCAGGGCCTGCTTCTGGAATGGAGAGGATCTACGCAAAGCCCCAGGCACAGAGCCTACCACACAATAAAGTGCATATAAATAGCAGCTGTATCAATCACTAAGCCTGCTTGAACTGATAAGACCAACAGGAGTTCCACAGGAGAAACAGAAAATGCCTATCCCTCTTAAGAGCTGTTGGTGGGGGGAAGGGTCAGGAATTACCTGAACACAATCTGTAAAAGAGAATTAAATTAATCCCCACTGATGATGAAAAGGTCTTCAATGTTCAGTCAAGTTCTTTGAGCCAAATTCAAAACACTCTTCATCTGGATACTCCATCTCCTTCTATAATCCTTGAATTCATGTATTCAGCAATTATTTAACTTTATATTACGTGCCAAGTAACATGCTTTGGAAAGCCATCCCTTGAAAACACAATGCATGTTTGTAGCCCCACTGATACGAAGACTCATTTTAGTTCCCACTGAATCCACTTACCACGTCATCCATGAACACTTCTTGTAGGATAGTGATGGTCTTTTGAACTTAATATTGGAATGCATGATTTCACAAAGGTCTTTCTGATTTGTGGACTTAATTTTAAATTCAGCAGCATTACACTATATGCCAGGCACTGTGAGTTATTAAAAATATAAAAATTAAAGCTGCTGCCTCTGCCTTTGAGGATCTGAGACTAGAAGGGGAATCAGACAAGAATTAGCAGCTATTATAAAGGGTGACAAATGCAATGACAGTAGCCCAAGATGCAGGACACAGCTCACCTAGTGGGATGGAGGAAGCCATCCCCAAAGAGGAGATGTCTAGGCTCAGACACGAAGGATTAGAAAGGGTGATCCAGGGTGGCAGGGTCCAGGCAGAGAACAGCCTGGGATGGAGGAGCCTGAGAACAGGACACGACCAGGGATTTGCAGGCAGCAGGATGCTTGTGGGGGCTTGGCTGTTGGGAGATGGGTGAGCAGGCGGGAACCAGCTCATGAAGGGCCTTCTCTGCATTGACAAAGAAGCCAGTTTTCTGAAAGTGATGGGCAGCCACTCAAGGATTTAAGCAAAGAAGTGACATGTGACTTGAGTTTTAAGTTCATTCTGGTGGCGATAAGGAGCTGATCTGTGGCAATGTAGCTGGGAACACGGACCAGTTAGGAGAATATAGCATGGATGCCGCAGCTAAATGATGAGCCCTTGAGCTAATAATGAAAAGCAGGCTAACATCAAAAAAATTTTAATGTAAATTATAAGGCAAATCTTGGGATTTATATACTTCTTCAGGCCAAGTCACTACAAGAAAACACAACATAAATACTCCAACTGGAATAGTTCAAATAGCTGTAGATTAAGAGTTAGAAGACAGCATGTTCTCAACCTGCTCTCTGCTATTTTTTGGTTCTGCAGTCATGGAAACGTTTACTCTGAATCTCCTTTTTTCATGTTAAAAGTGGCAATCACACTACCTGCCCTCCCTACCTTGGAAGTTTCTTCTAAGGATCATCATGTAAGAAAATATGAGGACTTGTTTGCCCTGGGAATATTCTTCTATTCATCTAGGCCAATGATTTCAACCGGTGTGCCACCGGGACTGTCACTACATGCAACACCGGACTATTTAGTCAGGGGCACTGACCTCCTTTCCTTTAGATTATGAAATAAGAAAATGACAACGACCAACACAACAGTAGCCAGCCAGTGTAAATGAATCGAAAGTGTATCATTTTTTGTCAGATCAGCAAAAAATGTATTTTTTTGGTGTGTTGCAGAATCTTACCAAAAAGTTTACATGTGCCATAAGATAAAAAAGGTTGAAAATTGCTGATCTAAGTCAACTTCTTACTAATGATTTGAGAAATTTCAGGTCATTCAAAACTCAATACACATGTGTAAGCTACATATAAAAGGTTAAATTTCATTGCCTGTCGTCTACCATAAATACAGTTAACAATGCATAACATTAAGAAATTCTACCCTAAATGTATTGCAAAAACACTGAGGCTATACAAATTTTGATCATTTCAATAATTTATATCTGGATAAATTACCTTTGCAAATAGATTAGGATTATTCCAGCAACTATAAGCATAATAATGTGTGATGCAACAAAAATTATCAACAGTATAAAATAAACTTTTAAATCTGACTGTACTGTTGACGCTGATAACAGCTATGGGATGGTGACCTAGTATTTTTTTTAACAACTTGACAGCCTCTAAAATGAAGTTGATTTTAACAACATTGATGGGATGCCCAAAATTTGCTAGGCTGCTCCTTTAACAGTCACTAAAATCGATTCCTGCTGTCAAACTACATTCGATCACATAAATATCAACTGAGCACCTAACCGGGGGCCAAGGACTACGCCAGGCACTGCACAGGGACGAGCAGAGCACCAGCCTGCTCTCAAAGACTTCCCAGTGCCACACTCACACATGCACCCTATATGCGGATGACTGCGGAAACATTCCTAGTCTTTAGTATTTTTACACCTTGCTTTGCTTTAGATTATGTGCCTTAGTTAACATATGATGTGGATATCATCAGGAAAAAAACTGAAGCATTAAATCTAAGGAGGATGTGACTTTTCAATTAACCAGTATAGAAAGTCTAGTTGTAGTGTCACAGGTTCAATTCCAGTCAGGGTACATGCCTGGGTTGCAGGCCACAGCCCCCAGCAACCGCACATTGATGTTTCTCTCTCTCCCTATCTCCTTCCCTTCCCTCTCTAAAATTAAATAAAATCTTAAAAAAAAAAGTCTAGTTGAAAGTCTCCTTTCAACATAAAAACTAAAAATATATATCCTGCAACTAAGTAGTTTTGTTAGTGAGCTGACACAATGACATTAAAAAGTCTTAGAAAGAACCAGTCTAGTTACCTGTGCAACTCCCTCCATACAAACACAACTTTACTCATGTGCTAACGAAGCAACCTTGTCATTGCGCTTGCAAAACTCATGAAAATACAAAATGTATCTACAGATACTGAAATATGTATCTACGTCCAACATTGTAAATGACTTATAAAATACTGATCTTTACAAGTATACCTCATTTATATCTTTATTTTCAGAAAAGACTTATAGTTTACTTGAATATATTTCTCACCAGTTAAATCTCGATTCATTTTATAGTTAATTAACTTATATCCAAAGATTGTATTTTCCTGTGATTTCATTTTCTTAAAAAGAGAACAAAACACTTTATTTCAATAGAAAAAAATGTACAGTGAAAGTCAGACAATAATTCCAGTAAAAATGGAAATCAACCATCATATCTTTTCTTGAGTTCTTCAACGGAATTACCCTTCAATCCTGATTTCTCTATGTGATTGAATAATACACGTACAACTGAAAAAGAAAAAAAAAGTGTCCATTTTAATCTCCATTTTTAAAAACTCAGTGAAAAAAAATTAAAAGGAATGATCTTATGTGTCAAATAAAATACTCTACATTGGGAAGCAATAATCATTAAGATTATTTATAAATTCTAATTCAGATATTTAAAAAAGCCAACCTGAGAATAGAAAATTATACAGTAATTCAATAATGTTTCTTACCAGAATATTTTGCTTTAGTTGTAAAAAATTTCCCAAAGACCTCAATGACATTAATTTTGCAGATTAACCTTAATTCATTTTGAGCTTCGTAAAACTTTTACTGTATTTAACAAGTGTACTCACACTTAGGATTATCATCAACTGTTTTTCAAACTTAAATCATTTTAGAAGAAAATTTTGTATCACTACTCTAAATTGAAAATTAGCAGTAATATCTACAAAATCATGTTCGATGGGTCAGTTATACAGTTGTATAATATATAATAAAACAAAGTATATAACCATGAAGAGTTGACAGATCTTCCTGTGTACCACATAAAATCTTTATATTTCTCACCACTGAATGGTCCACAATCATCCCTTTGGAAATTGCTGTTATAGTTCATCTATTTCTCCACATTAGAACTAGCTAATAATTGTTAATGATAATTGTGACAAAAGAAGATAACTGCAGCTAATATTTATTGAATGTTCAGTTACATGTCAGGACCATAAGTGTTTCCCATGTTTAATTCACTGGACAGTGGTGACCCGACTGAGACAGAAAGTCAGTCTGAAGAGCCAACTCCCATTTCCTTGAGTACAACTGAACTTACCACATTATGGTGGCAAGATGGAAATGTATTCACTCAACATGCTTAAGCTGAAAGATTATTAGGTACTAAGCACTGTTCTATGCCTAAGGCCTAGAAAACAGGGTAGACAAAGTTCCTGCTCTCATGGAGCTTTCATTCTATTAGGGAGAGAAATAATAAACATGTACGTGAAATACCATCAGCTAGTTATGTATTATGAAAGGAAAAAAAGCAGGGTAAGAATACACAGGGTGGCAAGAGAGGGTAGGCAGGCACTTATTTTAACTAGGGCTGGTGAGAAAAGGCATCTCTGGAGTGGCATCTGTTAGGGGAAACTTAAATGAAGTGAGGAAGCAGGCAAGGTGAAGATATGTGGGAAGATACAGGGTCCGACCCAAATAATGCCTTTTTCATTACAAAATCATAGGCACGTGATTCTGTAACATGACAATATCACACTCAAGCACACCATATGACATTTTAGGTGAAATGCTCAAATTGCTGTCCATCTCGTGAGAGGCAATCACATACCCTGCCAACCACAAGCAACTCAAGCAAGCCTTACTTCAGCTGGACCCTGCATTCTAGGCTGAGGGAACAGCCAAATGCAAAGTGCTGGAGGCTAAATTAACTCTGGCAATTTGGTATATTAAAAAAACACAAAGTAGTGTGGTGGGGCACAGTGACTGAGAAAAGTGGTAGAAGATAAGATCAGAGTAGTAATAAGTAAGAGTAATAGTTCTCAGGAAATTTCAGGGATAATTTTTGATTGACTGAATTTAAAGCAGAAACTTCTTTTGGTTTAAACTCAAAAAATCTCTCTAAATTTAAGTACAACATAAAGAGTATTTCTCTTACTAATGTCATTTCTCCCATTCAATGTCATTGCTGGAAACATAAAGAAATAAGGAGCCCAGAGTACATTAAACCTAGGAGATCTGAAAGTGGTACAGGTTTTTGTTATCTTTAAAAAAACTGGTACTCTGGTATTCTATGATTTTTCTCTTTTCCCTAAAACTACAGTACAGCCCAAAGTTCTAAGTAATTGAAGTTTCTGCAGAGTTTGATCTTATTTAAATTAGGGTTTACCAAAATGGATACTTTCTGCCAAAGATTGAGATATAAAAATAAGGGATCTAATTCTTCAGGCTCATCACCTGCCACTCTTTACCCCTGTAACTCTACAATCCAGCCACACTGCACTTCTCTTAATTTTTTGAAACTCAGTTGGCTCTTTCCTGCTTCAGAGCCTCAGAACACATCATTCCCTCGGTCTAAAACTCTTCCCTACCCACTCCATCTAACTGAATCCTGCATTTCTTTGAGAATTGGGCTTAAACCAAATAAAGTCAAGGAAATATGCTCTCACAGAAGGGGTTAGATTTCCAGTGCACCCACGCCCAGTTATGCCCCACGTAGCAGGGAGCCTTTACATATTCCATGATGGCAGGAGCCCAACCATTCTGTTATTACTGCATTTTCACATAGAACAGGCCAGGCTCCAGACCGGGACTGCCTACGTTTAAATCTTGGGTCTGACTTCCTTAGCTATATGACCTTCACCACTTCCCTTATCACTCCGTGCCTCAGTTTCTTCCTCTGTAAATGCAAAACACTAATCATACCAACACCTCATAATGTTACTGGCAGGATTAAAATTTTCAATTTTACTTAATTTAATTACAATTAATTTAAGTTTAATTGGATGTACCTTGGACATAGTAAACGTTCAATAAATGTTTGCTATCATTTGTTTAAAAATTAAGGGATGTAAGACTACAGAGAGATGGAAAAGCTTCCATCATAGAACTTACTTCTTTTCTCAGGTTCTGACATAAACATCACTGCCATGTCAAACCTTTTCAGTTCAGAAAGCCTTTGTAAAATTTCCAAGATGAGTGATGGCTTTTCTTTCCTGAAATAAACCAAACAGCAAACAAGTGATCTGTTAAAAGCAGCTCATTTAAGTCTTTACTAACACAGTATGTCTAATTACATATAAATAAGGTCTTCACTTATCTTTTCCCCTGAATACTGTCTTCAAGAGCTCAGATAAAGAAATTTATCAAATCAATTGAAGAAATTATAATATTCTCAAATGTGAATAAATGTGAATAAACGTCTGGATTAGCACAGACGTTATTAATCTGCTATTAACACTTGTCACTTCCATATCCTATTTTTCTTTAAAAAAATTAGTCCTTTTTCCTCCTATTTAATAATTTCTCTTATTACTGCTTGCACTTATCATCTCTTTACAACTTCTGCTATAGTAAAATTTACTAGAGAACTAATTCTGCTACACAGAATGTAGTAATAATATCAAAACAATTTCCCAAACCACTAGAAATCGCATAGCAGTACAACATGCAAGTATAACTAAAAAAATTTCAACTTACTCAATGTAAAAGTCATGTAGAATTTTAATGATTTGATTGAATACATCTGGATCTAGATTTTTCTGAAACAACTTAGGATACAAGGATGGTTCAATTTTCTGGGGAAAAAAAGTTAGAAAATTAAATTATGGCAACATTCACATATAAATTACTTATATAATAACTGCTTAGGTGAATATAGTAAAGAATAACTACTATGCCCTGGCTAATGTGGCTCAGTGGATTAAGCATCAGTCTGCAGAACGAAAAGGTTGCCAGTTCAGTCAGGGCACATGCCTGGGTTCTGTTGGCGGTGTGAGAGAGACAACTGATTGCCATTTCCCTCACACATCATATATTTCTCTCCCTCTCTTTTCTCCCTCCTTTCCCCTCTCCCTAAAAATAAATAAAGAAAATCTTCAAAAAAAAAAAGAATAATTACTATGCATTAGAGTTACTGGGGCAGCAGGTCACACCGAAATGTAATTAATGATAGAGGAAAGAAGGTCAGAGGCACTGTAAGATAATCACTCCGTACAAGTCACAGAAAAACCTCATGAAGAGAGAGATGCACACCACCCTGAGAGAGACAGGAAATTTGAGAGCTCTAAAGGGGCAATAAAAATGGAGAGTTTAAAAAATAAAATTATATGGTCCTGGCTAGTGTAGCTGAGTGGATTGAGTGCTGGCCTGTGAACCAAAGAGTCACTGGTTCAATTCCCAGTCAGGGCACATGCCTGGGTTGCAAGCCAGGGCCCCAGTAGGGGGTGCAAGAGAGACAACCACACACTGATGTTTCTCTCCTTCTCTCCTGCCCTTCCCCTCTCTCTAAAAATAAATAAATAAAATCTTTTAAAAAATTAAAATAAAATTATATGAGATAATATATATTTGGAAATAACTGTATACTGCATAATTATAAGGGAGTATTACTATAATTACACTGGAGAAAAACTGTTAATCCATTATTCAGTAAATTTCCTGATTTTATTCTTTTTCTTAGAGCAAATAAAAATTCATTTTGAGGAGAATGATTGTCTAAATATTGCATGCATTACCTTGCACAAAGAAGGTATTCAATGTATTTTAGTTTTTTTTCCCATCCTGAAGGATGAAGAATTAAGTTGAAATTATGATATATGAAATCAGATTAAGCTACTTTTAGAGAAGAGAGTTCAAAAAAGAACCTACTTCCAAAAGTTTCCTGGTTGCAAATACTTAAAATGGTCTGGCCAGGGTGATCTATGTGTCAGGAAAGGGTGAATAAAAGCATTTTCTACAATCGTATTACACAAAAAGCAACTATTATTATATAAGGGGGGACCCGAAGAATGGAATTTATTTATAAAAAATTGTGTATTTATTCTTACATGTTTAAACTTCAGTCACCCTCAAATTACTTTCCATTTGATGCAATACACCTAATCGAGACTTTTTTCCCACTGTTCAAAACAGTTTTTGACCTTGTGGATTTTGATACCCTTTAGTGCTTTAGACACAGTTTTGTTTCACCTCTTCCACATCAGCAAAACATTTCCCTTTGAGGACTTTTTTCACTCTGGGAAACAAAAACAGTCACTCAGGGTGAGATCATCAGGTGTATGGGGGGTGGGCATGGGGGTCACACCATTTTTGGTCAAAAACTGCTGACACTCAGTGTAGTGTGGGCAGGTGAGCTCGTAAAATCACCCATCACGAAATGGGCAAATGCACTGAAGAGTCTTCAAAAAAAATTCACTGAAGTTGAACACAGCCTCTCCTGACATCACCACCTGGTGCACTGATGCAGATGGGGTCCTAGAACACTCACCTAGCGGGGGGAAGCCTGTACTGCTGTACAGGCTTGAGTGCAGTGCAAGGCCTGCCCTCTAGAAGATAAATTTGGGGTTTTCTGGGTCCCGGCTTATATAATGACAAAGACGTTCTTTGACCTTTTATTTACAACAGAACTACTAGCTTCTTCTTTCTTACCTTCAAATACTGATATAACATATCTGGAGAACTTTTCAGTTGTCTAAAATCAGATTCAAGCTGAAAGGAGTTTGCAGGAACTGGAGGAAGAACAGTTGTGATAAACTGAGCAGGTATTTTGTCTACCTCTATAGAAATCTTCTCACTGAAAGACTGACATACATCCGGTTTCAAATTAACTCGAGGTCTGAAATATTTCAAAGACATCAAACAATTGAAAAGAACCAAAATTAGTCAAAGCTTATATAAGAAAACATCAATAGAGACTTTTAAATTTCTGATTTTATTAATATTGCCTTATCTATTTACATTCTAATAGTAAATAGCTGGCAATATATTTTGGCTGGCAATATATTTTTTTGCAAGACAGATTATGCCTCTGCAATCTGTTGGGCTATTAGCCTGGCCACCTTTTGAGCACATCATTTCTATACACTGCATTATTGCATCACATACACTTACAACTCAACCTTTCAGAAATATGAATTATCAGATTCAAAAAAGATATTCTGAGAAGGAAGAAATACTTCCTCCTTTAGGAGAAAGAAAAAAACATACCTATTTAGTATTTTCCCACAATCCATACTGTCACTTTAAACAGAACTACTACTAAAAATTCAAAGCTTAAAAAAAATTTCCAATAGGATTGAGTGCAATGCAGAATATATGAATGAAGTTTCAATACCCCAAACAAACCTACTCTATATTTTCCTATTCTCATCATTAAGGAAACACGTGACTAATTTTAAAAATTCCAAACAAAATTTAAACAGCTCACAAATAATCTTAAGTATGAATGGCTGGAGTGATGTTAATGCCTGAATTCTACATTTTTTTAGAATCTTCCTTTTAATAAATTAATTTTTTTGCTGAATTAAGAAGTATGCCCTGGCTGTTGTGGCTCAGTGAATTGAACACAGGCCTGCAAAACAAGGGGTCACTGGTTCAATTCCCAGTCAGGGCACATGTCTGGGTTGCAGGCCAGGTCCCTGGTAGGGGCCACGAAAGAGGCAGCCACACACTGATGTTTCTCTCCCTCTCTTTCTCCCTCCCTTCCCCTCTAAAAATAAATAAATAAAATCTTTTTAAAAATTTTAAAAGAAGTGAAACAATATACTAATGTTCTAGAAAAAAATGAACGAAGTCAATTTGTTAAAGACAGTTTCTTATGATCTCTGACTTCCCCACAACAGTAAAGGAACAGTGAGCACTCCTTATGCAAAACATCTCTGAAAAGAACAAACAAAAAAGAAAAACTAGAAAGTGAAGTTGGACAGTTGAAAAAATTACAATGATTACTACAAACCAAAACTCTCATTGATAATATCAATTTTCTAGGGGAATTACTATATCCTGGATCTGGCTTTACAATTCTAGAGATTATCAAATAAGAGTATTTCCACTTACTCCTGGGCTGAAGTATCACTGATTTCTTCTGTTTTCAATACTTTTGCTTTTGGAATATCACTTGTGGGCAACAGGTCATCCTGGCTTGAACTCTTCTTACTTGCAGTGTTTGTGGTTGCTGTTACATTTGCTAGATTAACAGGATTCCTCTCTGGAGCAGCAGCAGTAGTGCTATCTGGCACATCAACAGTCTGTACCAAATGACCAGTTTCTTCAATAATAACCTTCTTTAGTGGCTTCTAAAACAATTAAAAATCAATTCCTTAAATCAATACATAAAGGTTTTCTATTTTAGGGTTATAAATTAAAAGGTTGCAGTGTTCTTACAGCTAATGTCCTAATTGTAAGTAAATTCCACTTGATGGCTAAACAGACTTAGGAGTCATGCTCTGCCTGAGAATACAAATAAAAAGATGCATAGCATCCACTATACATTGGTCTAAATGGGGGAAAGCATATGTATACGTAAATAAGAACAAGGCAATGGGAGACACACCATAAAAGGTGAAAGGACAAAACTCTAAGAGAACACAGACGAAAATAATAAATACTGGCATTAGCCAAGACCTCACAGAAAAAGTACACAAGAATAGCAGTGTGGGAGATAATTACGGTATGGTCAGTGAGAAGGTGTTAAGTCCAGCGGGGGTGGTGCAAAGGGAGGAGTGATGGAGACAAAGAATGCAAGCAAGATTCCTTAAGAACAGCTAATGAAGGGATTTGCGTCCATGTCAAAAAGTTTGGACTTTATCCTAGAGGCAATAAAGCTAAGGAAAAAATATGACCAAACTGACAGCAATATTGTGGGCTAATGGAGGGCAAGAAGGACAAGGCCAGGCAATAATCAGCATTCCATATGAAACAGACCAAAATTAAAACCTAGGCACATTTTCTATAAAAGCAGCAGCTGGAAAAAACTAGCCCAGGATTAAAGGTTTGCCAAATAATATTTACAAACTCAGGAAGTATTTGACCATAACAATGGTTTTTAATTTAGTAAAATAAATTGCATTCACTATTTCAATCATTACAGTGTCAAACATTTTCTATTTCTTTGAAAGTTTACATACTGTGCTTATTTTTAACAATGAACTTTCTTCAGTATGCTATTAAGTGTTCAATCTAATTGTATAGTTCAATCTTAAGTCAAAAACTTATAAATATAAAAACTTTTGCCCTAGCTAAGTGGCTCAGTTGGTTGGAGTGTCATCCCATACACCAAAAGGCTGTGGGTTTGATCCCTAGTCAGGGCATATACCTAGGTTACAGGTTCGATCCCTGGTCAGGGAAAGTATGGGAGGCAACTGATGGAAGGTTCTCTCTCACATCAATGTTTCTGTTTCTCTCTTTCTCTCCCTCCAGCCCCCCTAAAATCAGTAAACATACACTCAGGTGAGGATTAAAAATAATAAATATTCATTCATTCACTCATTTTAGCAGAAACTAAGCAATCAGGGAAAACTTTCATTTACTACCACCCTATCAGGGACCCACAGGCCCTTGCTTAGCTTACCTACATCAATGGTTTCCCACACCCTCTCTGGAGATTTGCCCAAAGTACTCCCAAGCTGCCAGCCCTTGAAGCACAGGCTACCTTGACCTAGACTCTCACTTGGGTAAAGTAATCAACCTTAGAACTCCCTATTTCCCAGACTCCCTTCTTCTCCTAACCAGTTTCCTCAGTGACCAGGTAGACTCACAAATGTGTGTCTGAAAAGGAAATTAACATTTGTTTCGCCTGACACTGCCTTAGTATTAATGGACATTATTCTTTTGATCTCAACTAATCTGTGAGTTATTTTCAACTTGAGAAACAGGATCACACAGGCACTGAGTAACTTGCCTAAGATTTGAAAGTTCATAAAGAGGGGGACTCAAATCAACTCTCCCAAAGCATTATGCCAAACTGCACCTTCTGTTTTTAAATAATGCCCACATTTTCATTATGGAGGCCTGTTATAAAAATAAACAGCCATTTTCCCCTTTTCTACTAATAATTTTGTTCATGTTAGATCGCTTATAGAATGGTTTACCCCAGATCTCTCATTTCATAGAGGTGTTTTGTTTTGAAATTGTGCCACAAGAGACTAAATTCATGTTGCATCCTCACAACTATTAACATAAAATGATTTTTAAAGTGAGGGAGAAGAGAACCCCACAGATTTGTAAAAGCTTCTGAAAGTATCTTGGCCACGAGACATTACATATACTGATATTTGATATATAACATGTCAATGTCTTTATAAGTACAGACAGGAAAGTCTGCCAAGGCTTTCTTAAAACCTGTGAATTCATTTTTGTGAAGAAGTCTTACAAAGATGTAGAAATTTAAATCACATTTAATTAAACATTTAATCACCTTTACTGAAAAGAATAGAAAATGAATATAACTTATGAAAGCAACTAGATTTATGCCTGATATATGAAACAAGTATTGTCTCAGAAAATTCAAGAATAAAGTCACAATTAGAACAGTGAGGGTGGGGGGGAAGAACAGTGGAAAGGTATTAAACTAAGGATTCATCCATCTGCTACTATTATGAAATATGAACTTGGCAAAACAATTAATTAAAACATGTTTTGCCTCTCTTCCTTTCTTCATAAAAAATAGAATAAAAATATCTGCTCTGATTTCTTATAGTTGTTATTTCTCTCAAAGCAACATCCACGCGTAACGGTTATTCCTCAGGGGCAGGGAGAGGATCATTACCAGTGAGGAGCCTGTGGGGAAATTTCGGGAGCGGGGGAGGGCACTGATGCCTTCCAATTTTTTGACCAGGTTGGTAGTCTCATGGGTGTTCACTTTATAATTATTTTTTAAATCTTAATTTATCTTGTGTACTTTTCTGTATGTATTTTACCTCTCAAATACATATATATAATATCTAAGACTATGTCAATGATGGAAACTACCTTAGAGTCACATTATATAGTTGCCTTAAATGAGTTCAATTTTTAAAGTTTAGCACAAGACAAACTTCTGAATTCATGCCAGCTACTCTTTTTGTTCCAACATTGCAGGAAAAAAACTTAGCTTTGTTATTAGACTTAATGAAAAACAGTATGGTATACCAAAAACAATGTGTAGTACATATTTTAAAACACAATCTTGCCTATACAAGATTTTGCCTAAGTGCTGATTTTTAGACCTAACTCCACATGAGATGGAAAACTATTATAATACAATCCCAATCTCAAATAAGAATAAGAATAAAACATTCTTAAGTATTACAAAATGTAAAGCTGCTTTAAATCCCTTTAATATGAGAAAATATGTAGAAACATTTAAATGTAAGGTATTAAAAACTGAAGGCACTTTAAAAGTTACCCCAGAACTCTCAATAGCTCGATTTCCCCCCTCAACATTATTACATCAATAATCCTAAAAAGTATTTTTTTAAATATTCTAAACATGGCCCTAGGAAGAGATTTCAACGTTTCTGTTAAGAAATTAATTCAACAGCTTCTATCTCCTATCTCTAATACACTGATACAAAGCTGCTTTACTTACAGTTGATCCAAGACGAGGTGGATTATCAATGGGTTTTATCACGTTTTGCCTCTGAGTAGAATCGAGAAAGACATCATCCCAGTGTCCTTTCTCAATTAATTCCTTGAAAATAAATTTGTAATCATGAGAATAAAAATATTATCATTAATTATGCAACAAATAAATGTGTTTATGTTGCAGAAAATAAAAGCATATTTTGGTGAAAAAAATTAATTACCTTTTTAATTTTGGAAAGTTCAGTTACTGCTTGCTTATTTCCAGGTTCCAGAAGTAAAACAGTTTCAAAATCTAAAATGAATTTTTAAGAAATATAATAAACTAGTGAAAACACTTTATAAAGTTCAAGACATGATATATTTAGTTAGTTAAGTAATCCCATGTTTATCTCAAGAAGCTTTACTCAGGATGCTAGGAAACAGGTGAGCGATAACAAGAACTAACATTTACTGAGTGCTGCTTTTGTATGAATTCTCATATATCCCTCACTAAAACCCCACTTTACCGATGATACAACTGAGGCCTAGAGGTCATCCAAAGTTCCCACTGTTAACAAATGGCATGGTAATACAGAATCTAAGATATTTCCATATGATGAAATATTATTCAGCCTTAAAAAGGAACTGAATTGTGATACATGCTACGACATGGATGAAAGGATGAACCTTGAAGACAGTATACTAAGTGAAATAAGCTAGACGCAAAACGACAAAACACTGTATGATTCTACTTATATGAAGTACCTTAGATAGTCAGTCAGGGATAGGAAGTACAACAGTGACTACCAGGGGCTGGAGAAAGAGAATGGAGAGTTATTGTTGAATGAGTACAATTTTCAGAATGAAATGATGAAAAAGTTCTGGAGATGGATAATGGTGATGGTTGCACAAGGTGAATGTACTCAATATGGTTAGAACAGTAAATTTTATGTGTATTCTACCATAATGAACAAATGCATGGGCTACAGCTGAAGCCAGGCTTAGAGAGAAACTGACAGATTTAAATGCACATATCAAGAAAGAAGACTGAAAAACAGTTATCTAAGTACTGTTGTTAAAAAGTTTAAAAAACAGCAAATTACTCGTAAACCTGAAGACAGCTGAAGGAAGAAAATAAAGAGCAGAAATAAAACAGAAAACATACACAACAGAAACAAGTAGGTTCTTCAAAAAGACTAATGAATACTTAAAAAGGCAGATCATGGAACAATAAAAGAACATATAACTGCCCTGGCTGGTGTGGCTCAATGGATTGAGTGCTGGTCTGTGAAACAAAGGGTCACTGGTTCAATTCCTAGTTAAGGCACATGCCTGGGTTGCAGGCCAGGTTCCCAGTAGAAGGCACGCAAGAGGCAAATGCACATTGATGTTTCCCTCCCTCTCTTTCTCCCTCCCTTCCCCTCTAAAAAATAAATAAATAAATCTTTAAAAAAAACAAAACATATAGCTAGTATCAAGAAAAATGGGGAGGAGGCATCACTACAGACCTCACATTATCCTGTACCCTAGCTGCTGGTTCCCTTCCCTTTCATTCTTGCCTTGTTCTTGCTTTTTTCCTTCTCACCTATAGTTCAAATCTTTCATTCATTTCGACTGGCAACTAGCCAGAGTACACTATATGTTATTAAAAGATAATCAGTCTACTACAGAAGCTGCATTCCCTCAAATCTGCCCACCTGTTTATGACCTAAATTATGAAAGAAAATGTACTTCTGCAAGTTCTGTAACCTTGAACCATGGAAAAGCTGCACAACCTGCTTCTGTAACTTGGGAATCTCATCAGGATGAGTGAGTGAATGCCAGATGTTCCGAGAGTCATACCTTGTTTGGCCTCATTTAACTTTCCCAAAAATGTTCTTGCAGTTCCTCTTCTGGCAAAAGCTTTAGAATACGAGCCATCTAATAAAATAGCTTGTGTGCAGTCATTTTCAGCCTCTTCATATCTATTAAACATGATATAATTACCAACTGAAAAAACACAGCCTACAGAAAAACTTCATACAGACTGAGTTTCTAATACAAAAAGCATGCATTTAATTATAATTACCAACCCCCAACTCTGTGTTTGAGGGGGGAAAGTGATTGTAAAATTTTATATTGTCACCAAATCTTGGAAGCATCTGGTAAGGAGGGGAAAGGTACCAGATTAAAGGAAAGTCCGAAAAGGATGGGATTAGGATGGTAAAATATGAGCAGAAGAGACAAAAGAATAGCACTGCTGGCAGTCTACCTCCCCTCCAGCCCTCAATATGCACACGCTCTATGTTAACAATGATAACCGACATTAATTTCTAATAAAACGTCATTAATATTTACCTGTAGTACACATCATCTAAGGAAAAACAACCCACACAAAACATTATGTGTCAGAGTATAACATCTGACGCTTTATCCATAAATTCTACTCAGCCATGCAACCCATCAACTCGGTCTGACTAGGTACTGCTCTATAACAGGCAGCTAAGAAGAGCTAAAACACAAAAACTTGAGACCCTCTTATACATTAAAATGACATTAATGAATTATTGTAAATTTATTTGGCATGATAACAGTACTGTGGTTATGTATGAATTATCCTTTAGGGATGAAATGTCATAATGTTTGCAACTATTTACAATAATTCAGGGTGGGGGAAAGCTGAAATAAGTATGACAAAAGAAGGCATAGCTTTATGAAACTACATGATTTGGTACATAAAGTTTGAAAACTTTCATAATAAAAATATTTTTTAAACAATCTCTTATGATTACATTCTCCCCAAGGCCTAAGTGAATACTATTCTACCCTCAAAACAAGACCTCATATGAATAAAACCAGATCTTCTAGTAACTTAGACATCTCTGAATTCTTTAATTCACTTCTCAACAAGAAAGCAAGGTCTGTGTGTCCATGCCTGTATCAACACATTTTCTACCCTACAGCCTGACCATTCTTCCATTCATGACACCTGCATAGCCCCCACACTTTCCAGGGTAAACAAGCTCCTTTGCAGAACACAAAGCCAGGGGCCTGTCTGACTCTCCAGCCTGATCCTTGCCATTATCCCCTGTGTGACAGCTGCAATATGTACAGACCACTTGCCCTTTCCAGGAGTGACCATGAAATTTCCCACTCCTAAGCTTCTGAACCTCCACTGGGTCACTCAATGCGTTTTTTCACCTCACTGCCCCTTTAGATCAGTTCAGTTCAAACTCCTGTTTGGAAAGTTGCCCCTTTTCATATTCCTCCTCTAGTCTATAATGCCTGACAACAGTCACCATGTGGAACAGAAAATCCACCTTTGCATTAAGTGTGAATCTAAAAGATACACTAGAAAAAAAATACAAAAGGAGTCATATTTAACTTAAAATATACCATTAACTTGCTATAATATACTAATGTGATCATCAACTAAAACAGTAAAATAAATCAGAGCTCTTATATATATAAATGCAGATATATGCAGTAATTGTGGGGGAGATAAAGGTGGAACAGGGTATTGTGGGGATAAACAGTAATGGAAAACACTACAAAAAATGAACTATTAAAAATAAATACATAAGTAAATAAATAAAGTATCATCTCTCACTTATTAGAAGGTATTATTCTTGGCATGAGTCAAACCTAAGAATCCAGGTCTTACAATTTTTAAATCATGCACAATTTGTAAATAGCAAAAATACAACATTTTCATAAGCTAGAAACACATACAATGATCTTTGATCAAAAAAATGTATCTCTAGTTATGTCTGTTAGTTTCAATGAGGTTAAACATACAACCAAAATTTACTTCTACAACAGGGGTTCCTAACATGAGGCCCTTTAAGAGATCTGACAACTTGGGTGAGATAAATATTACATCCTTATTTTCACTAACTTTTAAATAAAATTTTGCTTTTCTTTCAATTATAACTATAGTAACAAACCACATTAGTAAAAGCAGATTATCTCAAAATACTGCTTTTCAGAATTACAGTAGCAGCTTAACCTTCTAGCTGTTTGAATGTGATGGTACCATCCCTGTTTCAGATGCTCCTACAACGTAGCTAGCTAACAGCTGGGCAACTCTATCCCTAGCAGGTGATCAAATGCCAGAGTGAAGTCACATGTTATCACACTAGTAACATAATCATTGATGTTCCTCTCTGAGTATTTCTTATCTATACTTATTGGTTAATCAATATGTAGAAGGTGTGTCAAAGATCACCCAATTCTAATGTCATTATTCAAGCCTTCATATTACTGTCTTTAAAATATTTTTAACTTTAACTTGCCTATATATTAAATGTACTCTCTCATTATGTAGTGCTTTTTAAAAAGTATACATACCACTGTATGTATTTTATACACTGCAAATTTTATATGTACATCGCAAATATTAGCATGTTTAAAACTTTATTTCAAAATAATTGGTTTCCTTTATAATCCTAAATGTGTAATTAAACATTTAAAACTTATTCTGAGAAAGGTTCGTAATGTAGCCAAAGGGGTCCACGGCACAAAGAAGTTTAAAATGCCTATTTATAATACTTATAGCCTTAAAAAAATTCTGTCACTAGTGTGTGAAGTATTATTACGAAAGATACAAAGAAATGTAAGACAGTTTCTGCCATCAGATATTATCTTGCTGAATGCCCAACCTGGAACCTCTGAGTGTATCCAGAAACAGCTGGTGACTATCACAGGACCAAGTTTTAGCTGCATATATAATCAACTAGTCGTTTCCATGACAGCAATTCCCTTTTGCATTGTGTGTGTGTATACAAAAAAACACTTCCAGATGAGACTTTGCCCAAAGGATTATAAGGTTAAAAATATTTTCAAATCACTAATTCAGAATAACATGCATAAAGAAATTTAAAAAGCATTAAACTGTGTAATGCCAGACTATTAAAGTGGAAATCATTTACAAGAGTAAATTTACTTTATACGTACTATGACACACACACACTGCCTTTCTCTCTCTCCCCCTCTCATTTTAACTTTAATGCTTAAGAGTAAATACATTTTAATTTATTTATCCAATATGCCAATTTATGGTAAATTTCATTTTCATCCTGAAAAGCATTAAATGTAACCAATACTTACTTCTGAATCTTCAGATAGGCCATTGCTCTGTTAGCTGGAAGAAGGGCATTAGTGCCATCTGCTGCTATTCCTCGAGTATAGCATTCAATTGCTCTTTCATATTTTCCCTCTTTGAAAAATCCATTCCCCTATCATTTTGGATAAAAGTATGGAAAAGGATGAAAACATACCCCAAAAATTAGTTGAATTCAAATCTTAAGAAACACTGCCCTGGCTGGTGTAGCTCAGTGGATTGAGCACAGGCTGCGAACCAAAGCATCGCAGGTTCGATTTCCAGTCAGGGCACATGCCTGGGTTGTAGGCCATGGCCCCCAGCAACCGCACATTGATGTTTCTCTCTCTCTCTCTCTCTTTCTCCCTCCCTTCCCTCTCTAAAAATAAATAAATAAAATCTTAAAAAAAACTGCATTGAAATATGTATACTAGATTTTATTGTAACATTTATTTATAATCAAAGTCAGGTAAATCACAATCAATAATCATTCCATAACTATTTACTAGGGTCCTCTGTGGGTCCTTGAAAGCTATAAATATATAAATCTCAACTCAGGATTTCTACTGGATTTTTTTATCAGAAATAGTTTAGTATGAACTAATAAAAAAAAGAATTATAAATAAGAATGAATGATAATTTATTTCTGTTAAATTTATAACCACATGTAAATATATGTTAAAATGCTCATAAGTAATTTGTTCCCCCAAATTAAATGCTTTTTTAAAAATTATGTATTAAGTCATCAATTACTCAAATTTTGAATTAATAGTTTAATTCAAAAGTTTTATTATACTTACTTTTAGTTCCTACTGAAAAATAATTTTAGTATAATAGGAGAGAAAAGAGAAACTTAACTAATATATAAGAAACTAAGAGTAAACTCAGCAAAAGATATACATGTTGGAACTCTGGATTACCAGATCTTTCTCTGAAATGGCCTGCTGCTTATTCTGCTGCTCTTCAACTTGCTTCTTCTCTCCTTCGGTTGACTTAATCACCATGTCGGCTTCCTGTGGTTGCGAGTTTTCTTTGGATGGTAAAGCCTAGGAGACAGAGCAGCTAAACTGAAACAAGTAATGCAAGATGCATATATATTTGACTCTAAAACACTAGACCACTAAAGCATATTAGAATTTCTGTCACATTTCTCAAAATAACATTTTTACTAATTCAAAGTCTTTCTACTTATTAAAAAAAGATAATAACTTTAATGTGCATCTTATTGCAATTAAAATAAGTAGTATCCACTGAATGTAGGTATTCACTTATTTATTCAACAAGTATTTATTGAATTTCTACAAACAAGGTACTGTTCTAAGAACTATTTTCAAAACTAAAATAGGTAATTAGAACTACATCACCAAATTTCTCAAATTTAATTTTCATAGCCATTATTTAATCTAGGACAAAATACAAAAATATACAATACAGTTCACAATTATAAACAAATTGATATATTTACCAACAGATTTTATGTGCAATAAATAATGGCAATATTTAAAAGCAGATTTTTCCCAATCATCATCACTTTTTTCTCAGTTTCAACATATGGTAAAATAATTATAACCAATTCAATGGCAAAGTGAAAGGAATGTAACTGTTCAGTATCATCTGACAACAAACTTTACATTTAAGTAATAACTATTTTCTTACTGTTAAAAAAATAGTAAGATTTTTGCTATGATATAAATTACAAAGATGCAACTTAAAAATTACAAAATCAAAGAAATGTGCAAAAGTTGAGTACAGAAATCAAAACACATGCCAAAACAAACAAACAAAAAATCAGATAATGAAAAACAGTTCTGTCTACCTGTGAAAAAATAAAGCAACAGTAGTTCTAAAGATCTCAAACAACTTTCTAAAATGATTATTAATTAAGGTTCTTTAGATATCATTATACTACACCTTGTTTGCAAATTTGGTGAAACTCTATAGTATAAAGAAGTAAAATTAGAAAAATGTCCATATTAAATAATCTATAGTACAGCCTGGCTAGTATGGCTTAGTGGACTGAGCGCAGGCCTGTGAACCAAAGGGTCGCCAGTTTCATTCCCAGTCCGGGCTCATGCCTGGGATGCAGGGCAGGTTCCCAGTTGGGAGGATGTGAGAGGCAACCAGACATTGATGTTTCTCCCCCACTATTTCTCCCTCCCTTCCCCTCTCTCTAAAAATAAATAAGTGAAATCTTAAAAATAATCTACAGTACAAAATCTATGCTAAAATCCTTACTTCATAAAAAAAGGCAATAAGTAATATAGTTAATTGAAATAACTGGTTTACCTGATTAATTTTCCTGAGTTCATTTGTTGCTTCAAAGTTATTTGGTTCCAGTTCTAACACTTTTTCATAATCTGAGTAAAACAGAAGATAAAGAATATTTGAAAGATACATATATAAAAACAATAATCATTTGCTGCTACATGTGACAAACAGGCAACTGTCCCACAGCAAAATTGAAAGGAATGAAGAAATACTAACATTAGGCTACTGGGCTCTCCCTGTTCTCCCCCAAGACAGACAAAATCCTACTGGATCGCCTTCTCCCACCAGCCCCAGTAAGGATGCTTGCTGTCATAAGTCATTATAAAACCAAACGCAACAGACTCTTTTAGATACCAACTTTACTCAGACTATAATTTACATTACACAAACCAATTTTATGGAGTAATATGATGCAAACGTGTTAAGAGCTTTGCATGCATTATCTCTAGCCTCACAAGAGCCAACAAGATGTTTTCATCCCTATTTACAGATGACGAACTGAAAATAAGAGAAGATATATAACCTTCCCCTGGTCACACAGCTAGTACATGGTGGAATGAGAATCTGAACCAAAGTCTACTTGGCGGTATATAATGCATTCTTTCCCAAAATATCAAGATAACTTTTAAATTATAAAAATGAACTTTATACAAATACAGAAAGCTCTCTGAAAGTATTAACTGTGATTATCCAATATTCTTTGTATAATATCTTTTAAATTAAACCGTTAAAGAAGTTTTTTAGATACTGATGACCTGGAAAATATTAATACCTTTTTTGGCATCCTCTAATTTTTGCAAAGCAAATCGAGCAGCACCTCGTCTTGCATAAGCCTTTGTATAACTTCTATTCAAGGCAACTGCTAAATTACAATCAGACTCAGCAACAGCAAACCTGTAATTTAAAAAATTAAAGTTAATAAAAATAATTTGTTAAACTAAAACTTCAAAATTTCTTTCTGAAATCCCCAAAAAGGCAATTAATTTTCCAGTGAAAGGGATGTTTCCCACCTCCTTTTACTTAATAAGCCTATTAAAAGCAGTAATTTTTTATGGTAAACCATTAAGTAGCAATACCTTTAAAACAAAAAATAAGAATGTCCACTATCACTGTTTTTTTCTCAGTATTCTACTATAAACCCTAGTAATACTGTCCCATAAGAAAGAAAGACAGCTAAAAGGACTGGAAAGCAACAAAACTGACATTCTCAGATGATATGATGGTTTCCCTAAAAACTCAAAACAATGTAGAGACATTGTTACAAATGACAAAGTTTGGCAAGCTGGCTACTTTACTACAGATCAGCAACAAAAAACAAATCTAACAAAAGATGTAGAAGTCCCACATGCAGAAAACTGTAAAACTGTCTTTAAAAATATTATAGAAGACTCAAGTGGAGATATTTCACATTAACCTATAAGGTACAGAAGCATAACAATATAATTCTCTCCAAACTAATCTACAAATCCAAAGCAATTATAATCAAAATCCAAACAGAATTTTTCAAGGAATTTGATAAGATGATTCTAAAATTTATACTAATAAACAAAAGTTCAAGAACACCCAAGACATTCCTGAAGAATGAGGTAGGGTAACATGCCCTACACCATATACAAGACTTATAACTATGATGCTATAGTAGTTAAAGACAGTGTAGAATGGGTATAGCAATAGGCAACAGAGAGACGTGAAGAACAGGGAAAGAGATGAAAAAGAGGCCTATGCAAACTTGACATGTGACATGGTGGCACTGTAGATCCACAAGGAAAGCATGGACAGTCAGTAACTAGGAGTAGAACAATTGGGATGCTCTATGAAAAGATAAGAAATTGGAATTCTACCTTTAGCATACATAAAAAGTAAAACATATGCTATACTTAGCATATGTGAAAAGTAAAACAAAAACTTTTAGGATATAGGAGACTATTATGACCCCAGGAAAGGAAACTACTTTTAACAAATTGTATTTTAAAAAGTGCTAACATTTTTTCTAAAAATTAACAAAATTATGAATTTCTGTTTATCAAGATTCCATAAAGAAAGGAAAGAAGATAAGCTACAAATTAGGAAATGATTATTATAAACAAACACTCAAGAATTAGTATCCAGAATACAGAACTCTTCAACATTAATCGTAAAACAACCTAACAAAAAAGGGGCTAAAAGACAAAACAAGCATTTTACAGAAAATATAAGTAGTGAATAAACATATAAGATGATCAGTCTCCTTAGAAACTGGGGAAATGCAAATTAAGACCACAGTGAATTACCATTTTATAATCCCTTGACTGGAAATAATCAAGAAGCCCTATTATATCAGCACTAGTAAAGATAGAGAATAGGAACTGGGGTGGCGAATACACAATACAATATGCAAACATATTACAGAACTGTATACCTGAAGCCTATGTAATTTTATTAATCAATGTCACCCCAATAGATTCAATTAAAAATTTTTTTAAAAAACCATACAGAACAGGTATTCTTACATACCACTAATAGGAAATGTAAATTTGTACAACTGCCTTTGTAACAATTGGTCGTCACCATTTAAAGCTGAACACATGTGCACCCTACACCCAGCACCAAGAAACACGTACAAAAGTGTTCATGGGTTCATAGTATTACTGTTTATAAATAAGGAAGGAAAGGAAGGAGAGGAAGAAAGAAAGAAATCAACAATCCAGCAACAGGAGAATGGATACATAATGGTATATTCCTAAAAAGAAACCATATCTAACAGGGAAAAAGAGAGGTCTACAGCTATATGCAAAACATGACAAATCTGAGAAATTTAATATTCAGAGAAATTTAAGATTACATTCAGTGTAATAATCTTTTACAGTTCAAAAATAAGCAAAGTATATAATACCTTAGGCAGGGATACGTAGATAATAAACTTCTTAATCAAAAGAATAATATACAATTCAAATAGTGGTTAACTGAGAGGGGGAATGGTCAGGATATGTAAAAGGCTTATCAAGGTGGCCTCAAAAATAATAACATCCTGGTTCTTAAAAGTATATGATGGCTTCATATGGAATTATTTAAAATTATTCTTCACTTACTATACATACTATAGATATCAAATACTATAAAATGTAAATATCCACCTAATTTATCAGGATATTAATAGCATAAATTTCAAAGATCTAAAAATATGCTATTTAAAACAGTAAAAATTCAGACACCAATATAATTCATACTTCCCAATGATAATTAAAACAGTAAGAATGTCTTCCTTGATTTGTCATTTTAAAAATTCTTATGATAGGTCAGTTCCCTGCCTATAATAAGACCATGACACATTTATGTTTTTCAACAGTAAGAATGTATTTAAACAGTCAGTATGACTTAGAGATAAATGTTGGAACATATTTTATGTTTACCATAATGAAAGTTCTCTAGGGTAAAAAGTAGATAAATCATTTTTCAAAATAATGGAGGAAACTGATTCCTAAAAATGTTTAACCAAATTCTTTTTTATTTTGTGAATTATTTGATTGTTGGAGGAGGAACACATCAGTAAAATGAGTTATGGGGATATTGTTTGAGCATCTGACTTTTAAAATGGCTTAAATAAAATAGCTCAATAATAGGAAATGAACTATAAGAATTTACAGCTGAAAAGAAATGTACTTTTTCAACTTTCCCACACATTTTATCATGAAAAATTATTTAAAATGCCAGTCTCCATATACATAAAATAGGCACAGTTTACAGATATTCCTTACTTTTTCATTCTAAAGTATGCTGATGCTCTGTTTGTTGGCAACACAGGGTTATATGGATCGGCATCCATGCCTTTGGTGTAGCACTCAATTGCTTCATCATATTTTCCTTGTTTGAAGTACTTATTGCCCTGAAAAAGCATACAAGTCAGATATATACTGGCACAGAATTATACAGCCAATTTTTTTTTAATATTATCCATGTGTTTATATAACTCATTAGCTGTGTGATCAAGACTAACAGGAATAGAAGAAGGCGAAGCAAATGGTCTTTTTTACAAGTGTTGAAATTCACTATACAGTCATAGCATGAGCACAATCCGAGAGTCCTGGCAGAAAAATGAGTAAAATATTTACATTATATACTTTTTATTGACAATAATAACCCAAAGAAATGTAACCATAAAAAAGTATTGAGATTAAGTTTAACGTGAAAAGAGTGCCACATTTTTTTTAAAACAATATATCTAGTTTTATAATTATGAGGCACTCCTCAGGGAGATGAACATTCCAAAAAGTAACCACAGATGGACTGAGATATGGAGGAGTGGATGTAATATTCATGTCAAGAGTCATATGCTGATTTTAGGTTACTCCCGCCTACTACTAAAACCCTGGAACGACCCTCTGTACAGTCCCAGCACTTTACATGAAAGAATCCATTTAATATTCACAATAACCCACTGAGGTTTATTAATAATATTAATCCTATTTCACAGCTGAGAAAACTCAGTACACACAATTTAAAGAACGTGTGACAGGATTTGAATCCAGGTAATCTAGTTTCAGAACATACACTCCTAACCACTAAGCATGTGCCTCCCGAGAGGGATACAGCCAATAAACAATTAGAAGATGAACATCCCTAAACTATGCTAAAGAAATCTTGGAATCCACATGATTTTCTATATATCCTTCCCATCTGAAGGAACCTAAAGCTAACTATTAAAGAGTACCTTTTCTTTTAGAGCAAGGGCCTTTTGTGAATCTACATGAATTCCATCTTCTTCTGACTCTGATTCTTGAGACAGAGAATCATGGGTAGTCTCTTCTTTGTCAAGTTCATCAAGAATACTTTCCTGAAATCATAAGTAAAACAGTGCTCATAAGTACATGAACATATAAAAAAAAGACCTACAAAAAAAGGACACTCAACAGAACTTAAATTGTTATGCTCTAAAGACTGAAAGGCCTACAAAAGCAACCCAAATAATCTCTCACTGTTAAGTTACATATAGAGAAAATGGTACCTTGTTTAGAAAACCAAGATCCAACCCACTTAAAGAATCTGACTTTGAACTCATAAAGTAATCTAAATCAATATATTGAGTCTACAAACCACCCCTAAATCACAAACTATTAGCAGTGAGATATTATGATTTAATGTAAGCAAAGTTTGCAAGCAACCCCAAAGTAACGTAACAGCAACCAATAACAAAGAAATGTTTTTTTTCTAAAAATCTTTTTTCTTTCTTATTTTTAAAACAATAATTGCTTATAAAGCATCATTAACTCCTGATTCTCACAACCTATGAAGTAGGTATAATTACCCATGATCTTCAATTGAAGAAACTGAAACACAGAAACTGAAATATACTGTCTTGCATTACACTTCAAAATGTAGCTGCTCTACCAAAGAAAATATGTAATATGCTACTCTAGCAATTCCCAATTGCTTCTGACTCACACATTCCTTTCAAGGTAATAAATCGCTTCATGAACCCCAACAGATTTTTTAAATCATATCTTTATCATATATGATAAATAATTTTCAGTGATTTTTAAACCAGTAAGCATTAAAAAGTTCATTGAAGCTCATTTAAACAAAAATTTTAATTCTATAAACGAAATCCTCTTTGCATTTAACAAATAACATACTATTTAAAATAATTTACTTTAGAAAAAAATTGCTAATAAATTAAAAACAAAATGTAACCTATGCTTAGTTTCACTGAATGTTAAAAAATGGACTGAAATTCAGCTATCTGTTTTAGCATGAAAATTCTAAAACTATCACCAGCTTACCAACATTAAAGCCAAGACTGCCCAACCTGTCACGCTGACATGTGTAGAAAATCTATGACATCAGTGCACTAGAGCAGTGGCTGAGACCTAAACCAGAATGGAATGGTAAGCAAACACCTCTATCTTGTATAGATACACCAGATTGACAAGGTCAAGCAATGCAGCACAACCATGACGCACTGGCCACACAAAACTGGAGTTCAGTCAATACCTGCTGAATGAGTAAATGACTGTGTAGAAAACACCTCTCTAAAAAATCATCTGAGATGGTGCTTTTCAGGAAAAAGCATTATAAGATACTGACTTATGCAAAGAAAAAGGCTTTATAAGAAAGGGGTAAAGTTACAAAAAATGAAAGCAGACTATATAATACTAAGCAGAGAGTAACTCACATGTTCAGAAAGTATGATTTCCAACATCAATAAATTCAAGACCCAAAACCACATTTTTCTTACATCAGGACAATACTGAATTTACAGTATTTACAGATGGCAAACTACTTAAGTAATAGTGCCAGCACTCCTGAGTCAATTAGCCTTACTTGATTTTATTAAGAAAAATTCAACTAATTTGGAAAACCATTTGGCAGTATCCTCTAAAGCTAAATGTACATATAAACTATGCTCCAGCAAATTCTACCACAGATGCTTATATTAAAAGTCATGTACAAAAATGTTCACAGCAGGTTTACCATAATAGCTCAAAACTGGAAACCCAAATGCATACCAATAGAATGGATACACTAATTTTGATACATTCACAATGAAACTGTGATCAGCAATTAAAAAAATCCCACAATTACAGCCCTGGCTGGTGTAGGTCAGTGGATTGAGCACAGGACTGTGAACAAAAGCATTGCCAGTTCGATTCCCAGTCAGGGCACATGCTTGGGTTATACGCCATGTCCCCAGTAGGGGGGTGCAAGAGGCAACCACACATTGATGTTTCACTCCCCCCTCTTCCTCCCTCCCTTCCCCTTTCTCTAAAAATAAATAAGTAAAATCTTTAAAAACAAAACAACTGCTACTGACAATACAAATTAATCTCAGATGACAGCAGCAAAAGAAGCCAAACATAAAAGAATGTACACTGTATGATTCATTTTCATGAAGTTCCAAAACTGGCGAAACCGACCTATAGTATTAGAGATCACAATGGTGGCTACCCTTGGAGATAATCAATTGAAAAGAGAGGCTGGTGGGATGCTGGAAATGTTCTGTATCTTGATCTGGAAGGTGGTTTCTCACGTAAATACATGAGTAAAAATCAAGACAGCTATAAACTTAAGGTTTTTTGGACTTCATGTATATCTCAATAAAATTGCTTAACAGAAAAGTGCAAAGAATAATAAACATAAAAATGAAAATAGTGGTTACATTTAGGGGTAGAAAAGAACATGGGATAGGAAAGGAGCAAACTGGCAGCTTCAACAAGACTGGAAAAATTCTCTTTAAATTAGATGGTGGATTCCCATACAGGAGTGGGCAAAAGTAGGTTTACACTTGTAATACAAATAAATAATGCAATAATAAGCAATAGTACAAGAATAGACTGTTTTGAATATTCACAACTGTAAATCCACTTTTGCCCATCCCTATACACTAGACTTCTTGCTGAGTTGGGCTATTCTCAGTCTGGTAACTAAGACAGCACTTGTTTTTGTTGAGTGTAATGTAGGTGCCTTCATGGTTGCTACAGTGTGTAGAGTCGCCAAAAGAACTTCTTTCTGGTTTTAGACATGTAGGTGGGCAGCAAATTAATGTGCAATAATTTTTTAAGCCACCATTAGCTGACTCTTTACCAACAGCGATCTGACAGGTTTCTCTTCTGCCTTTCAACTTCTTGCCCAGCATCAGGTTTCTTTCCAGGGTCGGACAAAAGTAGGTTTGCAGTTGTGAGTAAGCAAAACAAATTTTATTCTTATATTATTACTTATTAATTATTGTATTGTTTTCCATATGAACTGTAAACCTACTTTTGCCCATCCCTGTGTTCATTTTATTGTTATGATTCAGAACATGTATCTCCATATGCTCTTTTGTATGAATCAAATATTACATAAACATGTTTAAAAGACTGAAAGGGAATGTACACTCCAAATCAACCTAACTAAATCACCCCTTAAGATGGGTCAGACTCAAGTCCCCTTTCACAGGTTCCCTGACTTGACAGTGGCTGCCTAGAGCCCTGGGTAGGGAGCTCCGATGCAGAATACCGGTTCTCCAGTTACACTGTGTGTCACGGTAGGAGATGGAAGGCACGCACTACACTTTGCTAAACCTGGTCTAGAAGGGTGAAGCCCACCTTCCTGACATCAAGACAGACCTGCTTTTACTCTCATAAGCCCCAGTCCTAAGTCTAGACACAAAGGCATTCTCTTTCGGCTACTATTCAACAGGTCCTTCAGTTTATATAAAAAAAAATACTGGTAGAGTTGTTCTTTTCTGAGTATTACTACCTTAAAATTCAGGGATTAGAGATGGTGGGGAGGAGGGGAGTAGGTGCAACTACAACTGTGTAACACAAGGGAGATCTCTGCTTCACTGCAATGGCGGTTACCCAAATCTACACATGTGATAAAATGGTCCACAAATACACATTCATTGCACCAATGTCCGTTTCACGGTTTTGATACTACACTATAGTTGAGATGTAACCATTGGGGAAAACTTGGTGAAGAATACACAGGACCTCTATGTGCTATTTTTGCAAAGAAAGAAAAGTAGGAAAAAAGAAAAGAATCCTGGCTGTCTTAGCCACTGTTCACTGAAAAAGAACTACAGGAGAAAAACTAATCTGGTTAAATGAAGAACTATATAATTAAATTTTTATTACACATAAAATGTTTACAAGAGAAAAAAGGAGTTGTAAGAACTTGATATTATTTTTCATTTAATTCATGACTCTCAACTAATGCCAAGAAAATTTTACTCAAATACTAAAAAGTACATAACTAACTTAACTTACCACATCAAGTTTTGCCCACGCCTCATAATCATAAGACTTTATCCTGTTTTTTGTGTTTTCATCTTTGGTTTTCTTAGATGACTCTTTCGCTTTACCTTTCTTCTTTTTCCTAAAATTCTTATTTCGAATAGGAGGTAAATTCTGGGGGGAAAAATATGTTTTGAGCACCACTCTATTAATTTTTTGTATAACTAGCAACATTTAAAATTCTCACTAAATTATTTCATGTAAGAAGTATTTTTAAATTTAATTTCCAAGTGCTTAAAAATACCAATTTACTACCTTCACTTATAATAATTTATACTTGAAAAGTTTGATTCATTATTTGACAAATGTTGAGCATTTAGTCACAAGAAAAGTTATTACCCAGAAATTTTAATTATATACTTAATTTACAATCCTAAATTCAAACTTCAAAAACTTACTGATCTTCAGCCTTAGTACAATGAATTGGCAATAGTACAATGGCAAACTAAACTGCTTCCACATCCTTACATAAAGCATGAAAAATGCAGTCTTTAGAAAAAGGTTGATTGAACCTAGGTACTTTCTACATTGTTATGGCAATAGTGTGTGTTAATGTCACTGAGTATATATTTATATATGATATATGAGATATATGTACACACCTACATATTTTATGATGCTGTTCACTTAAGAATTATCATATGGTCTTCCTTTCAGTAACCAACTATTCACTAAACCTTAAAATTGTCTTACTATAGTTAACACAATTATTGCAAATACTTTCAAAAGGAGAATTTTTTTAAATGTTAGCAGGAAGCAAATCACTTCAATTCCAGTACTTTCACAAACCATTTTAAAAGCTGCTTTATTTTAAAATAAATAGTTTTGCTGGATTCTGAAGTAAGAACTCAATTAGCAAATTTACACCCTGGCTGGTACAGCTCAGTGGACTGAGCATCAGCCTCCGAACCGAAAAGCCGTGGATTTGATTTCCAGTCAGGGCACGTACCTGGGTTGCTGGCCAGGTCCCCAGGTGGGGCGGGGGGCGGGGGGGTGCATGCTAAAGGCAACCTGTTGATGTTTCTCTCCTTCTCTTTCTTCCTCCTTCCCCTCTCTCTAAAACTAAATAAAATCTTTTAAAAAAATCTTTAGCCATTAAAAAAAGCAACTTACCTCTTCAGGGACACCATTCTGTCTTCTTAGTTCCATATCCTTTTGTTTAATATCTTCTTCCCAGTTTTCTAAATCCCTCATAAAGTCTTGCAATTCTTCTGCATTTTGTTTCACTTGCAGTTGTAATTCAATTGCTTTATTAGTTGATGTCATTACAGCCTGCAGAGTTTGAACCAACCAACCTCTAATAAGAAACTGAATTATTTACTTGGTTTATTTTTTGAAACCTAGCTAATCAATTACTTTTTACCTCTCGTATATGGTCAAGATGTATGGATAGAAGAGATGCTGAAGAAAATATCAGTATATTATTTTTTAAAATGGGTATTTGCTGAATAAACAAATAAAAAAAATTTTTTAAACTAGTTTAGGCATCTCCACAATGCAATATGAAAGAAAGGCAATGGGGAGAGAATCAATGAAACTGGCCAAGTAGTCCATGGTGGCAGACTGGCTGCTCATCTCTGGAGTTAATAAATCTATCCTAATTAATTCCTTTTTCTTTCAATATTTATTAAACTTGTTACATCATAGGTCCTGTATCAAGATTTAGGGATGCAAAAACAAGTAAGACAAAGTCCCTCGTCTAGTGAAGAAAACGAAACAATCAAATACTGAGTAACAAAATACTATGCTAGGCAGGGTTTCTCCGCCTTGGGACTACTGGCATAGTGGGCTGAATCATTCTTTACTGGAGGGAGACTGGCCTGTGTGTTGTCGATGGTTGGCAACATCCCTGGCCTCTACTGACTAGGTGATGGTATCAGCACCTCGCCTCCAGACTCTGACAACCAAAAATGTCTCCACTGTCCGATGTCCCCTGGGAGGCATAATAACCCCTGGGAGAAACACTGTGCTTAGAGATACAAGCAAATGCTATGAGAATGACCACAAAGGAGGGGCATAAATCAGAGGGTAGGGCGGTAGGTTCAAGAAAAGAATCCCCAGAGGAGCTGTAACTTTAGTGGAGTTTCAAAAGGGGCCAGTCAAGTGACTTAACATGAAGGGCTTGGCAGGCAGAGTGAGGGACTAGGAGGGACTCTTCCACGGAAGAGAAGGCTAACAAGGTGGAAATAAAACTGATCTTGAAATGCCAGAAAGCTATGTGAAAGTATTGAGGTAGTAAAATAAAAGGGACATGACTAACTAGATTGAGGAATTGTGGAGCACAGACTTAGTGTCAGATTTTCTTGTTAGGGAGCCTGGTTAGGTCAGTGGTGACATTTTGAGTCAGGAATCACAACTGTAAATGGGTAAGAGGTTTCAGGATTGGAGGACAAATGAAAAGACAGATATTTTAGTTTGGGATATGTTTTATTTGAGTGTTTATGGGACATCAAGAGGACATATCTTAGTAGGTAGTTACAGAGGGCTAGAGTTATAAACTTGGGTGTCACCAGCATAAAGGTGGAAGTTACAACCATGGGATGTGGACATGTTAAAATACTACGACTACTGGGGTGCAGTACGACTACAGACGGTTCTGGAGAACACTAATATTTAGGAAACAAGCCCAGAAAGAGACGTGGATATAGGAAAAACTGGGCAATAGCTTCCAGGGAGCTGGGAGGGAAACTTGGAGTTACAGAACAGCATTTTCAAGAGTTCAGGAAGGTGGGATAGGTTAGCAGTACCAAATGCCACGGAGGGTGTATGGGGGAAAGAAAATTTTAAAAATTAAATATGGTCTTTACATTTAGTCATGCAGAGATTATTGAATTTTAATGGGGTTTTTAAAAAGAATGGAAACAAAATGAGCTAAGTAAATGAGATTACTATATAAAGATTGACATCATTTTGTCTTTCATAATGTAAGATTGCTCATGCACCACATAAGCAGGTTTGGGTCAACAGACCACACATCCAACTGGGGTCCCATGAGATGATAACTGAGCTGAAAACTTTCTATCACTAGTGACGCTGTAGCCATTGTAATACATGCATTACTCAAGTGTCTGTGGCGATGCTGGTGTAAACAAACCGACCGCACTGACCATCATACAAAAATAGAGCACATACAATTATACAGTACATAGTACTTCATAGTAATAATAATAATAAAAGACTATGCTGCTAGTTTACGTAGTTACTACACTATACTTACTCTTTCTACTTATTAAAAAAAAGGCTGCTGTAAAACGGGATGCCGCGTTACACCAGCAGCCTCATACACCATCTCGTGTTTACCAAGACTCTTCACCCACCATTTTCTCTTGTGCGTCACTTAACCAAAGCTCTTCTGCACAGTAATGCGCCGCACAGGCCCGCAGCCCAGGGCCACTAAGCTTTAGCGTGTAGCCCAGGCGTGCAGTAGGCAGCACGAAGTTTGTGCAAGTGCCTCTGACTTCTGTACCACTACAAATCGCCTATCCGCGCGTTTGTCATAACTATTCCCAGAATAGTTATCTTCATCTTCATCGTTCAGTGGTGCAGGGCTGCTGGAGGGTCTGGGGCGCGACACGGTAAAAGAGGATATAAGAAAAAGGATAAGTGATGGGGCAAGGTTACCACAGGGTCAGAGGGGATTCCAAGCTCAAAGGAAGAGGGGAAAGGGCGAGTTGGATGGGAGAGAGAAGTGATTAGAAAAGGGATTCATTTAGGGGGAGGAAGAGATGACTGCAAACGCAGAGAGGTCTTCTGACCCCCAGCCTAGACTCAGAAACTCAAGTAAGAGTAAGCTCCTTTTGGGCAGTGTCCATGTTTGATCACGCAGGAACAATTCTTTAAAAGACTAGTACAATGCTTTGCTGCGGACTCAAAAATATGAATAAAAGTGCAGCAAGCCCCTAAGAGTATATGCAGGGGGTCAAAACCGTTCCCATTTCACCTATCACCTCTGCTACTCCCGCAGGCCCAACGACTCTCACGCAACCTGCGGTGGGGCTGACTGAGGTCCAGTCCAGCAACCAGAAACGTCCAGCGCTTTCGGGTAGCATCACTCTCACACCCAAAATCCAGGCAAGCACGGCACACCCACGCCCAAAGGGGGCGGGCCCCACCGCGGTCTTCTCTACGCGAGGAATCTGAGGGCCTGACCACCGCAAGCAGCCCGACGCCCGGAGCAGACGGGGTGCGCGACCCTCAGCAAAGGAGACTGCCCAGGCGCGGGCGCGCGGGGCGAACCCTGACCGGAACGCGCTCCCGGACGCCGCTACCCAGGACACCACCGCGGCAACCCAACGCCGCGCTCCCATCGCCCGCCCTCAGTCGCAACGCTTCACCCGGAACCCACGGCCGCGCCCCCTTCACCGGCCGGGCGACCCCAAAAGCTTCCTCGGCGATAACGGAAAAGTCGGCTTACCTCTCCACGCCGTTACGGCCCACACCTCCAGCCAGTCCAGCCCTCAGCGATTCGGGCGAGACCCCGCCTTCCTGCGCTTTCCCACAAGTCCCTGCGTGCCTCACCCCCGCCCCCCGGAGCATGCGCAGACAGTCAGATACGGCACGTCTTCCCTCGGTAGAACTAGGTTGAGGAATTGATAGGTGTCTTAAAGCGGAGTCTGACCAAACTTCTTAGGAGGTAATAACCCAAAACCTGCAGGGTCGTCCTCACTTGTTCCCAAGATAATAACACTTTAAGTATTTCCTTGAACTTCCCTCAAACGATTTAATCCCTGATATTTGCCTGGCTGTTGTCTAACGGTATGTCACGATCTTTCCGAGTATGATAAATTTATGAGAAAGTTACTGTTTCCCTGCCGCGAACAGACTATGTAAACTTGTAACTCTGGCAGTGTTACAGGGATTTTTTTCCCTTTAAGTGCTTATATTTGGTAAATCAGATCTTCAGTCCGCCGTCCGCCCCCCACACCTTTGCAAGTAAACTTTTTCCTTTTCTGTGTCTGTCTCTTTCTAGAACGCGTATGAGTATTAAGGTCTGTCTTTAGATGCGCCCTGGCTTACAAAGCAGAAAGAATATGAAGCTTGTAACATTTCTTGTTTCTGCTTCCAATGTGAGTGAGCTTTTTTCATTTTCATGACAACGCTAATTGTAAAACAGAAATAATTAATTCCACGAAAACAAATAGAAACAAGCAAAAACTTTCCATTTGAAACACCTCTGTGCTCTAAAACATTAGCCCAAAAATCCAGATCAGTGGCTCCCAAGCTTGACTGAACTTTGGAATTACCTAGAGAGCACGGAAAAAATTGATTTCTAGGTCCCATACCCAGAGATTCTGATTTAATTAGTGTAACCGGGCTCATGATTTTTTTAAAGCATAGAATATGGCTGTGCAGTTGAGACGAGGAGCCACTAATCCAGGTAATGGTCAATGGAAAGCCACCCTGGAGACCTCCCTTACAAGGTCACATATTTAGGTCACATTTTTCTCACTGTATAGTTATTTGGTATCTTTGTATTTTAAAGTCATAGTAGTTATTAAGTGTTATTAAACTATTCTGATGAAATTATTCTTTAGGTTTTTGTCTTAAAGGGATAGATAACTGACTTGCATTTTTTGTGTTTTAAAATTAATACTAAAAATTTTAAGTAGATATTGGTTTATAGATTTTCTTAAGAAAAGCAATTTTTTATTAATTCTTGCAGAGTCAATTGAGATGGAAGAGCAAAGAGCCAGCTGGCTCTACAGCTGGCTCTTTTTGGCTCTACAAAATTTCATTTTACTAGACCCTTGGGTAAATTCTTTTCTCTCTCAGTTTACAATAGTCAGACAGCTGCTTAGTGAGTACAGAATCAAAGTGAGAAGAGTTAGTCCAAAGGTCTTGGTGTCCATCATCACCCAATTCTGAGGTTCCCATTGTCATACAAAAAAAAAAAACAAAAAATCTATGCCTGTATTGGGACCCCCCTTCTCTCCAAAGGAGTGAGAGTTTTTAACTCTTGGCAGTCATGTGCTTATCTGAAAACTAATAATTCAATAAATAAGAAGAGAAGAGCAGATATTGAGGAGCAACCAGGAACCTCTATCCCAGGCCTTAATAAGTATCCTTTGAAAAATGAATGAATGAATCAATCAAACAATCAATCAATCAATCAGTCAGTCAAACTCCTAGAAATCCAGACTCACTATAACATGAGAAAAAGGCTTGAATTTTGTAGTCCTGATTTTGCTACTTACTGAGAATGTAATCTGTAAAGTAAGGCTTAATATAAACCTCAGTCGTTTAGATATAATTAAAATGGTGAAGATAAAAATAGCTGCAGGAGTGAGAAAATGTATGTGAAAGGCCTATTTAGCACAGCTTGGGACATGGTAAGAGCTTTAACAAACCTGCCCCTCCCACTGATAATACCACCTCAGGTTAGGCTCTGGCTAATTATTTGCCCCTGACAGCAGGCTTTATTAAGACGGACAGAGTGCTCTGAGTATTTCGAAATGTTTTCTTTCTCCTGCGTATGTCAGAAACCCCAGCACTGCTTTGTGCTTCAAATCTCTTCCCCAGTAAGCCTTGTATTCTCCTGTCTTTCCAATCTTGAGGGCAGTGTTTTGTCTGTGTCCTCCCTTCTCTTATAGATCCAAGAAAGGTTGTTGGTTTTTCAGTCTACTCAGTTGTCTACTTGTTTTTAGAATGGAGTGTCAACTTCCAAGCTCCTATGTGGGGAACTAGAAGCTGTAAATACACTCCTTCCATTCTTCACATTACAAGTACACCAGGAAGAATTCTCTCCCCATCTTGGTTAGAGAGAATTGGTGAGTCCTCACGGACTTCACCCAGATACCACATTATCCAAGCCATTCTGATGAAACACTAAAACCAGAAGCATCATTCCTAGCCCTGCTCCTGGGAAAAGGCAGGGAGACAGACACTCGAGGAAGGCCAATTACAAAGAAGATGATACAAGAACTCAAGAGTTAGAGCCTTTAGCTTTAGTTATAACTGATAGGCTTATGTGATTAATGCATGTGGAAAGCTGTTGTTCTAGAAACTGGAATAAGTGACCTCTGTGACTCCAGGAGTTCAACAAGCAATTTAATCTTTGTGCTCCAGGGGGTCTGCAAGTAAAGTATCTGAGTCAGTGTGTTCCAGAGGAAGAAGTAGATAAAGAATTGCTGATCAGTAGATAAAGAAATACAAGGAAAATGATCACAGGACTGAAACTCTTATCAGATTAACCGTTTTCCAAACCCTTGACCTACCCTTTTCTTCTCCTTATGAAAAGGACAGCTTGAGATGAGGTGTGAAGATGCTTTTTAGGGTACATAACCCACTGTCTTCTTAGATTACTGGCGTCTCAATAAAGTGCCCATAAAGATTCAGTCCTTGTCTCTAATTACTGGTTCTGGGTGTGATAGGAAGTATGAAGGCCAACAAAGAGACACATTTCAGATTTTCTTAAATGACTTTAATTGGAGATTTGAACCCTCTAAACCAGTAATTTTCAACCTTTTCCATCTCATAGCACACATAAACTAATTGCTAAAATTCTGTGGCACACCAAAAAATATATATTTGTGCTGATCTAACAAAAATAGATATAATTTTGATTGATTTACAAAAAAAAATAATAATTTTCATGACCTGTCCCTTTTGCTCCAAAATGACTTTTTAAAAAACAGGTCCCTATATTTGTATATAAAGATTTCTGGTACCAAGAATTAACCAATCCAGTACAACCTTATTATGTGACATGACCAATAAGATGCAACTCTATCATATGACCTATCTATTTATGGTTTAAGACAGGGCATTTACACTGGATAAGTATTGTTATGTTGGCTGCTGTCTTTTTTTTTTTTTTTTTTTTTTGACAATCTAAGGGAAAAGAGATCAGTGTTCCTGACTAGAGTCAGGTATTGCATGTTTTAAAAATTCTTTTTGAAAATCACTGCTCTTAACTATAGTTCAAACCTGGCTCTGTGAAACAGTGTTTGGTTCCCAGCAGGGTTAAGGGAGAAATGCATAATTGAGTTTGAAATGCAGTCACCCTGGTCTTCCCTTCTAGAGTTTATACAAATTATGGCTGCTGGTTAAACCTTAAAATAATCACTAGTGACACCAAGCTATAGGCTCCTTTCTTCTGATGCAAAATGATCCTATGGGAGCACTCCCACAAATTATTCAGAATCAAAATGCAGCTCCATAATTGCACTAAATGTCAACAAGCAGGAACGTTCTTGATGCAGTTAATGAGCTAGCTGTAAAACCCTTCTGGCCTGGAGAAGTCCATTTCCCCGCTCACTGTGTCAACCATTCCCCTCTCCGTCCAGTGTTTGAGTTCTCCCAGACCCTGTTCTGAGAGGATGTAGCCCTAGAAAAGACCAAATACCCATGCTTGATTTCCATGGCCCGATATCTCTGAGGCTCCAACATAGGGCTGAAATGCAGTTTGCAGGGCTGTGTACAATAACAGCCATTACAGTAATCTTGAATTTCTGTCAGCCATTCTTCCTAAGAACAATAGATAACACCTTCACAGTAATAATTCATCAGGTTCCTCTCACCAACCCCAAAAAGAGAAAAGGGGGCAAACGCTTCCCTTTACATGAAAAGGAAACATGAGGCCTGGAGAGGTCAAGGACTTGTTCACAGTTCCAGCTCCCATCGAGGCAAAGAGCTATGGAGGGCCGCATCTTCCGTGTCTGGATGCTGCTCCAACATGGTGGAGCATGAAGATTTGACTGTTTCTCTGCATTTTTCTATTTCATTTTCATTTGTGTCTTTCTTCTCTTTCCCCTTGGATGTGTCTGGATTTGGGAATCCCTCCCGGTCTCCTCCATCCCCTCTCCAGCCCAGAGCAGATAGCACCTTGGTCCTGCAAGAGCTCTCACTGCCCTCAGGCCCCTTTCTGGCTCCAAGGTCTATCGGGTGGAAGACTCCACGTAGGCAGTGGCGATGTACTTCTTGCCATTTCCATAGGTGGACTTGTCCCAGGAATAGGTCTTGATGGCCAAGGGATGCCCACCCAGGCTTAATTGGCACCTGCAGAAAACATTGTCAAATCATGGGGCCCCTGCTTCACTCACTTCTGTCCCATCTCATGCAGAAAGACTCCACTCTGTCTTAAAAGGCCCCTAAGGAAGCTACTGCAGCTTACTTAAGCCACTGCCTCCAGCTCCCTGCCTGCATGGAACCCTTTCAAAATCTATGCCTTATTTTCTGTCTTCTTAAAGAACATTGCTTCTCATCTTTCCCAGAGCAGTATTCTAAAATCCCAGATTCTAGAGCCGAGCCCCCAGAAATTAAACGTCTGCTTAGGGTTTAAAAGTAGCAGAACCCAGAGTCCTCAAATGTTAGTGCATATGAGGCCCAGTGGTTCCAACTGAACTCTCTGGGGCTCTAAGGTTCCCCAAGCAACCTCGGGTGGGGTGGGGGGAAGGCAACTAGAGAGGCTTGGAGCATCAGGGCAACTCCATTTCTCACTTTTTTTTTAAGATTTTATTTATTTATTCATTTTAGAGAGAGTGGAAGGTAGGGAGGAAGAGAGGGAGAAAAACATCAATGTGTGAGAGAAACAGCAATCAGTTGCTTCTCACATGCCCGCAAGTGGGAACCAGGTCAGCAACTCCAGCATGTGCCCTCACTGGGAATTGAACTGGGGACTGATGATGCCCAACCAACTGAGCCACGCCAGGCAGGGCCATTTCTCACAGTTTTATACGTTAAGGTCCTGCATAAGATTTCACTTGGGGGAAAGAGGGACAAGGGTTCTGCTGCTCAGATGAAGTGGGCAGCCACCAATCTAACAGCTTCATTTCCCAAGGGAGAAAGCTGAGGCCCAGAACTGTGATTCGTCCATGCCCTCTGAAGTCCCTGAGTGGCAGAATCCAGGTCTCTTGACAGTCCTGGCTAAGGACATCCTCCCCTCACCCCGCCCGGGGCTGGCTGGCCCAGTACTCACGTTTTGCCTGGCCTGGCGATGAAGCACAAGGAGTAGAGTGCAAACTCAAACTCGGGGCTGCTGCCGATGAAAGCTGAGCCCACTTCCTTATAGTAGCCATCCCAGTTGAACTGCATGGCTAACACGTCAGGGTAAGAGTCCCACTGTGGACGGAGAGGGGGTATAGTGAATGACACCGAGTTGGAGGCTGGCCGAGGGGTGGCAAATGACAGCATTCAGCCAGGATTTGTTGAGGGCCCACTAGGTGTCTGTATAAGCTTTCCAGGGTGGCTGGATTCTTTAAATCAACCGAGTAAACAGTCTGTCCTGCTGCGAAGTGTAAGCCCCTCTCAGACCCTCTGTCTGGAGCTGCCAGCGTGTATCTCTCAGGGCAGCCAGAGTCAGCAGCCAGGTGGCCGATGCTAGGGAACAGGGACATAGCTTCCCTGTGCCCTCACATATGGAAGGAAAGGACCACTTATTGCTCCCAGATTATTTTCTGGCATCAGGCAGCAAAGGTTTCAATTTTATAAAATATGAGGAGTTTAGCTCCGACCAGCCAAACTGACATTTCCAGCAGAGACCACATACTGAGAACACCCAGGCAAGAAGTAATGGCACATCTGGCTTTCCCCTCTGAGAACCCTCTCCTGCCCCTACCCCTCTCCAGAAGTGGTGTCCTCCGCCTCCTGCCCCCGAAGTTGTGGAGCCTCCACTGTTTGGAAGGGAATCCCAGTGTCCTGGCCGGTTCAATCTACTGTTCAACAGGGGGGGAAGTCACACTCACAGTCCCCATTAGGGGGTCAGGGTGAGAGGCAAGTCTGACTGTTCGGAACACAGAATAAGGGCCAGCAGTCTGGGTATAACAAGGCTTTCCAGCCCAGGGGGACGCATTCAGTACTCACAGGCCCATCATAGATGTAGCTGTAATAGTCGACCAGGCCCTCCTTCTCTTGCAAGTAGAAGCGGATCCAATTATGGAAGCCAGTGACCTTGCCTTTTTTGACTTCACCTATAATAAAGAGTTCAAGGTGGTTGATCTGAGCCTCCCTCCTAACCCCTTCCTCCCCTCCCAAGCCAAGGCCATCTCTCTTTTCAAGTCTCTGACTTTTAGATTGCTCATCTGCTCAGCCCCTTGCCCAGACTTCTCAGAGTCCCTAACATCCCTAACTTTCACTTCAGGAAGGCTCAAGCCCTTGGGAGAAATCCTCCTCCTGGCTGACTCTGGTGACCAAACTTGCTGGAAGCTTTATGGGTTGGTGTAGTGGGGAGAAAAACCAAGGCCCCCTTGGGAAGCAGCTGACCAAGTCCCAGAGGAAGAGGACCATTCAGAGATAGACAGCCATAGCCCCAAAAAGGTCTCCCTACATGTGCCCCTTGGGACCCCCAGCATCTGGTCCTCTTTCTCCCTTAGACACTCCGAGAAACTTTCCCTACGCAGTGGCCCCTCAGATGCCACCCTCTTGGCCTGGGAGTAGACATGTCCCTCCCTGCTAGCTGGCGTGGCTGCTGATTCTTCAATGCCTAGTGCTGCCCTGCTCTGGAGGGAAGCTGTCTCTCCATCTCTTTCTTTCCAAGAAGAGTGACCCCACCTGAGAAGACGTGTTCAAAGCCACTTGAGTCCCCCTCTTCATTGCCTCTTGAATAGAGCCCAAACCACATGTTCTTTAGGTCATCAACAAACTCCTGTTCTGAGCTGTAGCGGTCTGCGGGGAAGAAGAGAGAGGACTTAGGAGAATGGGAGGCAGGATTAAATCCTGGAAGGAAGGAAGGAACACCTGCTCCATCATGTTGAGACACGTGGGTTCAACCACCAAATGTATTCAGTTGTTCATTCAACAGTGATCTACGGGGCACCTGTGTTGTGCCAGACCCAGATCCAAACGCGAAGGATTTAGCAGGGAATCACAAGGACTAGATCTCTGTCTTTATAGTTTACATTCCAGTAGAGGAGACATATAATAAAAAAATAAACCATAAGTAACCAACAGTTTCAGATAAGTGCTATGAGGAAAATAAAGATTATCCCATGAAGACTGAAGGTGAGGATGGGGTAGGAGCTCTTTGAGAAAGGAAGACCAGAAAGGCTACTCTAAGAAGGTAGCACTAATCAGAGACCAGAAAGATAAGGAGCCAGCCTTGCAAAGGTCTGGGGCAAAGATTCTTCCATGTAGAGGGAACAGCAAGTGTGAAAGCTCCAGAACAACTTGAGCTTGATGTTCAATGAGCTGAAAGAAAGTCAATGCAGCTGCAGCAGCATGAGCAGAAGGGGACAGGTAGGCAGGGGCCAGATCAAGGAAGCCACGGCAGGAGGGTTGGATCTCAGTCAAACAGCAATAAAAAAACAAAAATATTTTGGATTTACTAAGAATGTTCTTTGTGCCTGGCACTATTTGAAGTGCTTTCAATCCTCACATTGAATCTTCACATCAGGTTGGTGCTAGTTATTCCCAATTTAGAGATGAGGAAACTGAGGCAAACAAAGGGTATACAACTCATACAAGATTACACAGTTATTAAGAGGTAGAGACAACACTTGAACCCCCACAATCTAGCTCCAGAGACCGACCTCTTAATGACTCTATAGCTGCTGGGTGATGGGAGAGCCACTAAGAGTTTTAAGCAGGAGAATTTTGTGTTGTGGGCTTTGTTTTTTAAAAATCACTTTGGTTGTGTATGTAAAAAGGTCAATGGGGCCTGTGAGCAGCAGAGAGACCCATCTGAGGCTAACGCTTTGCCCGTGTACCCAGTGGAAGCGGCTTAGATTGTGCTGGCAGCCATGCAGGATGGGTAAGAAGCAGACAGACCAGGGATAGATTTTGAAGGTGGAAGTGACGGATGTTATCACTGGTGGAGGAAATGGGGATGGGGTGCAGTGAGGTAGAGCGGAGAATCAGATACAACTCCTGGGCTTCTGACCTGAGCAACTGGATGAGGGTGTCCAACCTGCAGCCCACGGGCTGCACGCGGCCCAGGATGGCTATGAATGCAGCCCAACACAAAATTGTAAATTTACTTAGAAGCTTTTTTTTTGTTCATCAGTTTTCGTTCATGTTTGTATATTTAATGTGTGGCCCAGAGACACCACAAGGTTGGACACCCCTGAGTGGTGTCATGTACGAGACGGGGAAGATGAGGAGGGGCAGGAACCGTGAGTTCTCTCTGCACTAAGTTCCGAAGAGATGCCATAGGATAGGCAGGCAGGGCTGTTTCAATGGCAGCTGGGACCCAAGGCAAAGGCCAGCACTGGGGGGTCTAAATTAAGGAGCCATCAAATACTGACTGTTCGAATCTCAGAATTGTGTGTGGAGGATACAAAAGTGCTGCCAGACAGATTCCTTTCTTTCAAGGAGTTAAAACACAATTGGAAAGCAAGACTAAATATACACAAAATAACAGAATGTTTCACAATCTAAAGGGCTACCACTTACTTGGTACCAGGCTTTTTCCACTGGGTGCTTTACAAGCTTAAATCCTCCAAGACCCCATTTCAACAGATAAGGCTCAGACAGGTAGAATAATTGGCCCAAGGACGCGTCACTGGTGAGTGGCAGAGCCAGGACTGTAATCAAGTCTCCCTGGCCCAAGGTGGTTTGGGGCCACACCCCAAACCTTTTACCTCTGAAGAGATGATGAGAGCCAGCTGTAAGCTTGGCAAGTGAAGCTTCATAAATGCAGTGGGGTGGGAGCTAGGACTTGAAGGACAAGTGGGATCTGAGCAGGGAGCCGGATGAAGACAAGGCGAGTAACGGAACAGCCTGGCCTCGGTATCAGAACCCTGAGGTTCAGCCTGCCTCTGCTTACAACTTCCTGTGGCCTCATGCAAGCCACCTAGCCTGTCTGGGCCTCCATTTCTCTCGTTTAAAAAGTAGAAGTGCTCAGTGTTGACCACCAAGATTCTCTCATGTGTTTAGTACAAAGAGAACACCAGAGGGCAGTGCAGGATTGTGTCCTCTTCACAGGGATTATTTGTCACCAACTTTACGTAAACACGGAGCGTGTCTCTAACTCTGAACTGGGAGGTCCTTGGTTGGAATGCGGTAGCCAGCTGTGAGCAGGAGCGAAGCCATCCTGTGGCCAGGGAGGGAAGACCTGGGCAGAGCTGCGCTGAGGCAAAGGCCGGCTGCCTAGAGCTCAGGAGAGGAATCTGGAGGACACTGACAAACACAGCCCGCGCCAAGAAGCCCTGCAGCCCCGACCTTTTTTGGTCTGATTCACATGTCTCTGTCTGGAGCCACTCCAACCAGAACTCTGCCTGGTAGAACGTTCCCCTCTGAAGTCTTGTTGATCTTCTGTTGCTGTTTTCCCAACAAAAAAGTGGAGGGGGCTGACCTCCTTCCTGCACTTAGAGCCGGAGGAAGGAGCAGAATCGGGGAGTCTCTGAGCCTGGAAAGCAGCCCTGATGCTGGATCAGCCAAGGTGGCTGACACATGCCCTGCGTGGAGTGGGGGGCTCACGGCCTTGCAGAGAACCCTGAGACTGAAGCAGTGAGTGGGAGTGTAAACAAGGCAGCTGAGAGGAATTCCAAAGATGGGGTGACTTCCAGGCCAGGCAGAGGATTCTTCAGCTCCTGCTTAGGTCCATGATCTCTCTGGGCTCCTCTCTGGCCCGGTATCCCTGCCCCTCCCAAATGTACCCTGACCTCCAGGGAGTCCCCACACATGTTCTTAACCTGCCCACTGTGGAGGCCCCAGAGGTTCCTGGCTCTCCTGCAGACAGACCCGAGTCCTCAGCTCTGCTCTGCGGGGCCTGGGGAGGGCTCACTCACTCTGGTGCTGGAGGAAGCTGTAGAGTTCCTTCATGACTGCCGTCTTCAGGACCTCTCTGAGGAAGTTGTCCTGCTCGGCCAGCTGCTGGGCACTGAAGTGCTCCCCGTGGCCCGTCGCCCGATGGTAGTTGTTGAGGAGGTTGATGAAAGCAGCATAGGTCGGCTTGGAGAACAGCTTCTCGTTGACATATGTGAAGAGCCTGGAGAGGTGGAGAGAGGCCCAGAGGCCTGAAGGTGGAGTAGAAACTCCTCCAGGAATGGCCAGGTGGGCCAGGGCAGGCCCGCGATAGTTGGGTTGAGGAGCAGAGTGGGGACTTCAGGTACTCTTGAAGCCCATGCCTGAGGTCACCATCAGCCTAGCCAATCACAGAAATCCGCCCCCCCCCCAACATGGCTTCGTTTGCCTCTGGAGACCTATCTTTCCCCTTTCCCTTTGATCCTGCCTACCTGGAGGAGGAAAGACCTGAGGCATCCAAAGAAGTGAACTGAGGGAGAAACTTTGGGGTAGAAACTTTGAGAGAGAGAGAAGCAAAGGGAACTCACGGCTCTGGGCAGTGGTCCACTTGGTCTCTGGTTTCGGAGGGTGAGATGTACTTCTGGCTGTTGAGAACGATGTCTTCCTTCTGGGCTTTGTTGGTGTCCACCCTGTAGATGGTCTCCGAGATGGCCTGCAGCTCCTTCCCGGTTATGGCGTCGCTGCTGCGGGAGAAGCCCTCTGGGAGGGGTTGGGGAGGGCGGTCTCAGAGCCAGAGGGAGGCCAGGAGGAGGCCATGTCTGTGTGCCTCACCTTCGGAGCACCTTCCAGAAGTTGGCGGCAAGGGAGAGGGGCTGCCATCAGGCCCCCCAGGAGCCAGAGGACAGGGGCCTTGGGCCTTAAGTATCCTCAAAATCAGCACACAGCCTTGCCCACAGAAAGTCCAGAGAATGTTCACACTGGCCCCTTCCTCTAGGACAGTTCTCAAAGTCTCACATGCCTTAGAATCACCCGGACGGCTTATTAAAACAGAGGGGTGGGTGGATGGGGGGAATGAATTGGGGGGGGTGGTTAGGGTTAGGGTTAACCCACTCCCAGAGTTTCTGATTCAGTAGGTCCGGGGTAAAGCATGTCTAATAAATTCCCAAAGCTGATGCCACCAGCCCAGGGACCCCACTTGGAGGACTATTGCTCTGGAGAGTCCCCGGGGCTAGGCTAAAGGGAACAGGAGACTGACCGTGGCCACATTGGTTCTCAAAATCCTTGCAGCAGTTCCCAAACTCTGGGCAGCGGGCATTGCAGTGGCATGGGCGGCGCCTGTCGAAGGGTTCCTGGCAGCGGCCGTGGCAGGAGTTGGGCGCCGAGTACCGGTCTGAGAGAACAGGGCGAGGTGTGTGTGGGCCGACCTCTAGGGGTCGCTCCGTCAGGGCTAGCTCCCCACTCTTACTTAGCTTTGCTCCCCTGACTCTTCCGTTAAAGATCTCCAGGGAAGGAAAACAAACAAGCTTCACTGGTGCACACCCTTCAGTCAGGAAGTCCTTTCTGATGCCCAGCTCGACTTTCTGGCCTGTTGTTTTTATAATCTCCCCACTCTAAAAATAAAATCTCTTCCACTTCCCTCTCCGGCCTCTGTGCGGGCCTCAGGCTCTCTTTCCTGCTGACCGCCCCCGCCCCACCCCAGACTACTGAGGTCCTCAGGCTTCTTCCTGCCCAGGCCCCAGGAGTCCAGCAACTACCTCCAGGGGCTGGGCTTGGGGTCTGTCTGGCTTCGGCCTGGGCCTGTCACGGTAGGTATGTGTACCCCTCCCCTGCCACCCTCTCATGTCCTTTCTCCTTTCTCCTGCAGGTCCCCTTTGGGGAGGCAGACTCACTGCTAGCCGGGGCCTCTTCCGTGTCTTCCTCCAGCTCCAGGAATGGCTCTGGCTCTTTGGGGTCCCTTTTAGCTGAAGGGCAGAGAAACAGAGTCACCAGCCATCTCCGAGGGATCCCTCCCCTTTATCTCTGGTTCTCAGTTTCTCCGGCCTCAGGGACAAGCATATGCAGTGGAAGAAAATACAAATCAGGAGCTAGGGTCCAATGAGCAAACACCAAGTGAAGGAGGAGAAAAACTGAAAACGGAAGACAGAGGCGGGCTGATTGTTGAAAACTGTTATAAAGAGTGAAAAGCACCTCCCCAGGTGACATCCCTCCTTACCACTTTCCCCTCCTGGGCCTCGGTGTGTTCGTCTGTAAAAAGGAGAGGGGAGACCGAAGGTGGCCCCTTCTGGACTGAAAACTCAGGTTTGGCTACGGCTTTTCTCTAATGGAAGTTGATAGATGGATAGGGTTGACATTCTCCAGGTGAAAAGGCCCTTACGTAGGAACATGCCACACCTGTACTGACATCCCATTGGAGTCAAGGGTGGGCTTCTCCCAGGACCTCCCAGAACAAAAATTGTTTCCTGAGATACCAGTTTCCCTTCTTTCTTTGCAATGCACTCGACAGTGGCCACAGAGGCTGTGTTTGAGGGGAGGGCATGTTCAGAACAGTGGGTTCCTATTGCTGCTCCATTCCCTCAGCCTGGAGGCTGAGTGACTGCAGCCTCTGTCCTGGCCTCAGACCTTAGACCGGTGAGGCCGGATGGGGTGGGGTGGGGATGGAGAAGAGAAATCTTCCTGGGGACTCTGAGCTCTTCTGTCATCACACAGTGGAATAATTTCCCCCAAAGAAGCAACACTATTACCAAGTGACTCAGAATCTATTAGTGAGTTCACTGGGTAATGTTGTGTCATTACCATTAGAGCCACAGGTCAGGTCACCATTCAGCCACCAAAAGTCTTCCGATCACTTATCCTGTGCCAGGCTGTGTTCTGAGTGCCGACAGTTCACAGGGTTCTCAACTCAGTCACATTGTGTGCTGACAGACCTTCGTGAGCTGATCTAGGGCCTCAGACATCATTTATAATATTACGAGTTGCAAATCAGAGAGTTGGAGATTAAATGGCTCCTAAACTGAATATAATCTCTATCTAGAAAGGCCAGCCTGGTGGTCTACAGTGAACAGGCCTTCCTGTGTCTCTGCTCAGCGAGGAGAGAGGCAGCAGAAACAGGCAGGCTCCAATTCTGACAGTAAGCTCTGGGCCTGCTCCTCCCTACCTGAGCCTGCGCAGCAGAACTTCTGCTAGTGCATATGGTGTTCTTCGTGTTATTGAATAAAGTTCCCTTCTGGGTGAGAGCAGCTCTGTGGGCACATGGCTGGTCAGCAGACACCACCTTTGGGCAAATTAGGAAGAGGCACTCCTTTCTTTTCAGGGGCACAGGTCCAGCCCTTGGTGCACAGCTTAGCAAGAAGGATAGAGATTCAGCTCCGGTCTGCTTTGCCTGCCCACCATGTGCCCCTGCACAGTGCGCCATCTACACGAGCACACGCAGCGGTCTTGCTGGCCAGGACCTACCATGGCTTCAGTGAGCATACTTTCCAAATTGGGAGTCAGGACACATAGCCTGACAGTGAACTTAGCATGGCTTTTTGCCATAAAGCAGAAGATCACTTGTCTGGGAGTCTGAAACACTAGCAGCATACAGACAAAGTGATTATTCAAAGTGATTTTTTAAGTGACTCGTTTAAAACTGTGCCATTGAAGTAGCAGAAGAGGGACTGACTTTTGAGGGCAATGCATGTCCCATTTAATCGCTGGACTGAGGCTGACGGGTCGGACATGTCCAGCCACTCGGTCTCCTCGCTGTAGGAAGAGTCGTGTCAGTGGGGACAGTCATTGTGATGCCATGAAGCCTTCCTGGTGGCATGTAAGTTGGAAAGGTTTGCTACCACTTTTTATACTTTTGTGACAAAGTGTTGAGTAACAACTGGTATGGAATACATAATAAAATAACATTTTTTTATCATTTTGCTTTTTTTGGAATTGTTTAAACTTTTAAGATATTATTAACCCTGATAATTCAGACAGAAATTCCGGGCCTCAATTTAGTTTTAAGTTGGGGTTTTACACTGGGTTTATCTTACAGTACCTGGGACAAGTGGTGGCCAAATCCCTGACCCTTGCCGTGTCCCTAAGCATCCTCCTCCCAGGTCCTCTGAGCCTCATCATCGGCCCTGCCCTAGACTGCTGGCCATCCAAGCCAGCAGCCGTCAGGAGGTCTGGGCCTGGACATGGCTCAGCCTGCTGTGTGTTCCAGGCCCTTCTTCCCACAAGGCGCCTCCCCAATACCCAGGTGCTCATAGTCTTCACAGCAGTTCTGGTGCTGGCAACCCTAGCGGTCACCCTGGCAGGCAGCATCACAGTTAAATTTCTCACTACAGTGAGATGCACATGAGTCCATTTTTCCTATAGGCAGTTTAAAGGTCACAAACTCAGCTCAGAGAAGATCCTGTTCTCCTAATCAAGGCACCCATGCTGGAACGCTCGAGTCAAGGGCAGGGGCCCCACCTGGCAGGAAAGGCCATTGCTGTCCGCAAGGGGGAAGTCCACCCACAGCCTCCCATGCACAACGCAAACCTCCTTCTACTGCCCGCCGCCCAGCACCACATGCTCCAGGGCCTGCCATGCAGACCAGGTTCACCGACACAGACACCCACTGGGGCTGCACCTGCACCATCACTGAGCGAAGGAGCAGGGGGGCTGTAGGAAGAGGTGGGGTCTGTGATGAACTGGAGCAAGGCCCTGCCTGAAGCTGACAGCCCCCCTCAGCTCTAGCCCTGTGCTGCCATGTTGGCATGTGGGCTCCGTGTTGCCACACCTCTAGGTCTTCCAAGAGAAGACTTCATTTTTTCTGTGAAATTTTCCAATTTCTAAAAAATTCAGGCAGACCAAAGAAAAAGGTCTGTGGGCTGCCATTCACCTGTGCTGTAGGTGGAGGTGGGTCGCTGCCGCTCCAGTGGTCCCGCCCGCCCTCTCCCCTCTGGCCCGACCCCTCCTGCCCTTCCTCTCACCCTGTGCCTTTTATGTTTCCTGCTTCTTTGTTCTCTCCTCTCCTTCATCTGGTCTTCTCTGCATCCTACGCTCCCCCGTCTGCCCACCCCCCCCCCATATCTTTCTGTTTCTTGAATCTTTGGAATGCATTCAGATGAGTTTATCTCAGGGTGGGGAATGAGGTGGGTGTGGGTGAAAATTGGCCTCTGGACTAAGATCTGTTATGTAACCACAGACCACATCCCTGACTCCAGCCAAATGGCTTGCAGAAACAAGCTTTTGGTCACAGGGGCATAAAACAAGAAATTTTAAAAGAAATGGTACAAACCCACTACCACCCCTAAAAAAACAAGCCCCACCACGCCCACCACAGCAGAGACAGTGGAGGATTCAAGCCAGGGCGACAGCTGGCTGTGGGGGCCCTTCCTTCCACTCTGGGCTTCTAAGGGCGATAACGGAGCCTTTCTTTCCATTTGAGGTTCCTGAGGTTTGGATGTAGTGAGTGCTGGGGTTAGTTAGGGTCAGGCTGTGGGTTCCTAAGAACGTCAAGATCAGAGTCGGAATTACTGTCAGCATCGGAATTTGTGTGAATGAGGAAACTGAAACCTAATTTAGGCCACAGTTGGGGTTAGCTAGGTTTAGATTAAGAGCTACAGTTCAAATTTGGGCTTCAGTTAAATTTATTGATGAAGTAACAGTTTTGTATTCGTGTTTGGGTGAAGATTGGGGGTAGGTTTCAGATCACATTCAGGGTTGCGGAATGGGTCAGGATTGGGAGAGAAGGAATTAGCCCAGTTTTGCCTTAGACTGGATTTGGGATTTGGCACTAACTGTGATTCCATGCAGGTATAGTATCTCAATTTAGCCTGGGCTTGGGGCAGAGGTGAGTGTCAAGAATATGGGTTTAGTTACTGCTTTGGATTCTGGGATCAGGGCTTGTACTGTGCTAATGAGGGTGACAGCAGAGACGTCAAGAACCTGGACTCTGGCACCGAAATGCTTGGGGCTGGAATTCTGGTTCTGCTGCTTTCTAGCTGCATGACCTTGGGCAGGTTATTTGACCTTCTGTGCCTCAGTTTTCTTATCTGTAAAAGTGTGTAATAATGGAGGCCATCTTGTAGAATATTTATAAGAATTAAATGAGTTAATATTTGTAAAGCACTTAGCACAGTGCGTGACACAGAGTAGCACCATATCAGTGTTTGTTAGACAAACAAACAGTGGCAATAGTGTATGCCCGTCTTCGACGTGACCAGAATTCAGACTGGCTGGAGCAGTCTTCCTTCCCTGCCGACACGCTTGTCTAGCTGACTCCCTCCCTCGGTTGCAGGTAGGCTTAGGTGCCAGGGCATTTATGTTGCTGACAGTTTCCTAGCTGACATCATCATTATAGGTCCGTCTTCTTTACATCAAAGAGGTGTCAGACCAAGTTTAACCCAGGTCCTGAGGCAACTTCGCATTGTGTGCAGGGCCCCCAGTGTGCAGGCCTCAGGTCCAGTGAATTGTCCCTAAGAAAGACCAGGCCCAAGGCTCCTCTTCCCCTCAGGCCCAGGGGAACTCCTCTGAATCTTAAATGATTCTCCCTGAGAACCTGAATGCAAAGACCTTAAAGAGAAACTTTCAGCCGGGCAGAAAGGCTCTGTCAGCTGCCTGCCCAGCCAGCCTGGCAGTACACCCAGAATCCAAAGGGAGAGAATTCAGACAAAAAGGGCAACGTTTTTAATGGGCCAGATCAGCAGAGTCCAAGGAAAGAATTCACTTCATTCCAGCAGCTGGCACCGGTTGAGACGGGCTGCAAGTGAATAGTCAGCTCTGTAGTGCTCAGGAGCACACCCCCACTGGCCCCGGTGGGAGTGGGCTGTCTCATGTCTGTTCAAGAACTTTGTCCCCAGTAGGAAGCCTGGGCCAGGGATCCTTCACACTTCCCTGTAAACTTGGTGGGCTTCAAATGACCTTGGGATTTGAGGGTGGAGAGGCCCCTCCGTGTGCTGCTGTGCTGGGGAACATTCAGATGACTAGTCACCCTGAGTACTCACACCAGCACACCACCTGATGCCAGGCACCTGAATCACTGCTCCGCCCCCCATCTGCCTCCCCCGTACCCCATCCCGCTGCCCCATCTCTGCCCCTGTCTCTCTTCTGTTCGGCTCAGATTGTCCTTCCATTTCCCATGAAGACCTTAGCCATGGTACCCCCACCCCACAATGAAACACTAAATTTCTCTGCACCTTCCAAGATGTCAGTATACTAGAATGCTCACTCCCTACCCAGACCGCCCACCAAAAGAGCCCAGGTGTTTCTATGTACCAATGCTGAGCCCCTCTGATGGCTGGAGCAACTATATCTGTGCCTATCCAGGGGCCCGGATGCTATTTCCATGGAGACCTAGTCAACCAGAAAATTCATTTTCAGGACCAGCTTTCTGCCTCAGCCAATGACTCCCCATGTGACTCATATTCTTGCATCAAAATTCTGAGATGTTGAAATAGGATAGACAAAGCACAGCCTCTCCCCTCCCACCTTAGGAAAGAAGGAAGCATCAGCCACTGAACCTCGCTCTCCCATCAATCCCACAGCCAGATCAGGTCACCACCCCCAAGGGTCAGAGCTCCACTGGCACATGTGAAACTGCTGTTGCCTCTGCCCTCAGGGATGCCTGCCTTCCCCACCCTCACCCAGGGACCAAAAGTCTTCAGTTGCTGTCCTCTCCTGAGACTGGGATGCACCAAGCCAGTGGCCACTCTTCCCCACTAAGCTAGGCTAGGCGTTGTCATGTCCTCCCTCACTCTCTACCATTGGCCCTGGGCCACCCGGGGCCCAGTCAGAGCTGATTTCCAACTGCTCTGCCATAATCGCAAAGTGCGGGTACACGATCCCGTCCAGGGTTGGGAGGCCTGGGAATAGTTTCCTCTCCAAATGCTTTCCACCTGGGAATCCCATTAGGGGTCTCCTTATCCACAACCTACTTGGAAATGACTCCGAGAGTAAGTTCCTCCTGAAATATTTATAATCATAAAGCACCAATTCACTGAGATCTCACCCCATGTAGAGTGCTTTTTATACATTATCTTATTTAGTCCTTACAACAGTCCTTCCTATACAGGAACCACTGAGTCTAAGTGGGTGTCAAGCTCTGACTCTCTCCTCCAGGCAGCCAAGCACTCTCCCCACATCTCGGCTCAGCTCCCTCCCTTGGCATTCATTATTACTCACTCACTAACCACAGCTAACACACTGGCATCAGCGTTTTGCACAGCTACCGAACAGCAGTGTTCCCATCCCATCCCATCCCCTGCACCGCTAGTAGCTGTGGGCCAGGACCCTTCTCTTTGTGTTCGTTCCTCTAACACTGGGACAAGACTGATTCCTCAGACCATGTGTCTAGCCCCAGATAGCACACAGCCTGCCTCCTGGTCTGGGGCGCTTCCTTCCAGTTTTCCCCCCGAGCCTGCCCTTCTCCTAAGGCTCTACCTAGAGAAAGGTCCCACCCCAGACAACCTCACCCATCCCCAGGCAGTGGAGGGAGTCACCAAGGGCAGGCAGGCCACTCAAACCCAGCAGGCCACCGCCCCAGCTTTATATCATACAATGACTCCAAAAACCCAAACATTGGAGAGATTGAAAGTCAGGTTGGACTAAAGGATGTTTGTGGCTGGCCTCCCAACCTGTCAGGAAGTGGCTTCCGTGTTGTTAGTGCATCAGCCCCCACAACTCCCTTCACAGCCCAGTCTGCTCCAGAGGCAACTCCTGCACCTCAGACAAGGACCCCTCTAAGGTGCTCTATGAATTTGGGACAGAGTTGATCCTTCCTCGTCCCACTACTTTCACCCTCTACCACATCCCCCAAATCTCTGCTTCTTTCCCCAGGACCACTTTTACCGCCACCAGATAGAGACTTACCGGTCCAGGCCAGGCCACAGAGCACGGCCAGTAGCAGGAGGACACAGGCCTTCATGGTGCCCAGCTGGAGGCCAAAATGAGACTGGCTGTTGGACTTCCACTGGAGTCAAGATGAATGTCGCAGCTCTCAAATGAGCCTTATTTCTCAGGCTGGCCCTTTTAAAGACATCAGAACTTGTGGATCTGGTACCTCCAGATCTTTCCAAAAAGAAAAAAAAGGAGGGAGGGATCCCAGATGGATTGGAGGTGGAGAGGGGGTGGGGCCCTCCAGCTGTTTGAAGCCAGAGGGAAGGTGACTTAGCAGCAGGTAATGCCAGATGTTTAGAACAGGTAATGCTAGCTAGCCATCTGTAGCTAGAAAATAGGTCATATGAGCAGGCTTATCAAGATGGGCCTAAGTTAGGGGGTTCTCTGTCCACATTAAGGGCACCCATGGGCTTATCTTTGGCTGATGTCTCCCAAACATCCCTCACCTGAAAGCCTCAAGCCCGACTTTTCCACAGGGAAGGGGCTGCAGGCTGGCTTCCTCTTGGAGTTGCTGGTCCTCAGTGGGAGAAACATAGTAAGATGATCATCACCAGTTTGATTAACAGTAGGTGCTCAAGCAAGCATCGGGGTTAGTGGGTTGAAAACAAAGGCTGTTCTTGTTACCATCAAGCCACATATAAATCAGTCACCTTAGAAATATTATGCAAATGGGCCTCTAACTCTTACTGAGTCAGCATCTCAGCTCTTACATGTTTCAGGTTCTCATGGGTTCCAGGTTTATGAGGCCCGAGAAGGACCGGAGGCCTCTTCAAGGCAGCCAGAGGAGCCACCCTTCCTCTGCTGGGAGCCCAGGGCCTCACTCCCTTTTCCCCCTGCTCACACTCCTCTCCCCAAAGACCCTCCCCAGAGAGAGACGAGGCCTCTCAGGGGTCCTTTCTTCCCAAGTCTAAGAACAGAGGTGTAGCAACTTGGGGCGGCCAAGTTTCCCCTCCTACTAAAGAGTCCATCTGCTAAGTGCAGAGCCCTTCCCAGAAAGAGCGCTGCACGGGGATTCCCAGCCCTCTCGGAAAACTCGCATATAAAAAGGCAAAACTCTAAGGCAACAACTAAGAATCTTCCCCAGTGACTTCCCCGCCCCCCCCCCCACCATGGGGGTTGCATGCCGTCCTCAGCCAGTGTAGTTTAACAGTAGAACTTTTTTCCTCTCAATTTCTATTTTCTCACCTTTGAATAGATGGGGTTGGATCTGACAATCCCTTCCAAGTTCTCAGCTTTATTTTGAGGCTTCCTGCCCTTGTCCCAGGTCGAGCAGCTGTCAACAGGTTAAGGAGAACCTCCCAACCCCTTGCTGTGTAGAGATGAGGTCACATATGCCGTGGTCTCAGGAGCAGAGAGGACAGTCTGGGCGAGCCACCTGGGAAGGGACGCACCCCGGAAACAACCGAAGAGGAAGTCCAGCCCTGTTCTTCGGAAGGAATTCCAGGTAAAGGGAGTAGGAGCAGAAATGGCTGTTTTGTTTGCATGAGTTTCATTTGCACAACACGAAAGCAGGCTGTTGGGCCACTGCCAGCCCGTGTTCTCATTCTTCCTAGATTACAGCACATGAGCATAGCTCAGATGCCGGTTAGCTTAGGAAATAAAGCAGAGTGTCACTGGTTGAGCCAGGAAGCAATGAAACCTCAGAGTCTGGGATTGGATGATCTGTCCCTTCCAAGCGTCCGCAGCGGGGACACTGGCTGAGACCAAAGCTATCGGAGTGGAAGTGGTTCTAGCCAGCATTGTCCTGATGTCTGATTGAACTGACTGTGGGATGGAGCTTTGAGGGTGTGTGCACGCCCCTCATCAGGGGAATTCTAGGTCAGGGGCAGGCTGGGAGCTGGGCAGACAGTTAGACTGACCCCATAGAGCCAGGTGGGTCATCTGAGGACCCAGGTGCTTCAGACCAGGTCCTCCGACAAGACCACAATGTCCGCTAAACAACCACCACCGGTGCTGATGGTTGTTCTCACCATGTGTCACACGTGAAGCACTTCCTGTGTGCTCTTTCATTCTCACTACAACTCTTAACAGACACTCTTGTCGTCCTCATGTTACAGGTGAGGAAACTGAGGCACAGAAAGGTTAGAAGATGTGCCCAGGAGCACACAATTATGAAGTTATGCAGCCAAGTCTCTGGCCAGAGTCCTCCCCACTGAGCACCAATGCCACGTCACCCAAAGCATCACACCTTTATGGCGCCACAGCAACCATGCCATTATGTCTGCATGACCATGCAATGAGCTCTGGAATCAGATTCACTGGAATTACAGGGACCTCAGAGGCCACCTAGTTTCACTTCTTACATGATGGTGCAATGCCCTAAACAATCCTAAGCGGTTGTCCTGCCTCCACTTGAATACTTGTGGTGCTAAGGGACCCTGCTTCCTCAGGGCTACTGACTGCTCACCCCCCTCCCACTCCCCTGCCCAGGTCTTGTTCCCAAACCCCAGGACTTTGCAGCCCAAGGCAGGCTGACGTGGATGAAAGTAGATAGAAAAGTAGAAAAACATCCATTCGGTCAACACATGAGTATATATCCATACATTCGTGCAAAGGGGCCTCATAGATAAACTTAGGTGCACGCATATATGTACACACAGGGGTGGGCAAGACTAGGTTTACAGTTGTGAGTACACAAAACAGAGTTTATTCTTGTGTTATTATTACACTGCGGACGGTTTCTCTTCTTGGCTGGCCTGGTCTGGACAGAAAACTCTGCTGCCTTCTAAGTTCTTCTAAGCCTTCTAAGTTCTCCTCCCAGTTAGCTCCTCACAACCGCTTTCCCTCTGATTGAAAACACTTCCCAAGGAGCCGCCATGGGAGGCAGCCGGCAAGGGGAGAGTCCCAGGAGGCTGGGGCCTGGATACCTGGGGTGGGGGGACAGCGGTGAGGAGTGCATGGTGGTGGCATGCACATGATGTGAACACCAACAGAGACGTCAGAAAGTGAGGAGAGGGTGCAGCTGTGGCCTCTGAGGAGGCTGGGAGGGTGGGGAAGAGGGTGACACTTCCTGGGCAAGGCTCTGGGAAGCAGTCCGCGGTCAGCGATCTGGGGCCTGGGGATTCCACCTGTACGTATTGACTGGTGCCTGCTGTGGGCCTGGTCTGTGCAGGCCCTGGACTGGCAGGGTTCAGGCTGGGCTGGAAAACTATTCTTGGAATTGATTGGTTTCTACTGGGACAGAGAACAATCCCAGCATTTGGCCACTGTGAAGTAGACCCCACTCATGTCTGGGGTACCAAAGTGGTCAGGGGTCTCTCAGGGCCAGAAGGCTATGGGAGAGGCTGACACAGGGGACATACACCCAGCTCAGCCTATTTCACCACCCTTGTCCTCTGTCAAACCAAGACGGAGTCTTTCCAGCACAGGACCAGAGCTAGGAGGGGTCCTGCAGCTGTATAGCTCAGCTGCAGCCTGGAGTCGCCCCCCTAAGGGGACCCTGGCACTTGAAGACACTGGGTCTGCAGTCTCCATCCCACTGTGGCAGGTGGGTGCACCAAGATAGAGGCCCAGGACGGTCACCCGCACCTGATCACCTGTGAACCACATCAGTCTGTCGCATCTTCTTACTGAATGAGTCATAGAGAGGTTCCATGAGCGATTTTCTCCCAGACTGGTTGGCACACTGCGTGCCACATGTGGGTTTCCAGGCACTTTTTAAGTTTGTGCGCAGCCCTGACATTCAGTGCCACACTCATGGCCTGACCTGGGCACATCAGCCAGCCACGCCGCCTGAGCCGTTCATTACAGAGTCCCAGGCCATGCTTCTGCTCCCGCTGGCCAGGCCCCATGCCGATCCTCTGCCTGGAACTCCTGCCCCCCCACCCCCGGCCAGCTGTCCGTCTGCTGCTCACCCCCCAGCCTCCGTGCAAATCCTCCCTTCCACAAAGCCGGGCTTCCTCCCTCCAGCCCGCAGGACCCCTCCTGACTATGGACGCAGTTCTTGGTATTTGTCCTGTGACACATCAGAGCCCCCTCTGAGAGGTGTTGCTGCCAATGTGCTGCTAACCACGCACTGTTGTCTAACTTTTCACCTGTACAGGTGTGTCTTCAGCTTGCCTCGGGAATTCCTTGACACTGATACCCTGTCTCATGGGTCCCTTCTACTGCTTTGTATTGTCATCCAACCTGTGATAGGTAACTGTCCACATGTGCGTGGAACCAGGAAGGAACAAACAAATGAACTGAGCCTTCCAGCCCCACTTGTTATAAAGGGAAGATGGTGAGCAGAGCAGAGAGAGCTGGTGGACTCCTCTAGGAGACCTGGAGGCTCCAGAGTTTGTTCATGGGGGGAGGGAGGCTCAAGGGCAGTGGGTATAATGGAGTCTAGGGACTTACATGTTGTTGTGTTTTCATAGCAAACACATCATTTTAGCTGTATTATATGTATATTTGGGACTAATGGGAATTTGGGGGACCTAAGCCCCTTGGCACCACCACTGCAAAGGGTGGCCACTACAGGGATCAGGCAGAACGTGGGACTCCAGGTTGGGGAATCCCAAGGCAACCACCTGCCTCCGTGTTTGCTGGCTATGCTGATGTTTGTCTCACATGCCCACAGTGATCAGAAAATAAATTTCTGTTTCACTCCTCCAAAGCCAGTGGTTTCGGAGAGGCTGGAGGCACGGGTGAGAATGAAGAAGAGGATGAGGCTGGCAGACAGCGACAGGGAGGCTCAGGGAGACAGGAAGGGTGTGAGCGAGGGCAAGACCCAGACAGAGCCTGGCGGAGGCCAGACTGAAGCCAGGCACTGGGGCGAGGCACCTCCCTGGTCACTCGCCCCAGGTGCATTGGCACAGCCAGCTGCTCTCTCCTCACAAAGATGATGATGGGATGCCCTGGCGGGAGCCATTCCTGACCCATGAGCTGAATCAGCTCTACAATCTGTCAAAATTATTGTAATTAGTGTGCTAAGGTAGTTGGATTGTGGGCAATTAATTTCCCCCTTTCTCGTTCACTCGTTCATTCACTGGACTATGCTACGCCAAGTGGATGCAAAGGCGAGGAGCTCAGGATCTGAAGGGGGACAGAGAAGATGGAACAAGTACACTGAAATCTATGACTGGGGCAGTAGGACACAGTGCTGAGACCACCGGTTCTAAAGCCAGACTGCCTGGGTTCAAATCCTAACTCTTCCACTCACCAGCTGTTCATCTCAACCCTAGGCAATATTCCTGACCTCTATGCCTCAGTTTCCCCTGTAACTTAAAATAGAGCTAGTAAGACTATTTTACAAGACTTTTGTGAAGATTGAATGAGTCAATACTTGCAAAGCTCTTTAAAAAATGCACAGCACATAAAATGACCAGATAAATGTATATTAAACAAAAAAATAGGGCCACGGAAAACCTTATTTACATGTGATGATTAGGAAAGTACTCCCTGGAAAAATGGCATTTAAAACAGACACAAAGTGGAAGCTTCTTGAACCTCTCCATAATTTGATTTTTTTTAATTCCAAAAACAAATGTGCATTAAAAATAATTTTGAGTCCTAGGGATGAGTCATTAATGACCTACACCGTCTAGCTTTCCAGGTTTGGTCGCCAAAGGTAACCACCTATTTTCCGGGGAACTGAGCCTTGCTTTGCAGGAAGCCAAGAGCCTCAATGGGGAATAAACCCACAGCTCCAGCCTCCTGCACCTTTTGCTTTATATGATGAGATTAGCAACAGCCAAGGACCAAGAGGGAGGAGAAACGGAGAAGGCTGACCTCCTCTGTGGGCCACCGGGGTCCAGCCTCCCTCCAGTACACAGGTTTTGCCCCTGCAGAGCCCAGCTCCAGCAAAGTTGAGGAGATAGAGCTGGCCATCTACCTCTCTCCCCTAGGAGCAGGGGGGTGCTCTGTGTTCCCAGGGCCACTGCAATATGTGCTAGGGAAAACTCTGGACCTTGCCCCTTGCCCCATGTCATGTCAGCTCCCCTAATGCCATTGTCTCAAGGCTCTTTCTTTCCTCTTCTTCCCCTTAGAATCCTCCCAAGTCATATCAGGGAGGATATGACCAAGTCAAATCCACCCAACAGGGACCTTCCACAGACCAGCAGGACTCAGGCGAGCTACAAGAGGCAATGTGGAAGGACAGCAACCTCTCTGAGGACCCCTCTAATAAAACGGTGTTTGCTGCTGGCTCTCCATCCTGATGGCAGTCTGGCTGGAGGCTACAGCTGGGAAGATGCTTGGAGGGGTCGCTGGCCTCATGACCAAGGGCAGTCTGTGCCCTCTCACTCGTTCTGATGCCTTGAGCTGCCTAAGCCATTGACACTAATGGCAGGAGCACATCCCCAAACACTCCAAGTCCAAATCTCTGTTTATAAGTAAGAAAACTGAGGCCTGGGGAGCGAGAGGGACCCGCCCAGGGCCATGTGACTGCTGAGTCCCAACTCCTCCACCCCACACACGGCTCACTGTGGGAGGACCACCCTGACTCACGCCGGCGCCGCCTAACTCTGGTTTGCACAGCACTTTTCTGGAAAGCAGAATAAGCTTAAAATGCCCTGCTGTCATGGCCCTAGCAAAATGTCACCTTGTCTCCACCCCTCTGCTGGCTGAGTCCTCTGAGTGCCAGGAAAGCCTGCACTCTCCTCCACCCAGCACCCTGGAAACAGCTCTGGCTGCCCGAGGCTCCCACCCCAGCCTGAAAACAGGCCGGGGGCACTTCCCAAGGGCGAAGAGCATGACAGACGGAGTCAGGCAGGGTCCTAAGTGTCCAGGTCCCTGGCCTGGAGTCCATGCTCATCAGTCTAAATGCACATGAGCCACCAGAATCTCATGCTTTCTCAAAAAAAAAAAAAAAAATGGTGGGCCTGGGCTCTGAGCCCAGCCTTCTTCCTTCTCCGAGGAGTCACAGGGTGCAGGCTCCTGCCTCAGCGTTCCATCCCCTACCACCACCAGCAGCCGCCTGTGGCCTCATTAAGGCCGCGTGCCCCGGGAAGGCCCCAGGCATGGGAGAGAAGACGCTCTCTGAGTGTAGCTGAGTCAGGCTCGGAGCTCTCAAAGCACAGCTTCTCAGAGCGGCCTGTCATCATCTTCACTGGGAGGGATGGCAGCCACCTGTGCCCTGGGAAGAGAGCCCCTTTGCCCTCAGATGCCCCGTCAGGTGCCCCATCGGGCTGGGCAGTAGGAGGGTGAGGCACAGGCCTTGAAGAGTCCAGAACCTCGGGCAGGGATGCCCAGAGCAACTGGACAGGACTGAGTGCACATGGGCTAGTTCAAGCCCATGGCCCAGTTCAAGCCCATGGCCCTGGCAGATGAGTGAGAAGCCCAGAGCTCTGTGCAGGGGTCAGGTATCAGGACACATTTCAGAAGTGCATTCACATTCTGGCTTGTATGTCCACAGAGGCGAGGGAGGGAGCAGCAACTACTAGGTCAAAGATTTCGCCCCAGCCACTGTATCTGATACTCAGGACACGGTTATACCAGTGGGGAGCACCTTGTACTGGGGGTACAGTGAGAGCACCCCCAACTCTGGGAGGCAGAGCTTTGCAGTCTGGTGCGCAGGGCTCTGGGCGGGTGGGAGGGGCGGAAGTTGCCACGACTAGGGCTGGGTGCCTGCATCCCAACACGGGAGCAGCCGTGGGCCTCAATGCTTGGGGGTGAGCAGTGAGACCCTGCCACCCGAGGCACCCACCACTCTCTGGACTGGTCCTCTGAGGCATCTTGTTCCTCTGATGGCTGTGTTCTGCACTCATCCACACGGCTGGGTGCTCTGCCCCCTGAGGGGCCAGGACTGCCTGTCTCACTCAGGGCCTCTACCAGGCCCGTAGTAAGTTTTCCAAACTGGAGGGAGGGAGGGTGGAAGGAGAAGAGGACTTACATGCCCAGGGCTCTGAAGTGTTGGGGTTTGGGGAGACTGCAGCTGGGGGCCCTGGGGCATGAGGAGAGGTTATAGACGAGCAGGCCCATGGCGTGGGCATGGCTGAAACCCATGCAGCTCTTTCACCAGTCCACCCCATCATTTACCAGTAATGTAACCTCAGGCAAATCTTTCTGTGCCTCCGTTTCCTCGACTGTAAACAGGGGTGAAAACACCTACCCTATCATCAGTGTCCAAATAAGACAATAGAAAGTGTATTAGAAAGAATGAAAACGATTCAAACCAATTACCATGGTAAGTACAGTGGTACCTCGGTTCTAGTCGTCAATTCATTCTGGAACTCCTGGTGAATCCGAAACCCATGAGTAAACAAGTGACGAAGCATTTTCTTTTGTGGGGCGGCATCGTAACTCACAAGTTCTAGCGAGTACGAGTCCCGAGCAAGCGCCGAGTGCTGAAACATCTTTTCTCAGCAAAATGCGAGTTTGACAAGTTCTGAAGCCAAGGAGTACCGAGGTATGACTGCACTGGGAATGACAGCTGCAAGTATACTAAGAAGCTTAATCTTTGCAACTTGGGTCGCTGAGAAAACAAAAGCCCAGAGAGGGTGAAAGCAAATCAAGGCCTCTCTCCCCCACCGTGAGCTCTAACTGCACGCAGCCACCACCATGGCTGACTGACTGCAATAGGGGTGGAGGGTGCTAGATCACCAGCTCAAGTGGGACTGGAGAGAGAAGGGGGCGGGGGGCTGGCTCCCAGGGAGAGAAGCTGGAGCAGCTGGAGGGCTGGGCTTCCCAGCCTTCCTTACTCCTTTACCAGATCCTGCTCAGCCTGCTGGAGTCATGTGCCTCCCTGGTGTGCACCCCACAATGTAGAGTCCTGACCTGGCCCCCAGCCTGCCTCAGTCTTGCACAGGGAAACTGAGGATGAGGGGTAAGGGTGGGTAGGAGTGTGTGTGTACTTGAGAGAAAGAACTGCCCCTTCCATCCTGTTCTGCCCTGCAAGGCACACACATTGCCTCTCTGCTCTACCTCCCTTTAGGTAAAGGAGTATTTTAAGGGCTTGATCTCACACTTCCTTCTCCCAGCCATCCCATGAATTCCTCCTCCCATCATGGCTCTCCTGAAGCTGGGAGCCCCACCGCCACCACCCCGCCCCTCACACACACACACAGCCTGGGCTGCCAGGATGCCCCACCCGCCCCACCCACCCCACCCCTGGGCAGTCAGGGAGACAGAAGGTTACACCCCTCAGAGCTAGAGTCACTGTGATCTAGAGCCTCTCCTTCTGCGGTGACCCAGTCACTGGGGCCTTTCACTCCAAGTCTGTCCTCCTGCCACCCCGGGCACTGTTCTCCTGGGGAAGCCTGTCCCACCAGGCTCAGGGGGGTCCTGCACAAGAGACGAGAAGGAAGCAGCTGGGAAGCTGACGGGCAGCCTAGGCTGCAGGGAGATTCACAAGTCACCAAAGTCCTGTAGGGACCAGGTGTGACCACAAAGAAAAGGAGAAACACTGATGGGGACACCAGCCCCCACCAGGCATGGCCCATCGCACAGGGCTGGTCTCCCTTGAGTCCGAGAGGATGGGGTTGGGCCGTGGCAGGCTGCGGTCATGCCGAAATCCTGACAATGTGTTTAGAAGAGAAGAAAGCCATTGGGAGTCCTGACTCATGAAGACTGAGGCTCAGCCTTGTCCTGACTGCTCAGCTCTGGAAGCTTCTGTGCCAGTGGTCCTCCATCTCCACCCCAGGCAAGGGAACTGGCTTGGTTGCCCCGCCACCTGCTCCAGCCCAGGTTCTCCCTGGGGAGTGGGCTCTGCCTGGCTTCACCCGAGGCGATGCTATCCCTCGGTCAGGCTGAGGACACAGGACTGCCCACAGCTGTCATGTCAGCTGTGGGGGCAGTGCTGCAGTTTCACTGGCTTGTCACCAAGAACTGGACTGAGATCACACCCATCTTACAGATGGAGAAACAGAGGCAGAGAACTGTTCATGGACTGGCTCAGATTCACTTGGAAACCTGAGGTTTAATCCCAGTTGTGCTGCCTCCTGCTAAGGGTTCTGACACTTTCTGGAAGCAGCTTGCATGCGTCTGTGAGCACGGGATGAGGTCTGGCAGTGTAGGGGTGAGGGGGGCGGGGCGTGTCCAGCCTGAGCCCTGGCAGGTGTACCCACTGAGCAGGTGCAGGGCCGACTTCCTCTACGGGCCCTGGAGCCTGCCGCTCCACACCTGCCCCAGGCTTACTCCCAACACCAAGAGGTCCCTCTTGGGCAGACAGTGTACCACCTCCCCCCGCCAGGCCCAGGGCCATGGGGGGCAGAGGGGAGGGAGGGGTCCTCCCAGTAACTGGTCCCCAAGGGACATGCCGAAAAGAGGACTTAATGCTGACAGAGCCTGCTGGGACCATTCTCACCACTGATGAGAACTCCTGACTTCCTGGAAGCCTGTGAGGCCTCAGCAAGGGATGGACTCCCCACAGAAGCCTATACTCAGCGTCCTCTCTGACACTGACCCCCCCGCCCCCCGCCAGGCCTTGATTCAGTGTGAGCACCTGGGGACAGGCCAGGATGAGCTCCAGGCCAAGGGACAGGAAGTGGAGCCAGAGGAGGCAGTGAGAGGAGCGAGTTGTAGCTGGGCTGTCCTAGTCCTCTCAGACCCCCATCAGGAGCCAAGGGCTTCACTGGCAAGCAGATAACAGGGGCTCCGGGCTCCAGCAGGTGCGGTGGCGGGGGAGCGGGGGCCGGATCTGGACAGCAGTCAGCCACCTGGGAGCCCTGCCTGGGTCCCGGAGACCACACTCAGACTGGGGAGCTGCTCCGTCAGCACCCCCACAACAGGGCTGGGCTCAGAACACAGGCATCTGTTAATTCGGGGTAATAATAAGGCTCTTTGGGGACCACCGCTCCAGAACAAACAGCCTTGACCACACCCAAGTGTTTATCTTCTGTCCTGTGGAAAGAAAAGCAGGACCCGCCCTCCCCACGCCCGGCCCTACCCCTGCCACACACATGCCACACTCATGGAGACAAACCCCAGGGGCCAGGGGGCGCCAGACAACAAAGCCATAAGCACAGAATCCGGAAAAAACCTGGTGTGGAGAGCGCTCTATTGAACACAGAGTCCTGGCGCCTGCTCTGCTCTCCCACCCACTCCAGGGTCTCTCTGCCCCCCATTCCTTGGCACAGGCCCACTCATCCCACTCTGAGGTCCTCCTTGGCCCACAGTCATCACAGGGGACAGCTGCCTCCACGCCGCCAGATCCAGGGCCTCAAGCCAGCTTCTCGGAGAGCCCTACCCAGCTGTGGCCAGCCTGTGGGCCCCGCGGCCCGGCCCGGGCGTGCCCTGGCTTTCCAGGCGGGAAGTGCCTGCCGCTCTGGCTCTGGCCCCAGCCCCTCCTCACGGCTCCAGTTCCCGGGAGAGGCGGGACAGTTCCCGCTGGTTGTCAATGACCTTCAGCTGTTGGACGTAGGCCCAGGTGCTGCTGGGACTCCGGGTGCCCAGGGACTGCTCCGAGCCTGGTGGAATGAGGGTGGGGGGGGCAGGGTCAGTTCAGGGAGGGCACAGACACCACTGGTAGAGTCCATCCCTTCCCCTTCCAAGGAGCAAACCGGCCTTCTTGCCCTCTGCCATCTACCCTGCCATTTGGCTGCCCCGCCCCACACCGGTCTGGGGGCAGGAGAAAGGCAGGCCCCCAAGATTACATATAGCATAACAATACCTATTTTACTAAGTTCGAAAACAATTAAAACTAAAGAATATTTTGTTGTCATATATATATGTATATATATACACACACTTAAAATGAGGCATTTAAAATATATATATGTATATATGTATATTTACAAAAACAAGAAACCAAGTAACTCAAAATTCAGGATCATAGTGAGTATGGTGGGAGGCCAGGGGACAGGAGAGGGGACCGTCACACAGAGAGAAGCAGAGTTGACCACATGCTCGTGCTTGGGCTGTGCAAGAATGTTCCCGACACTATCAGAATAAACACGCACGTGAAGGAAAGTAAAGGGCCCATGATAACAGTGTGGCCGGGACCATGGAGCATGGTTAATCCCATTTCATGCAACTGAGGGCCGATTTTTTAAATGCAGGCCGGGAGCCAGACGGCCTGGGTCGAGGCTCTCTCGCTAACTAGTGCGGCCTCCTGCAGGTCACTTCAGGACACCGGCCCGCTGGCGCACCTTTACACTGGAGTGACATCCACCTCCTCCCGGAGGCGTGGTAAAGTTATCAGTGAGTATCATACATGTATCATGCATGCAAGCGCCTACACATGCCAGCCACGGCTAACTCGGCACCCACCCTGCCCCCACTTACACGTGGAAATCCTCGCCATCTGGCCGTCCTCGTGGAGGTGGGAGACGCGGCTCCTCAGTGGTGAGAGAGGCACTGCGTGGGGGGAGAGGCGGGGGTTAGGGAGACAGAGCCAAGCCCCAAAGGGGATGCTGTGGGGGGCGCCCACGCAGGGGCCCAGCCTTCTCACCGTAGCCGTGGCTTCGGCAGTGGTGCAGCATCCGCACGGCTCTGGCCATCATTCTCTGCGGACAGAGCAAGGACACGAGGCCTGGCCTCAGGGCAGGACCCTGGCCTGGCCTGTGAAGCCGCTGGGAACCCGAGCTCCCTCTGAGGGGGGTGCTCCCAGAGACTAGGAAGCCATAAGAGGGGGTCACGTCTGCTTCTCCGAAGCACAGGCAGAGGCCCAGCAGGGGCCAGGACGTGGGAAGAAGAACAAAAGTCCAAGAGGAAGAGGCCTGGGAGGGGCTCTCCTTGAACCATGAGACAGTTGAGGCTGCCACCCCAGCACCCCCCACAGCAGGCCCTCCCGGATACAATGGGGTTAGGCATACTATGTTAACATAAGTATTCACATTCACATTATTAATAACTGTAGACCATTTCCCACGCCCTGCTCCCTTCCAAGGTCATAGTCATGTCCCCCAAAACACTCCAGTAGTAAACAACCACTCTCCTTGAACTCACCATCTTCTCAAAGTTGATGAGATTCTCCACCAGGGTGGGGTTTCCCTCATGGATAAAGGTCATGTCTGCAAAGAAACAGATTTTGCTCAGAGGTCTCCAGACGCCTTCCCCTTCCGGCAGCCCAGGAAAGGTGAAGGGCCTGTCCCGCCCCCGCATGGCCCTCTCCCTCTGGCTCCCCTCCGACCTCCTGGGGTATTTCCTTGTATCTCTTCGGCCTCAGATCATAGGCCAAGTAACGTCACCGATGTCTGCCTGCATGTCCTGCCTCTGCTTCTGGCCTGTGAACACCTAATTCACCTCTGTGCCCCCACCCCAGGCGTCAGCACAGCGGAACTACTCCGAGCGGGCTGGGTGGACGTACAGACAGGCCCTGGAGCGAGGAACAGGACGGAGGCCAGAGGGGAAGCTCCAGTCCTCTTACCTTTGAGGAGAAGGGGCATGAAGGGGATGACAGGAGGGGAGAGCTTCGTGAGGGCCAGTCGGTACACTCGGTGGTTCCAGGAGGGGTCCTGGGGGGGAGCAGTCAGTGAGACTGGGGTCCCCCACTCCATAACCCGCCACACACGACACAGCTCAAGGCCCTGCCCCACCCAGAAGAGCCGTATGCCCATCCCCGCTGGGGCTCAGCTTCTCCTCAGCCCCAGGTCTCACCACGGCGGGCTCTGCGGAAAGGCTATGTGTGCGTGCGGCTGCCTGGCCTCCAATTAGCCCCCAAGGGAACTTCATGGACGGTAGTCACAGCGGCCCTGAGTTTCCATGGGTCTCTCTCTCTGCCCCTGTGTGTGTGTGTGTGTGTGTGTGTGTGTGTGTGTGTGTGTGTGTGTGTCTGTGTGTGCGTGTCTCTCTCTGTCCACCGCCCCCTCCCCCAGCAGGTAAGCTCCTTTGAAACTCTTGAGCCCCATGACATGAATTTTTTTCTCAAGAGCTCCGAGAGTCATCCTGATAGAAAAAAACACCTCTGAGCCAGTTCTCTCAAACACTGTCAAAAACTTCCAAAACCCCAACAGTTCCTGGCAGCTGAAGTTCGTCTCCTCAACTCCTTCCTCATCTTTTGGCCCAGTCTGGCCCACAGGCGCCTGGAGTGTCCCGAGGGCCCACTGACAGGCCCCGGCACGCTGCGGGTGCTGGTGCTGGGGCCTGCTTCCCGAGGCTTGGGGCGGGGCGGCTGGGGCCCAGTGTCCCCTGCTGCTCCCCTGGGGCCTCAGACCCAGGGCCGGACACCGAGTGTGCCTTTCCCGGTCTTCACACAGGACCTCAGAGCCACAGCAAAGGTCCCCACCCCCCCCCGTGCCTGCACATCCCGAAGGGTATGACACTCTGTGTTCCACCACTATGATGCTCAACACCAGCTCCCTGAACATGTTCAGAGGGAACCAGGCCCTGAGGCCTGTACTCACCAGCAGCCTCTCGAGGGCCGAGTACAGCTTCCGGATTTTGTGGGGCAGCCGCTGTGAAGGGGAGGGCGATGCAGACGTCACTGCTCTGGGGTAGGAGCCATGTCCCCACCAGGACACCCAGGATGGGCTTGCAGCCCAACCTCAGGACCGAGTCAGCTGGTGGGGGAGTCGGGGGGGACCTGGCCCCCACTCCGGGTCACACCTACCTCCCAGGTTTGGGCCAGGCGGCTGATGGCCGAGTTGCTGAGGCCAAACATGACCGCAAAGAAGGAATTGAGGTTCTTTTGTTCCTTGAGGCTGACAGCAGAAAAACCAGAGACCCTCAGGGGAAACAGCCACGCCCACGGAGCCCCACATCAACACAACAGCCAGGCCTAGGACCCACCCAGACCCAAGCAGGCCAGGCCGGCGCTGCCTCTGTGGGGACTGGAACTGGATGCGGTGGGGAGGCAGAGGTTCCAGGGGACCAGGGGATGGCAGATTTGGCAACACACTGACCAGGGACAGGATGGGGGCTCAGTTAAGAAAAAGTGACCTAGGGCCTCTGCCATAGACCCCCATAGACCCCCAGGCACTCACTGGGCTGCCAGCTTGATGAACTTCCTAAGCAGCTGGGCCCGAGGGCCGGGTATGGGGCAGAGGCACAGCTCTGTGGCCACCCAGTACTGCAGCTCATTGAAGCGGCGCATGAACCGCTCCAGGTTGGCAGTGGTGACGTCCCGTAGATGCTGGGGGCCCAGCACATAGTAGATCAGCTCCACCTGCGTGGGGGGTAGCACAAAAGATCAGCACATGCCAGGCGGAGGTACCCCACCCCCTGCTGTCCTCCCCTCAGCTCTGCTCCCTGCACCTGGTGGATACTGTTGAAGAGGTTCCAGTCGTGGTCCGTCAGCTGGCCTGCCAGGTCCTTGGCACTCACCAGGTCCAGCCCCTCGGCAGAGCCCACAGTGGGCCCCAGCTGCTCAGGGTGTGGGGTCTGTAGGTAGGAGAGTACTCAGAGCGGTGCCCAAGGGATCCAGAGGAAAGAGATCAGATGGGAGAAGAGAGTTTGGGGGAGACTCTGTACTGGGATCAGAAGAGTGTTGGGGCGGGCAGGGGTGCTGAGGGAGTGAAGGGGCCTCTAAGGGTGGGACTTCCCAAGAAGAAATCTTCCTGACAGATCCCCAACACTGAGACCCCTCCTTGTAGGGCCTCTACCCCCTGGGGAACCCCTAATGGAGGCGAGCCTTCCTCTTTCTCCTTGAGAGCTCCCAACCAGCTGTCCCCGCCCCCACCCTTCGGAATACCCCATCAGCTGAGGCCCACTCTCCCTACTGCCCCTTCAGGCCCAGCAGCAGCCAGACCAGGCCCCCTCCCTCTTCTCTGTGACCCTCCCTCAGCACCCATCCTTACCACCCCCCAAACACAGATGCTCCCTGGGTCCTGGCACCCTGCCTATTCCTACCAGCTCATGCACTTCCTGTGGGTTGACAACAAAGAGCCGTTCGTTGAGCCCCAGGGATGTGGCTACACCACGGGCATCTGGCTGCAGGCCAATGGCATCTGCAAAGAGAGCAAAGGCTGCACTGGGTGGGAACAGGGAGCAGGGCCAGGGAGCAGCCGGAGGCAGGGTAGTGGCCCTACTGCGGGGGCTGGGAGGTTCTTCTCCTAGGATCAGGATTACATTCCTGGGCCAGTGCTCTAAATACCCAGGTGCACATGCCCACGCATCCACACACTGCCCAGGGTAGCACACCTGAGGGGGATGAAAGAGGATGCTTAGTGAGACAGGAAGACCTTGGGCAAGGTGGAAATCACCCTGAGCCTCAGTTTCCTCCTTTGTGAAATGGAGACAATAAGACTTGCCCTGACTATGCACAGTCAAGTGAAATAATTTAAGTAGTGGCTAAAAGTATACGATACCTTTCATAGCCCTATGAAAATTGGGAAATGCCTTAGCAGAGGCTTGGTGTTTTCATCAGCTCATGTGGACTGGGACTGTGCTTTAAGTCACGTTTGAGTCCTCATTCCCTAGACCAGTAGCTTCCAAAGTAAGGTAGGCTTTGCCATCCATTTGTCCAGGAAAAAATATTAGCTCTTCTACTTAAATTTGTTTTTTCTCATCTGTTTTACAACTCTATTTTGTGTGCCACTTTATAGTTACATAACCTTAGTGTAGAAGTTCATGTGTATGACTTATAAGCAAATATACACAGAGCAAGGGGTTTATAATAAAATACTGGTTCCTGACAAGATGTCAATAAATGTTGGCTTTGGGCAACTGCAACTCTCCAGATGGCCACCAGAGGGCAGTGCTTCCAGAGCACTAATGGGCACAGGTGACTTCATCCTTTCTACCCAAGTCCTGAAGGGAGGTTTTGCTTTTCTGCCTCCACTCCTTGCCACTATTCTCGGGATGTCTCGAATTCCAGTCTACCCTGGGCTCCAGCTGTCAGGCCTGTGTGGCATCCTTCACAGACAACTATTTTTTTCTTAAATGTCCCAAGTTTTTCAAAGGCAGGTCTCAAAAACCCATGCGGCCATGTTCTGAGCACCAACCTGGTGCCAGACCTCATGCTCCATGCTTCACACACACCATCTCATTTGCTAGTCACAGCAGACCTATGTGATAGGTCCAGTTATGGCTCACATTTGACAGATGAGGAAACAGAGGCTCAGAGAGGTTCAACAACTGCCCAGGATCGCACACCTAGGGAACAGTGGATCTCAGGCTCCAACACAGGTCTGGGAGTCCGGTCTATGCTCCTAACCACCACGCTGCATTATCTTCCCTGACGCAGCACCCCGAGTTCTTAATGCATTGCTGGGCCACAGCTGATCCTCTAATACGTTTGCTGACTGACAAGGTGAATGGGCATGAGGGAGTGAAGGGGCCTCTGAAGAATGGGACTTCCTGAGAAGGCATCTTCCTGGCAGACTCCCAATACTGAGACCCCTCCTGATAGGGCTTCTACCCCCTGGGGGACCCCTCATGGGGGCAGGCCTTCCTCTTTCTTCTTGAGAGCTCCCAACCAGCTGGCTACACTCACGATGTGAGCTTGAGGGAGTCGCTTAATCCCTGTGAGCTTCAGTTTCCTTGTCTGAAAACAGGATAAAAGGACCTATCTCGTAGTATTGTTACTGGACTAAATGAGTATGTATGCACGATAATAACAGTAGTAGCAGCTAATACCTAAGGAGGGCAGTGTGCCACACACCATTCTAGACACTTCCACAGATGAGTTCATTGAGTCGTCACAGTTCCTCCCTGAAGCAGGTACCCTCATCACGCCCGCTTTACAGGTGACGAAACAAAGCACGGGGAGATGAAGCACCCTGCCCAAGGACACACGGACAGAGAGCTGAAGGGCTGGGATCAAATGTGGGTGGCAGGTTCCAGAGCTCATGCTGTTAAGCACCACACTTAAAGCACTTTGCAGAGACATCATCAACCTCCCATATTAACATTGATGAAGATGATAAAGATGATAATGATTTTAATTGGGGGATCTGGGCATGGCTCTAAGGGGGTTCCCTCCCGTGGGGCCACCTGACTCAGACACACAACTCACCACCCGCAGAGTTGACTTTCACCAGCACCTGTCCCTTGGTCCAGCCATCCTCCTGGGCCAACACTGCCATCACCTCTCTCACTGACGCTGTCACAGGCAGCTGTAGGGTCACCACGGAGTGGTCTGGCCGGCAGATGTCATAGGGGACTGGAGAGGAAGACCAAACTGAGCTGCGGGAGGGGCTGCTGGGTTTCCCCACCCCAGGAGAGAGAGGGCAGCCAGCAGTGGGCGGGGTCCCAAGGAGGCAGGCAAGGGTGCTAAGGAGAGGCCTGGGTGGGCACACGGCACACAGCAGGTGGGAGACCCTGAGCCAGGCAGAGGGAGAAGCTGGAACTGATGCCCCAAGGAGTATAGGGTGCCATCCTTGGCCTGACACACTGAGGTCAAGGGTGACCATAGCAGAGTATGGGCCATGTCCTGGCTGGCTCAGACCACCAACCTTTGTCCCCAACTCGGATGGTACAGTTGCTGCTGGGGAGGGGCTCGTCCTGGCTAGGGAGCCAAACAGGCATGTTCCGGGCCTGAGAGGAAAAGAAGGTGAGGCCGGGAGGACACAGAGGGGAGCATGCAGGGCCAGGGTGGGGCCTCGTCACTGGGAGCATGGGACCTGCCCAGCATGCAAACCACCCGGGGGCCCTGTTCACTGAGTGAACCCAAGCCAGGTAAGACCCTGGGACCAAGAGGGACAGGGCAGGGCTAAGGCGGAGGGGGCGCCCCTCTGCAGTGTGTCAGCCCCCACCACCCAGGCCCAGAGCTGTTCTGATGGGACCGTGCCTCGGCTGGTCTTCTCCTCCCTGGCGTCCTTCGGTGCCGTTTGCTAGGTTGCTGTTTGCCACATGCCCGGCTAAGGACACGCTTTTTCTAAGTACTATATTTTGATGTGCTTTTTTTGCCCAAATTTTTGAGGGAAAATAAGAATGCACATTATATATGGATAGCACTGATTGGTTACCAGTACATAACATTTCTTATACCTGGTATCTGTTCTTGTGTTTTGTAATTATCTATTATGTAAAACTTCTTGCACCATAATATGTTCAAAAACAGATTCTAAAATTCCTTTATAATACAAAAAAACAAGTATCTAAATATAAATAAATAAATAATTGGGTTAAAAATTTAAATGAAAGGTTTTTCTTCTGAAAGTTTGGGCCAAAAACATGGCTGCTCATTATGCATGGCAAAATATAGTATTTAAATATTTAGGATAATCCTTTGACAAAAATATTGTTGTTGTTGTTGTTATTCCCTCTTTATAGATCAGATAAACCAGGCTGAGAGGTCAAGTACCACGCCCAGGGCAGCACAGCTGCTGAGTGGCCCGGGTGGAATGTTCACCTGCGCCTTCCTACTCCACCCTCTCACCTACCAGCACTCGGCTGTGTCGGCTGCCCTCTCCAAACCCACAACCCCTCCTCCCCGGGCCCCAGCCACAGCCGGCTGAGGGGGCAGCCCCTGCTGGACGAAGGCCCCGTACCACAGCCCCTCTACCCACCCAACTGTTCTTCCCAACCCCTGTACGAGCTCTCTTCCTCCTCAAAGCTGAATGTGGCAGCTCAGGTTAGACCCAGACCATGGTTCACCCCTGGATTTCCCAGTCTCAGAGCTCTCCTCGAGTTCCTCTCGAGCAGCCTCACACGCCATCTACATGTGAAAGACTCTTAAAACCAGACCACTGGTGCCGAACTCTCTTCCAAGCCCTGGTCTCGGATGCCTCCTGGATCCTTCCGCATCTGTGCTCCCCCGGCTCCCCTCGTCCTGCCTCTCAGACCTCTCCTCCTGGCCGTTCTCCTGGGCTCAAGGCTTCTGCCTCACCCACTTCCCCACCACCTGTCATCGTGTCCTTTGAAGTGGGTCTCCCTGCATCCCCCCTCCCCAGCCCAGGCCAACCCTCCAGTGCCACCTGCCCATATCTCCTCACACTTTATCTACTCCAATGGCCCAGCCATTCTCCTGTGCCCTGACCCCTCCAGGGCCTCCCTGCCTCCTCCTCCAATCTGCCTGACCACAGCCAGATGAAGCTTCCTAACCTGGCTTCAAGGCCATCACTGTCTGCTGGATAAATGCAGTCTCCCTAACTGCCCTCTGCAAAACACAAATCCAGTCTTGTCAATCCCTGGTGCAGACACCTCCAATGACTTGCACTGCTCTGAGGACAAGGACGAAACCCTTTGCTACGGCCCACATGGCCCTGCATGCCCGGCCCCTGCCCGCATCCTTGGCTCCCTCTGCTGTCCCCTCTGGCACTCAGGTGGGAACAAGCTTTACCCACAGAAGAAAAGGAGCCCATAAGCATCTTCAGCAGGGAGGAGGGGTGATGGGCGAGGTGGGAGGGACAGTTGGGGATGGGGACACCAGAAAGCCCAGGTGAGGCCTCGGGATTTTATTCCCAATGCAGCAGTCCCAACCTACCTTTCCAGTCCTTTTTCCCACCATTACTCAACCATATCTCAGTTCCAGTCACCTCTTCTCGTCCCCCTTCCCCCCTGGACCCTGCCAGGAACAGCACTGGCCACCTCTGACTCCTAGCAGGGTCCTGCCTTCCTCTGGGCTCCCAGCATGGCCACCAGGAGCCACGGGGCCTCAGAGGCTGCCTCAGGCACCATGCCTCCCCTCCCAGGCAGGAACCGCTGACTGGCTCTAAGGGTGAGGGTGGGGTGAAGGGTTGACCTTAGACCTCTGTGTCCCCATAAGACCTGGCCCCAGCACCACACGAAGCCCACATGAGTGCCAACCCCGACCCGAGGGTGTGTCTGTGTGGGGGAAACCTTCCTCGCATTGCCCCTGAGATGGGGGATGAAGGAGGGGCCGTGCAGTCCCAGAGGAGCAGAGGGAAGAAGGTGGGGGGAGTGGATTCAGAGCGGACACCTTTATCTGAGGAGACGCACTCCCACAGCCGTTCTCCAACCTGTGGAGCAAGGGAGAAGGGAGGTGAGACTGGAGGCCAGCGAGCCCTGACGGCCGGACACCCCAGGGCCAGCAGCAGGGAGGCGCCCCAGCTCTGGATCCCACCCGCCCTCACCCGAGGCTCTGAGTTTCTCGGGCTTGGTGAACGTGACCTAGAGAGGAGCGACCCTGGGGCTGAAGCTGGGGCCCCAGCTCCTGCGACTTTCCGAGGCCAGCGGGGGAAGGGAAAAGAGTTCAAGAGGGAAGCGGGCCCAGAGGTCAAATGGATCAGGCACCAGTTCAGGTAAGCGTCCCCACGGGAACATCTGGGAGGGGGAAGCCGAGCTCTAGGATATTTACAGGGCGGGGCTGGCAGGAACTGGCACTGATGGAGCTCAGTCATAAACATGTGCCCAGTGGAGGAAGTGAGAACAGCAGGTGCACTCGGGACAGGAGAGTGACACAGAAATGACGGTGTGATGTGCGAGAATGGCTGAGTGCGTGACGTGAGGGCAAACAGCGAGGGGACCGGCGGGAACAACTCATTGAAACAAGCAGGACCAGACCAATGAGCTACCACAGACAACACTCGCATGGCATGCTCCTGTGCAAGGCCCTGCTCTGCGCCCCGAAGGGGCAGTAACTCATTCCATGCATGCGATGAGGCGGGTGCTCACCCAGATTACAGACAAAGGCCCGAAGCCCTGAGGAGGCTGCGGGCAGTGTGCTCAGGGCGGCTCAGCTGTAAGCGGTATAGCCTGGATTTAAAGGCACGTGTTTGAATCCAGAGCTGGTGCTCTCAGTTTTGAGTCACTGCCTGTCATGCACGTTTGGCTCTAAGTTAACTCAGAGCCAAAGCATCACCTGTGGTGTCGCCGCCTCTCTGGCCACTGCTCCCGAAGCAGGTTGCTAAGCCGGGCATCCCTGCTCACCAGGTCTGAGAGTTTCTGGGAGGAGCCAAGATTCACTGAGATGCTGCAGCTGTGTCCACCTGGGCAGCCCTGTCCAGCCCTGCCTCACTCCCAGGTACCTGGAGAAAGCTGCTGGCCACAGGGTCAGTGTGGAGCATGGGGCCATACAGGGCCACCCACTGGCTGACCAGCCGCAGGATCTGCTGTCTCTTGTTGCAGATGTAGGTGTTACGCTCCTGCTCACTGCCACCCGCGGGCTCCGCATGGAAGGTGGGTACCAGTCAAGGAAACCACAGCATCCAACTGAGCCTCTCACCACACCTCATGCAAAGGAGGGGCAGGATGCTGACAAGCCGGGCCTGGCACCGGCATGAGGCTGGTGCTTTGGAGGTTTTGGCACAGCCATGCCATGAGCAGTTCCTTTGCCCTACTCCACACAGCGTCCTAGTCACCCTGGGGCCGGAAGGATATTGGTGCAGGAGGGCCGCGCAGAACTGGGTGCTGGGCATGAAGACTCTGTGAGTCAGGAGGAAATCACTGAGGAATGTCTCTGTAGCGGGGGAAGGGAGGGGGAGATAAGTGGGAGGTGGGACTTCCTAGGTCAAGCCCACTGTACACAGGTACATGCACAGCTGGAGTGTCCATCCCCCAATCCCACATGGTCAAGGCACCACTGACGCCCAGCCCCTGTGACTGTACTCCCCACCCAAGCCAATAGCTCAGGAATGAGGACTTCCTGCTGACTGGCCCCACAGACCAATCCAGCACCCCATGAGATCAGATGCAGGTGCCTGGCTGTCTCCCAGGTTGGGCTGACCACCCGATGAGTCAGAGGGCAGGTAGGTGTCTCCTGCCCCTACCTGTTGGGTCATGAGCATTGGAATCAGGCCTCATGGCCTCCAACAGCAGTTCTAGGATCTTCTCCGGAGTCCCAGACATCACCGTATACCTAGTAGAAATGGCAAATCCATGCCCCTGTGCCGCCACTCCCCCAACCACAACTAGGGCAGACGCCAGGGACCAGTCATATCACTCCTCTCTGTTTGCCAGCCATGCCCCATCTTGGGGTGTGGGAGTGGCTGGTGCAGGGGGGTGCACCTTAGTCCCTGGATGTCTCTCCACCCTCAGAAGGCCAGCGGCCAGGGGTATGACACCGAGGAAGCGAGTAAAGTCTGGGAACAGGAAGGAGAGTAGGTGGAGAGGGAGCTCGGTGGGTATGTTACCGGTTCCTGCCTGGGGTTGGGGGGCAAGAAGAGCCAGCACCCTGAGAGGTTCTCTCCAGCACCAACACCACTTTGCCGTGTTCTTCCAGCCTCATGGTCTTTGCTTCCACATCCTGGAGAACAAGCCACACCCAGTGCTCAGCACATACCACTGTTTCTTTCCCCATTTCTAAGGCCTCTCCTTCCACCCCCACCCCATTCCAAACCCTGAGCCCCGCAAGGGCCCTCAGCCCTTCTCCCACCCCGTTCAACTCCCCAGCTTGGGTCTGCTCCTCGCTCCCATCCCTCCTCAGCCTGAGTCCCTCCTCTGCTTCACCCCTCTGTGGTTCCAGCGCTCCACTACACGGCCCCCACCACTCTGTAGCCCCACTGCCCCTGGTCTCCCACACAGAGCGGGGTTCACAGGGCTCACTGAACCTCATCGGCATGCTGTGGGCCTCCTCACAGGCCCAGGGCTGTGCTCCCACCTCCAGCAACTGTCTCTGAGCTTCTCCATCTCCTCTCTCTCTCGTGCCTCCTCACAGGCTCTCTGGTCCTTCCTCCTGCCCCACACTTCTCCAAAGAGCTGTCCTGGCCATGTCCCTTGCCCTCCCCATCCCCAGCAGCAGCACCTTGATGATACGGTTGAAGTCCTGCTTGTCCACTCGGAGAAAATGACAGTTGTCTTCTCGCAGGATGATGGTGGCTGCCCGGGGCGCATCGTTCACGAGAGCCAGCTGTCCAAAGTCATCTCCCTCGTGCAGTGTGGTCACCAGCCCCTGTAGCCAGGTCTTAGTCACAGCCCAACTGCCCAACCCCCAGCCCTCGTGGAACAGGCCCGTGTCGGGGAGAAGCACAGAGATGGGAGAAGACCAGGGTGATCAGCAGCCTTGGGCCCACCAAAGGCACTGCCCATGAGGGCACGAACCGGGGAGTGGTTACCCCCCAGGGGGCTGGGGAAGAAGGGAGGACTCACCTTGCCATGGGTCACCACGTTGACAGATCCCTTCCAGATAATGTACCACGAAGTGCCCTTGTCCCCCTGGCTGAACACTGAGAGGCGCACGGATCAGACACGCCCCCGGTACCCACCCCTTCTTCTCCGTGGCCTCCACCCACACCCAGGTCCCTGGTGCCCAGCTGCCTGTCAAGTGGCCGACTTACACACAGTCCCCGCCTTGCTGTGTGGCTCAAAGAGCAGGACCGCCGCTAGCTCCCGCTTCACCTGGGGGGCAGGGAGGGGAGGGTCAGTGGGCACGTCCAGGGGCCCAGGGCCAGGTTAGAGGTGAGGACCAAAGACGTGAGTGCTCAGGGGCAGGGAGGTAGCTGGTCAGTCGGCCTGGGATTTGGCTGGAGACCATGCAAAGCAGGGCAATGGGCTAAGAGAGGCAGAAGGATCTTCACACAAGGATGCTGGAAGCAGGAAATCAAATGGAAATTTCCAAGCCATCAGCAGAAGGGGAGGCCAGCAGCTGCGCCTCCTCAGGGTGCTCACAAGAAGAGGAGGCCCTGGGGAAAGGGCAGGGTGGAGCCTGAGGACTGACCGAGTTGGACAGGCGGGCCACAGCCTTGATGTGCAGCAGCTCCTCAAAGATGAGCTCCAGCTCCTCGTCTGTGCGCTGGCCTGGGCTGCAGGCAAGGAGGGCAGAAGCAAAGGATGAATTCTGGACCCAAGGCCGGGGTGCAGACCACTCACCCACCGGGGACAGGTCTGGGGTCAGCCGGTGCCTCAGCGAGGACTGTCATCACTAACGGTCAGCCACTCCCAAGTGCACGCTGTGTGCCCAACCCGGACGAAGCACTGCATGTGCAGCATTCCAGTCTGCCCTCACAACACCCCCATGACGTGGGCATTCTCGCTCTCCTTTGAGAGAAGAGGAAGCCAGCGCAGAAAGGCCCAAGGCCACCTAACTAGTAGCTGGTAGAACTAGAACGTGAACCCAGGCCTTCCTGAGGACTCCAAAGGCCACCCTCTCTCAGCCATCACTGCCCCTCAGAGGGGGGCAGGGTCTTCAGAGGCCATGTACCCCACATTCTAAGTTGCAGAGGAAGAAATAGGTCCGGGGGGAAAGGAGGGCTCAGACCACACAGCAAGTCTGTGGCAAAATGCAGATCAGAGCTGGGGCTTCTGATCCAGCCAGGCTCCTTTCCCTCAGTGAGAAGCAAGGGATCCCCTTGGAGAGGAAAGTGAGAAACCATGGAGTCTGGGTGCCATGTGGGACCTGGGGCCAGGCGGCGCAGGGTGCAGAGTGCCAACTCACGGCTTTCGAAGCGCCACAGTGAGCAGGGCATCAGGCCCCCGCTGGGAGAGCAGGGCCATGGCCTCAACCAACTCCTCCTCCAGCTCATGGACTCCTGTAGGTTCCAGCTCCAGCCCCGGGAAACGGTAGAACTGGGTATCTCGGTCCTGGAAGGTCCAGTCGTGTTTGACTGGGAAGAGGCCCAGGCATGTGGGAGGAGAGGAAATTGAGGCTGTGTGGGTATAGACTGCAATGCCCACCCCTCCTTCCCACAGACGCCTGCTCCCCAGGCCTGCCCAGCCCTGGGTGCCCTGCCCTGGGCTCAGGCTCACCATGGAAAAGGGCACCTTCATCGAGCAGGACCTGGCAGATTCCCACAGCTTGGCTCCGTGAATGGACCCCAAGCCCCAGGGCCAAGATCCCATCCACCAGCTCCCGACCTGAGCAGCACTGCCTACAAGAGTCGAAGGGGACAGGGAAAAGGAAGGAGAGTCAAATGGCAGAAAGGGAGAGGGAGGAACTCTCCATCCGAAAGCCATCTTCCTAGGCTTAGCCCCAGTGCTGCTGGAAGCAGGGCCAGGCCCAGATGCCTGGGACAGAATGAAAGCAAGAGAAAACAGAGCAGATGGGAGAGGAGGCAAGCAAGGCTTCCACTCACCGATAGAGTCTAAGGTGGTACTTTCGGTCTCGGATGAGGTTGGGGCAGGTGGCCAGGAGATGTCGATGCAGCTGCTTCCCAGCCCTGAGCACCCGCTCCGTGGATGCCTGGGGCGGGGGGGGGGGAGAGCATCTGGCTCAGGCCCTGATGCCCAGGCCGTGCTGCCCCCTCCCAGCTCCACCACCAAGCCTGTACCTGCTCCAGGCTCACGCTGAAATCCAGGGACTCCTCGCTGTTGGTGAGTGGCGTCTGAGGGCGAGGGGAAGGGTCCACAGGTCAGGGCCAGGCCTTCAGACCCAGCTCCTGGACCCTCCCCCACCCCCATCTCCCACCCCGGCCCAGTCCCCAACTCCAAACGTGTCCATTTAGCTACTAATTCAATAAAGACGGTCTCCCCCTTATCTGTGGTTTTGCTTTCTGAGGTTTCAGTCACCCATACTCAACTGTGGTCTAAATGGAAAATTCCAGAAATAAACAATTCAAAAGTTTTAAATTGGGCACCATTCTAAGTAGTATGATAAAATCTCCCTGGGATGTGAATCACCCCTTTGTCCAGCATGTCCACACTGTATAAACGCCCCACCGGTCAGTTACTCAGCATCCATCTGGGTCATCAGACCCACTGTTGTGGAACCCCAGAGCTTGTGTTCAAGCAACCTCTATTTTACCTAATAATGACCCCGAAGTGCACCAGTAGTGATGCCAGAGGTTTGGGCATGCCGAAGACTAGCAGTACAGTGCTTCCTTAAGTGAAAAGGGGGTGTGTGTGTGTGTGTGTGTGTGTGTGTGTGTGTGTGTAGGGAAAGCACAGTGTACACAGGATTCAGTCCAGTCCCTGGTGTCAGGCATGGTGGGGGTCTCGGGACATAAGCCCTGAGATAAGAGGGGACAACTGTAAACAAATACTCACTGAGCGCCCCACATGCCCGGCATCACCTCTTCCCCACACTGCTACTGCGTCCCCAGACACCTCAGCACTTCCCCCCACAGAGGAGCAGCCCGAGATCTCACTTCTGCTCACTCAGGCCCCGGTGTGCCCAGGCACACAGGTACACCGCACCTAGGAGAGCACGGGGACCTGAGAGGCCAAGAAGTGAGTGGCTCGGGAGGCCTGGAACACCTGCTCCTGGGCTGGGGCCCCAAGGCCTGATTGAGGAGCCGGGGTCTGCATCTGACCCCGGGATGCTGGGCAACCCTCCTGCCCTGTGCGGGCCTAGGTGCTGCCTGCAAGTTAACATAGACCTTGGAGCCATGCTCCTGGGTTCAAACCCCTCCTCCTCCACTTCCCAGCAGTGTCACTCTAAATATAATTTAACCTCTCCCTGCCTCAGTCTCCTTGTCTATAAGATCTATAAAACACTCCTAATACCCGCTTAGGCTTTTGGAAGTATTACATGAGTTAATGTACAGTGAATGTTCAAAGCACTGCCTGGCATATGGTTGTATGTACATGTTGGCTATTATTAGTCATCTGTGAACAGTCGCAGGGCGGCTGCTCGCTCGAAAGCCCTTTTCCTCTCTGAGATGCTCCTGCTAGTCTATAACCCCGGAAGAGTGAGGAGGGCCTGGAAGTACACGGGACTGGCTCTGGAAGACTGGGCTCATGCAGAAACATGGGTTAACAAGGTCTCCCCCCTTTTGTATTAATCATGCCACCCACCCTATGTGTCCTGGGATGGCGGCCGTGAAAACCTCTCCCGCCCCTGCTCTTCTGCCACCAGAGAACTGAAATGTGTGGACATCTCTGGACAGGATACCCTACCCTGTAAGAGCCCTCCCAAAGTCAGAGCGCTTTACAAAGTGCGAGCACCTCTGTGATTCCCTCTGATCCTGTATTAAACAGGGTCAGATGTGAGCTAGGCGGGGCAGGTCATACTTGTCTTCTTTGATTTATGAGGAAACAAAACTCTTGAGGTGAAGTACTAGGTACCTCAGTCATACACACTGGAGACAGCCAGACAGCCGTGGATCAGCTCCAGTTCCTACCAGAAGTGCTCACATTCTTGGTCTCACTCCACCCACCACACCTGCCGCTTCCGCTTCCTTCCCCCTTCTTCTCACCAGTGTTCTCCTGCCTTCTCATCTGCACTCAGGGCCCTGAAAATGACCTGGCTGGGGAGCTGGGTACGACCAGGCCTGGGGCCTGAACCCTCTTCCCTAGTTCTGGCATCTTCCACCATGTGCCAGGCAGACGCCGGAGGTCTGGCATGCGTAGGCGCCTGGCCCAGTGCTGGACGGAAGTCACTAGGTGTCCCAAGGGTATCCCTGCCTGGGTCATGGGGCCCAGCCTGGTGCCAGACACAGAGCCCTAGAGACTTAGCAACAGGAAATAAGGAGGAGGAGGAGGAGCCAGGGAAGGAGGAACGGCAGGCATGCTCCTCAGCCAGCCCCTGGAACAAACAGTGCTGAGTGCTAATGACTTGTTGTTGTTCGTGTCAAAATGCCCAGGTGGCTCCAGTCCCTGCCCCAACTCCCTTTGGTGCCCACGACCCAGACTCCAGCACACGCTCCCTTCCTGGTATTATTCTGACCCCGAGGGCACATCAGGAGGGGAGGTGCCAGGTCATGTGGCCAGGCTGGTCACCACCCAGATCCCAGATCCACAGGCCTTGCTGAAGCCATTTCCGGCCCTGCCCCAGGAGATGGGTGTGAGGGTCAGAGGCTGGGGGCTCTGGCCTGTACAGCTGAGGAGGGGACCTGAAGGCAGCCCTTTCATTTTGCCAAGGAAAACAGGTACCCAGAGAGATGAAGTAATTTGCACACTGCTTAGAAATGAAAGATCCTTCGAAAAACTGCTACCGAGGCTGACCCTGAAAGTAGGTGTTTGTCTCCTCTTCACACTGGAGAGGAGGCTCAGAGGTTACATAAGCAGCCCCGAGAGTAGGTACATGTGAGCCCCAGGATTCACACTGTGCCCGTCTGGTCCCAAAGCCCATGTTCGGAGCCACTCTGCCCTGCTGTCTCCATGGCAGCTGCCCCACGTTTCCCCCACTGTGCCACGGAAGTTGAGACAGTAGAGGTATTGTGCCCTCAGGAATGTTCCCTGGGCAAGTAAGCTTGGAGAACCCTGGGCAAAACAAAGTTCAATAGGTTTGTTACCATAGTCCCTCTGGGCCCCTACCATGTTGGGGTGGGGGTGCTCTTCAGGGACAGTGGTCAGTGTGTGGGGTCTGGGTGCAAATCCTGCTTCACCCATTACCAGCTGATTCTGTGACCTTGCACTGCTCATTAACCTCTCTGTGCTTTGGTTTCCTCAGCTGTACAGCGGGGTTGGTGGTGAAAGTGCCTATTCTGCAGAGTCAGCACGAGGGGCCGATGAGGTAGTACGAGAGAGCACTGGGAGCAGTGCCTCGCTCTTAGTAACTGCTTAGTAAATGTTAAGTAACTTGATTAATCTTTATTTCATGACGGGCACCTATTACCTGGACACTGCAAGACATGGACCTTGCCTGACCCTGTCCCTAATCTGATGACCCTGAGCGTCAGCTTAGGGATTCTCTATAGCAAAGAAGTAGCAGGTATGAGCCAGGGTGAAGATCCTCGCCCACCACCCCCTCGCACGCCTCCTTAGGAATGACTCAGGGTGGAAGAGGGGTTGTCGCTAGCTCCTGTGGCACCAGCGCCACGGGCCGACCCACCCTCCCTCCGTGGGGCTGACTGTCAGAGCCCCACTGGCAGGGCAGGCACAGAGCGAGACAGTCACATGGGGCCCTGTCTGTCCAGTTCCATTAGGCCATGGCTAGACTCTCAGGCTAGAGCTATGCATGGGGGGACAGGGACAGGATGTATGTGGTGGGGTGATGCTTTGGGGTGTCAGTGTTACCATCTGCAGCAAGAAAAAGTATACCATGAGCTTGGACTCTGCAGCCAAGTTACCTGAGATTGAAGTCCAGCTTTGTCTCTTAGCAGCTGTGCAACTCTGGACCTGTCACTTAGCCTCTCTGTGCCTCTGTTTTCTCATCTCTAAAATGAGATGATGACATTGGCATCTGTCTCACAGGGCTCTTGTGAGGGTATTTGATACAATAAAGGCCGTATGCGTCATAGGTACCCTCATAAGAGTGCCTGGGACATAAGTCCTAGATAACTAGCAGCTGCTCTCATTATTTAGACAGGTTGGATGAGTTAGAGCACAGTGACACCACCCCCACAACAATCACTCAAAGAGAAGCATCCCCAGGTGTCTCTGAGCTCACAGGACCCCCCAGAGGTCATCCAGATCTTGCCCCTGCCTCGAGACCGAACGGTCCCTCCTCCACTGGTTCCCAGACACCAGACAATCTCCTCCCCCCTTCACGTTTTCCAAAGGAGAGGTTCTTCCATTCCATTCCATTCCATTCCATTCCATTCCAGTGTCACCTTTGTCAGAGTTGGCAAGTCCTCTCTGTATCTAACCTCAGGCCTTCCTGGTGTAATCTGCTTTTATTTTCTCTTGTCCTGGTCTAGCAGGAACAGAAAGTGCTCTCTTTAGGCCTCAGGAAGTTGATGGGCTACCCCTTGGGTTTTTGTTTTTTTAATTTTTTTTTTTTTAAGATTTCATTTAGTTATTTTTAGGGAGAGGAGAAGGGAGCGAGAGAGAGAGAGAGAGAGAGAGAAACATCAATGTGTGGTTGCCTCTTGAGAGCCCCCTACTGGGGACCTGGCCTGCAACCCAGGCATGTGCCCTGACTGGGAATTGAACCAGTGACCCTTTGGTTCACAGGCTCGCACTCAACCCACTGAGCCACACCAGCCAGGGCAACCCTCTCAGTTTTCTATGAGGTTTTCCATGAGGTAGGTTTTCTATGAGGTGGGCATGGGCTGCATGACTCCCAGCACTGCCCTCCTGGGACCGAGCACTCTACCCCCTCACAATGTCCACCCTTTACCCTGTGTGTGCACACTCCCTGCCTGGCACTGTCCCTCATGTGAGCTCTTCATGGGTCAAAGGCATCATCCAGAGATGAATGGTCCAGCTTTACAGGTGCCCAGAGTCTCAAATACAGACACAATGGGCTGAAACTACCCCACCTCCATTCCCCAGAGCCGGTCATCAGGAGAGGGTGGGGCCCCTGTCCCAGCCTGAAAACTCTAAGTTCCCTCTGATCAGCGATTCCCACCTGCCCCCCTACCTGGCAGGGGAGAGGCCTTGTTTCTGTGCCTTTGACCCCATTTATACTCCAGTGACCCTCACCCCACCCTTCCGGCCTCCTCAAGCACACCAGGGGTTGGAGGCATCAGGAGACAGGCTGGCGGCCTCCTCTACCCGCTCCCAGACTTTGGGTCCCAGGGGATCTTCCAGTGACCTCATTGTCCTAGCACCTGACCTTTCCTCTGCTCCCCACCTTGCCTCTGCAAGCTGGGAAGGGGACAGGAAATGCACAAGTAATTATAGCCTCAGAGGGAAGGAGGGAGGGAGTGTTCCAGCTCATTGGCTCCCAGCAGCAGCTACTGCCAGTGACCTGGAAGGGGGGGAGCTAGGCCCAGAAGTGACCAGCTCCCTTGTCCCCTCCAGGGCCCCATCATGAGCACCCCGGCCCAAGAGGCCCCTTATCTGGAAGACACTGGGAGGGAGGGCTTGGGGGACTGTCTCCTGGAGTCCTCTCTCAATTCTGATTGCAAGATGACCCCCCCATATTGGTGGGCCTCCGTTTTCTCTACTCAGCCTCAGGTTTTGGTAACTATAAATGGCGGCTGAGAGAGGCAGGAGGAAGGAGGCAGAAGGTGCTGGTCATTGTACTCAGTGGGGCTTGCCTGTAAGAGATAAGCTCTCCCAAGTCTGTCACCTGTTCCTGCTTCTCCTCCACTTCTCCCCCCCCCCCCCAGTATCCAAGTGCCCTCCCAGTACACCCACACACAGGTAGGCACACACACTGTATCTCAGGTGAAGTCACTCTGTCAAGTCTGGGTGGTTGAGGAGAGCTTCTCTGCCGATTTGAATGCTGCAACCATTACCCCCCACCCCCGCCCGGCTCTCTCCTTCACCCTTGCAGCTCCGAGCTGTTCTCCACTGGCAGGCGGGGCTCCGGTCATCTCAGATCCTCTAAACTTCTCAGAATCCTTCCCTGCCCCACCCCAAAGCCAAATGCCAAGCAGTGTTCACATGACCACCTCACCCCAAAATCAAAAGGCAGAACTGGTGCAGCTCAGTCGCTCACTAAGAGAATGTTGCCACGGTGATGTGTGGAGAATGGTAACCAAGCATACCTCACCCCTGACTTGACCTGGTCCCCAGTATTTCACTCATGCCTCCCACCCCCACCTAGAGAGCACACAAGCACCTAGCCCAAGGCACACAGAGGTGATGGATAAATGGCAAATCCCTTGCTTCTTCCCTCCATGTTAAATGGGGGCTCTTGGACACCACACACACAGACGCACTTGAGGCAGCTGCGTGAGCCACCCACGCACGCCGAGGCTAAGCTGCCTGACCCACTGTCCATCCGGTGGTACGCCCCACAGCCCCAGAGCAAGCTGGGCCGCCTCCAGCATGCTTGTGCTCCCAATCCACACACCCCCACACACACGTCGCCAGCCCTGGTCCCTAGCCTGGGGGGGGTGATGGGCACTCACCCAGCGAAGTCCTTGGATGCGGCTGGGGCGCTGGTGCTCAAGAAGCAACTGGTAGGAGCAGCTTCGGGGCCGGTGCATCCTCCTTAGCACCATGTTGAGCAGCGTCCCGTCTGGCACGACGTCCGGAAGGCCTCCCACCTGTGGTGCTCCCAGAGCGGGACTGTCCTCCACAGTCAGGTCCACCTGCCAGCGGCTCTCACCTGGCCAGCCAACCTGTGAGGAAGGGAGGAAAGCGGCCAGCCATGGGGCTGAGGCAGCTGGACCAGGGCACAACTCCCCCAGGCAGCACCACTTCCTTAGAATCCTCCGCACTGAGCAGGCGGAGGTGCTGCAACCCTGCCAGGAGCTGGGGGAGGGACAGGAAGACCTTCGCTGGGGCCTGCCGGTCTGGCGCACTTAGGGGTCTCCCGCTGGCTGGCGGGAGATCGGCCCTCCTTCCCGGTCTTCTTTGAACTTCTGCCCCACCCTGCTGCCCTAGTCCCTGCAGGGATATCCACCACCTCCAGTTTGAGGCTATAGACTCACTGGATCCCCCAGAAATGCAGCTTCAGCTCAAACCCTTCTCCCCTCCTCCCTCACCCCTGACCAATCCTCAACCCTCTCTCTCCAACCCAAAATCCCCATCGGGTCCGCTTCCTCTCCTCGCCCCTGGCCCCACCTTACCCACCTTCATGTTCCTTCTCAAGCTCGCCCAGCCGTGCAGGCTCTAGCAAAAGGCTGGGGAGACCCCCAGCGAGTCCTGGCCAGCTCGGAGAGGAGGATCCTGGAGGGGAGCGGGCTCTAAGTCCCAGGCGCAGTGACCAGGGCCAATTTCTAGCTCGACCGCCTGCCAGAGCAGCCAGAGGCAAGGCTGGGAGGAAAGGCTCCTCTTGGGTGGGTAGAGGGCTGAGGGGTTGGGGGGGATCCCCCCTCAGCGACAGGAGCCCCGAACCTCCGCCTCCGTCCCAGACGAAAGAGCCAGCTGGCACAGGGCACTGAAGCGAGGCTGCAGCTGGCACCGGTCCGGGAGGGAGCTGTCACACCCCCTGCACTGCCCGCCCCCTTCCCCTCCCTGACTGGCCCAGGGGGCGGAGAGGAGGCTCCCCGCCTTACAGTCCGGAGGGTGTAGGGGATGGGGCGTCACGGGCTGGAGGGGAGACCGGACTCTCGGGTATGCAGAGCGGGCAGGAGCCACAGCCCTGAGGAACCCCAGTGGGGAGGAGCGGCCTGGGGGGTGTACCGAGGCCGCGGGGTGTGTGCCGAGGCCGCTAGGCCCAGGTGACCGGGTAGGGGCGGTGAGTGGCTGCACCGGCCGCCACGTGGCCTGGAAGAGAAATGCAAACAAGGAAACCGGGGGGAAGGAGGAGGGGGTGAGTCATTGTGGCCCCACCCGGGAGGGAAATCCGGGCTGGGGCCGCTTCCCGCGCTTCCCGGCCTGGGCGTCCAACCTCCTGTTTCGGTTCAGGGTCTCGAACAGCCCAGGAGAGGGATTCGGCTGCTTTCCGGTGGGGAAGCCCGCTGCCCAGCCTCCCACCGCTGCGCTCCCATAATCACACAACAGGCCCCCACTCCCCGCCCTACGAGCACACTCGGGGCGGGCGCGGTTGGGAAAGTTGAGGCTGGAGAAGAAGGAATGCGCCTTGGGATGGATGAAGCTGTGGCTGAGCTTCAAGAAACGAGGGGGTTTTTGAGAGCTACGCCCCCGCCCCACCCCCACCGCGCTCCCCGGCGGCTGTGTGGGTGGAAGCCCAGACGGCAGAGTCCTGTGCAGGCTCTGTACCAAGGAGTGTCCCCTCCTTGGGCCTCAGTTTCCACCACCGTCCTCTTTGCCTCACTTCTGCTTCTGACAGCGTGGAGAGACAGAGGCTCTGCGACTGCGACTGCGACTCGACTCCCGCAGCGCCGGGTAATTGCTCCGCAAGTTAATGAGGGTTGTAGAAAGAGGCGCACGCCCCGCCCCGGGCTTTCTAGGACTCGCTCCCTTTCGGCCCCATCTGTGTCGTTTTCCCTGTGCTGCTGCGCCTGCCTGGACTGGGGGAAAGCACATCTCTAACGACCCTTCCCCTAGCTCCGGGACGCGGAGCCCCTGTCTTCCACCGATGACTGTTTTCTTGGAGCTGGGGTGGAGCTGCTTGTTTTCTGATTAAAATCCCAGTTTTATTGTGTATTAGAAAATCTTCCCAGGAGCTTATCAAAGTGCAAATTCCATCCCCCAAATACAGATTCAATCCTACTGGTATGAAATGGAAAATCTGTATTTTGAATAAATGCCCCCAGGTTCTCTGCTGTGTCCACACTTCGAGAAACCACAGTGGAGTTTTAAATGCCCCTCAGGGAAAGAGGGGGACCTGTGGATGAATCTGGCCCCAAGCCCAAAACCACCTATCCCAGTTCTGGGAATCTGGAAGAAGGAAAAACAGCTTGGATATTGGCAGGAAGGGATAACAGGCTGGGGTCACAGGTGTGCTTGGAGACGGGTGTTCAGGAGGAGTTTGGTGTGGAGGTAGGGAGTGAGTTGAAGTTTCAGGTTGCGGTGGGTGGCCAGTGACCTGGTCTAGAAGCTCTCGCAAGGGAGCTTCCAGAGATTCTCAGTGGAGTCTGGACACCATGCACGCTGCCCCTACTTGGGGCGTGTGGGAAAGGAGCTGGGGAGTGAGGCAGGACGTCCACTTCTCTAGACTCCGAGGCAGGCCGCAGCAGCCTGTGAGTGCCTGGCACGGTTCCACATGCTTCACATGTGCGCAATCTCTGCCACCACTCTGTGAAGCAGTACTGCTGTTATTCCCACTTTGCAGCTGGGGAAACTGAGGCTCCAGTATTAAGTGACTTATCGAGGCCACACAGCTGATATATAATGACACTGAGGCTTACACTCAAGTTGCCTGGCTTCACTTAACCCCGTGCTATGCTGTACTATGTAGACATCACATTTGTGCTTCTAGTCTGCACTGTGTGTCTAAGAGAGGAAGCGGAGGAAAGGGGCGGGGAGAGGCGGATGCAGGGCTTAAAGACAGTCATTCAAATCGGTGAAAATGAAAGTGTCCCAAACCCACTTCTCCCCCATCTGTGTGCCCCTCCACACCACTGTTCCCGTGCCCTTTCTTTTTTCGTGTGTCTCTCTCATTCCCTTACCCCCCCCCCCCACAAACTGAGAAGGTGGCCTGGTGATCACCTGTTCACTGGGAGCCAAGGGGGATCGTCGGTGTTGGACCTTCCTCTTGTCCCAGTCCTGTAACCGGCGGCGGCGGGCAGAGCCCTCTGTCACCCACCAAGGCCAATGATGACGGAGCACGTTTTTATGGCTCAGGATTCCTGGGAGGGGACCGGCCCGTGGAATGACTGCTCAGCAGACATTTGATGGCGGCTGCAGCCTGGAGGGGAAGGGGACTAGGTTAGTGTGTCTGAGGAGGACATCCCAAGGCAGACAGTGAGTCATCTTGGGGACAGTCGTGCCGTGCCCTGACGTAGCCTCCACCCCGCTCTGACTATCATGGGACGCCCGGCAGGCACGTCAGACAGATAAATAATAATAACAGCTAACATGTACCAGGCCCTGTCCTTGACAGTTTACATAGGTACAATCCCTGATTTAATCATTATAACAATTCAGAGACAGGTATTATTATTACCTCACTTTACAGATGAGGAAGCTGAAACATGAAAAGGTCAAACGATGTTCCTAAGGTCTCATGGCTAGGAAGATGTGGAGCAGTGAGGGATTCTACCCAAGCACTTAGTCTGTGCTTTACCCCTCTGCAGTCCTGCCTCTCAAATATACCGATAGATCCCACCAAGGGCGGGTGGGGGGAGCCAACATCCAGAATCACTTCCCCCATGCCCGGGGGGCACACAGGCTGCAGAGCCAGAACGGGTGAGGAACAGGCAGATGACGGAAGCTGGAGAGCAGGGCGCCTTGATACAGTCTACCCATACAACCAGCATTTTGCCCGTTTCCTTCAGGCAGGTGTCAGGGGGACTCCAGAGGCTCCCAAAGAATAGCTGAGGAGGGTGAATGGGTAAGGAGGGCTTTTCAGCCCCTGGCTTTGATTCTGGACTGTATTCCTTCCACCCGGCCCTCTTTGATGAGCTCTACACTTGCAGAGCCCACAGCTTCCTGGATCTCCACAGGTCCCTCTCACTAGGCAGGTCTGAAACTCCCTTCCCACTCACCTGCTCCTCCTCCTGCCCTGCCCCTCTCAGCTCCCTACTCTAGGAGCCTCACCACCACCTAGGCAAGGGACCTCATTCCCTCCTCCTCCCATATCCAATCAGCCACCAAGTCTGGTCGATTCAGCTCATGAGTAATCTGTTACAGCCGTGCATTATGCCTCATCCCCATTGCACCTGCTCCAGCCCAGTGATGGCCTCTTCCAGCACTGACCACGTGCAGGGCATTGTGTTTACTGTTTTATAGACATCATCTTTTAGTCCTCAGAACAATCCCTACCTGCAAATGAGGATACTGAGGCTCAGAGAGGTGAAGTAACTTGCCCTAGGTCACACATTGCACCGGGCAGAGCCAGACTCGGGCAGTCCAACCGCAGAGCCCGCATGCCTCATCACTACTTTGCACTGCCTCCCTGGTCACTGCACTCAGACTTGCCTTCCTCGCCCTTCCTAGGTGATGCCACAGAACCTCGGATTCAGTCCACAACATGTGCTGCAAGGAAAGGTACAGCCAGCAACGCTGCTGTACACTAAAGATCTAACTGAGCAGATACGGGCCTTCCATACCGCAGAGTCTAATGGAATTTTCTTTTGTCTCCCTATCACACAAATCTGGTTGGGCCTCCCTACCCAGCACAGCATCTGGCATAAAGCAGGTGCTTAGTGATTATGGGTGGAAATGAAATGAATGGGAACTGTGGGAAGTCAGCTGGTGCCCACTGAGGGTCTACACCCAGGCAGGGTGGAACGGATGGGGGTGGTTTTCAGTTTTGTTTTTAAATATTTTATTTATTTATTTTTTAGAGAGAAGGGAAGGGAGGGAGAAAGAGAGGGAGAGAAACATCAATGTGTGGTTGCCTCCCATGTGTCCCCTGCTGGAAACCTAGCCTGCAACCCAGGCATGTGCCCTCACTGGGAATCAAACCGGCAACCCTTTGGTTCACAGGCCCGCACTCAACCCACTGAGCTATACCAGTCTTAGCTTTCAGTTTTTTCATGGCATTTTATTCCATTTCCCTCCCTCCTTGCTGCTTCTTTGCCTCCACTCTTTTCTCCCTTTGTCTGCTGCTGCAGACTTTGTTCACAGACACGGCTATGTCATTTGAGGTTGATTGGTAGAATGGACAGTGGGAGGTTGGAGGAAGTTTTAACTAACAGGCCGCCAGTGGGCCAGGCTTCCTGCAGAAAGCGCCAGCTTGGAGACCAGAGAGTGTAAGGTCTCTGCCTGGTACCTGGGCCGCTGAAGCCTCAGAGAGCTCCCCTGGGACTCTACCTTGACCGTGTCTGGTTGACATGAAGAGGGACTGAGAAGAGAAGACAGATGCCATCCTGGGGGCTCTACCTTTTGGCTCTGGAAGGCTCAAGGTCCCATGATGCTTGCCCAAGCTCCTTTCCCCCAGAATGGTTCCAGTTCAGTTCTCCCACCTCCTTCCTGCCCATTCCTGGGGTGGGGGCAGAGACCGGGGGCTGGAATGCTGATGGGCACTGAGCCAAACCTCCCTAGGACTGGCAGGTCACAGCCAGTCACTCAGGAGCCACTTGTGACAAGTGGTGGAGCAGGGAAGCAGAGGAGAGGCAGGCTCCTGCCTTCTCCGGGTGGGGTAGGTGAGCAAGCTAGAAGGAGGGTCATGAAGGCTAGACAGGGCCGGGGACCAGTGGGGAGATGACCAAGGCAAGCGCAGGGATCCCACACTTTCCTGGAGGCACATTCTTTGGGCTGGTGCTCAGGCTACCCCGGTGCGAGAGTGGCAAGGAAACAATCATTGAGCAGGCCTGTGGGGGTGGCCACTGGCCACAGGGAAGGAGAGGCAGGGAGAGCCGCAGAGAAGGCAGGAGCTGTGCTAAAGGAAGGGGAACAGGCCTGCCTACCAGGGAAATTTGGTGTTACACGAACAAATGTGCATAAACTAGTAGCTGAAATCTCCCACCAGCTGCTGCGTTTTAAGGTGCGTATGTGTGTGTGTTCCAAATACCCAGGAGACACTGCTTCTGACCTTGAGTGATCCATCTTCTAAAATGGTGGCTCTAGTCTGGCTGTGGCCACTTCTCAGGCTCGGAGTGTCCTTTCCTCTCAGTTCTGCACCCATGCCCCAGCTTCTGGTCTGCACTAGCCTTTCCCCAGCTACACCAGCCCCTGGCCACCACCCACACTACCTCCTCTCCCTTCCCTCTCCCCTTTCCAGCCTTTCCAAACCTGCATCTCAAACACTCCCATCTTCCCACCTATCCTGGGCAGCCTTTGCTCAGGACTCAAAGCATCTGCAGTCTGACCGCATGCTTCAGAGACTTGGCAGGCAGCTACCGGGGCTGGAGAGGGGTCCCAGTAGAGCCCCAGCCCCTGTTCATAGAGGCCCAGTTCTGTCTGGATCCAGAGCACTGCCGAAGAAGGGACACGAACGTGGGTAATCAGGAGAGCAGGCGAGGGGAGAGGCCCCTTCCTAGCATCAGGGCAGACCCTCATCCTGCCCCTAAAGCCCACTCAGGAAGTGCTGGGGCCACAGAGGAAACCAAACATTCAAAGACTTCCAGGCACCAGACCCACTGCCCGTTTCCTCCCTCCAGAGAGGACACTGTAAAAGCTCAGGGAAAGCTGCAAAGATGGGGTCCAGAGAGGCAAGTGGAGAGAAATGGGGTGCAGAGAGGGAAATGGGAAGGAGAGGAAAGTCTGCAGTTGCGAGGTGTCAGTTTTTCCCTCCCTGAGGAGAGGCAGCACCTGCTGCTCAGATGTCAGATGTCCCAGCCCAGGTGTCTGGGAAGTCCTTCCTGCTCTTGGCTGCCCCTCCAAGCAGAGGCCTGGAAAGTCCCGAATGTCCTTTTAATCTCCCCTGAGGCTTCCGTTCTCCCCTGGCCGGCTGGCCGCAGGCTCCTCAGGCCTTAGCCAAAGGTCCTTGCTGGGGCCCGGGGAGCCAGCCAAAGCAGCGGAGACCCCGGCCCGGCTCTTCTTCCCTGAGAGAGCCACAGCTTGTGCCAGGGGTCCCCATATTTCCTTGCCAAATGTCTGAACTCTCCACCACTGAAATCAAATAATTGTCCAGTTATTATGAGCGATCCCTCCTCCGAGAGAGCGTGGGCTCCCGGGGGGAGGAACTAGCCCTGCTTGGCTCCAGGCTCACAAGTTGCATAGTTGGCACCCAGGACACAGAAGGCCCTCGGGAAAAGTTTCTTGAGTTAAATAGGCAAACCAGTCTCCCCTCTTCTACCCCAGGTCCTCTTCAGCTCCCTCATGCCCCCGCCCCCATCTGTCTTTCTTCTTGGTACCTTTCCACACAGTTCTGGACCGATCTCCATGCCTCACTGCCTCCGTCCATCCTCCTCTTCCTCCTGGAAGCACCTCAGATGTGGCCACTTGGACTTCTCTAGGGTGTGACTGTTGGGTCCCACGCCCTGGACTGGGCATAGGTGACAACCTGAACTCTAGTCCCCTTACTTCACCCAGTGCTCTTGCAGCAGGACCAGAGGAGGACCCGTGTCCATTGGTTAAGCTCTGTGGTTAACTTTCTCGTTCAATAAATCACACCCAAACTTCAGATGTAAATGGCAAATATGTACTAATCCCCGTGCCAGGCTTTGCCCTTCAGAAGGAGTTAGTGCCCTCCCCTCCTGCCCTCAGGTATAGTGTTCTCTCACACCCCACTGCACCAGGTGCAAGGCCATGCAGCACTTAATTGCAGACTTCACCTCACCCTTCTCTCTCTCTTTCCCCCCACCCCTCACTCAACAACAAACTCACCGTGAAAGTGAAAAGAGAGTTGGAGTAGGTACCTTGACTGGGGAGCTGAGGTCAGGACGTGCAGGTCGCCAGAGAACACTAGGAGAGGCAGGCAGGCCTGGGCCCCTCCACGCTGCCTCCCAAATGCCACTGCAGCTGTGGTGACACACGCATTTCCCCTCCCCGTGCTGCTTCTCACCCTGCCTCAGATACTCGTTAGGCTCCTGAAGACTGAGACTTGTTGCTTCCACTCAGCATCTTCTCACTTAGCCTCTTCTCACTCAGCATCCTGCCCTCTGTGTGGACTTCCTGGCTGTCAGCGGGGAGGCAGAGGAAGTGGTCTCAGTGAGAAGCCAGGTGCTGAGCAGTTTCACTCTAGCCCTGAAAAGTAAAGACATTCCCTTTTAGGGTCAGAAGGCAGCCACAGCCCTGGGGGGCAGCACTGAGGAGCCAAGGCGACCCTCTGGATCTGAGCCCTGGATTCGGGATGCCTTCCTGCAGCCTGGGCGGCTAGGATGCTCATGATGGGGCCAGGTCCTCCTCCTTCCCTCTAAAACAGTTATTTCTGCTCTGTGGTCTGTAAGCCTGACCTCAGGAGGTTGAATCTGCCGGAGGGGGGCCAAGGTGTGGTGGGGACAGGGGATCCACCTCTGTGTCAGACAGAGCCTCAGGCTGCCTTAAAGAGAGCCCGAGACTTGAACTCCACAGAGCTGGGAGTGCGCAAGGGGACCATGTAAGGTCTGAGGAGAATCCTGTGGAACTCACCACCTGAGTTGATACACAGATTTTAGCTCAACTTTGCAAAGTGAGGTCTCAATTCAGAGGTTGGGGAAGGCTGCCCCCTAGAGCCAGGATCAAATAATTCTTTATGGACAGCCAGCCCTTTTCTTGATTCATTGCACAGATATTTATTGAGTTCACCCTATGCACATGGCATTACACTAGATACTGGGAATGCAGAAGTGATCAAAGCATGACATTGGGTGACTAACCGTCATGCTTTGCCCTAGGCTGATGGGTTTTCTAGGACATGGGACTTTTAGTGGTAAAACCAGGACAGCCATGGAAGTTGGTCCCTAACAGATAAAGCCCCTGCCCTCATGGAAGTTATGTTCTGATGGGGTGACAGGGTCATGGGTGGAAAGGATAAACAAATGCATAAGACCATTTCACATAGTATAAGTGCTATGGGAAATAAGTCAGGTGAGGGATCATACCTTCAGTTAAAACAGGGTTGCCTCTCTGAGGTAACATTTGAGCTGAGACCAGAGTGGTGAGTGATTGATCTAAGGAGCATTCAGAGAAGAGCTTCCCAGGCACAAAGCACAAAGGCTCTGAGGCAGGAACAAACAGGGCACATCCGAGAAGCAGAAAGGCCAGTGAGCCAGAAATGAAATGAGCAGGGCTGAGACCAGCTGGAGGTGGCGAGGCCCTGAGCAGTCTGCCCCACTCGCTGTGGGAAGATATTGGAGGGGTTGCAGCAGGGAAGCACCATGCTCTGGTTGTTATTTTTAAAGACCACACCAGCTGCTGGGTGGAGAATGGATTGGAGGGGAAAGAACGAGCAGAGGAAGGCCAGTCAGGAGGCTGTGGCAGGGGACGATGGAGGTTTTGGCAGTGGCTGGACTAGGGTGTTGGCAGAGGGATGGAAAGAAAGGACAGGGCAAACCAAACTGTACTTGCTAACAAATTGGAGGCAGGGGGTGAAGCAAAGGGAGGACTTGGTGATGACGCCAAGGTTTGGAGCTGGAGCCCGAGAAAACAGACGTGCCCCAGATGATGATGTCCTGCTGGGTGGTGATTAAGGAGCAGAGAGGAGGAAGCCCTGACAAATCTAATCAGCTGGCATAGAGCTTAGTGGGGGTGACCTTGCCATAGCGTCGTGGGAGAAGAGAGGTGTGCGGAATGTGTCTGCTTGGGGGAACGAGGAAGAAATGTCTTAGGAGGCAAGGTCCCTGGAGGTGGGAGTGAGGAATCTGTCTGAATATTGGTGGGACCCAATTCGAAAGTGATGTCAGAGGGGTTGATAGTTCAGACAGATTAGCTGTATAGGATGTGTTTACATGACCTGAAGTGGAATGAGGAGGGTGTACTGGATAATAAGTTTAGCTACAACAAACAACCCTGAAATCTCAGCAACGCAGCCCAACAAAGGTGCATCTCTCACTCATGTTACCGTCCGATGAGGGTCTGGGGGATGGAGGAGGTAGTTCTGATTCATTTATTCATTCATTCATTCATTCAACATAATTTATCACTGCTGTCTTCAACATGTGGCCTCTGAAGTCCTCACGGAATAGGAAGAAGGAACGGAGGCTATGTGGGAGGTTTCTGTGGACCCAGGAGCCTGGTGATGGTGCACATTGCTTCTGCTTTGACTCCATTGCTCAGAACTTGATCCCATGACCTTGATCTGGCTGCAAGGAATGTGGGAAGTGTTCAAAGTTCAGATTTGGAAGGTCACGTGTCAGAAGAAGAGCTGCTGACGGTGAGCATGAGCAGTCTCTGCTGCAGGCAGGGAACGTGGCTGTCTGTCCTGGAGGGCGGGGCAGGCAGTGGTATCTAGTTTGGGTTGGCATGGGAGTGTGCTTCTGAAAGTACCTTGGAAAAGAAGCTTCTGTGGGAGAAAGTATATAGGGTGCGTGCACACCCATGGGCTCCCAGGTCCATAATGCTTCCATTCTTATCCATTCTCATGGCCTTCCTCCAGGAAAAATCTCAATTAACTCACACCTTACCACTGAAATAACCTTGTGAATGCTCTCTCTGCTACAATTTTCTTTCTCATCAAATCTAACCTGGATACCACAGTCTAACTCATTTTCCCAAGACATGGCTTACATCATGCTACTCCTGCTTAATAATGATGATAGTAACAATTTCAACAACAGCAATAAAATTTTGTTGAGTTACTGTGGTGAGTGGTTTAACTGCAGAAACTCAATATACCTTAACCATTATAACAAGCCTGTGAGGCATCGTCATCATTCTCATTATACAGATGGTGCAACAGGGGCTCTGAGTGGTTCCCGTGCTGAATACAATAGCCACTAGCCATGTGTAGTTATTTTCATTAAAATTAAAAAAAAATTAGCCCTGGCTGGTATAGCTCAGTGGATTGAGTGCAAGCCTGCAAAGGAAAGGGTCGCTGGTTCGATTCCCAGTCAGGGCACATGCCTGAGTTGCAGGCCAGGTCTCTGGTGGGGGGGTGCATGAGAGGCAACCATGTATTGATGTTTCTCTCCCTCTCTTTCTCCTTCCCTTCCCCCCCTCTAAAAATAAATAAATAAAATCTTTAAAACAATTAAAAATTCGGATAGCCACATATCAAATACTCAGTAACCACAGGTGACCACTACCATTTTGGACATCACAGATACAGACAAACTTTTTTCCTGGTAGAAAGTTCTACTGAATTAGGGGCTCAGGGTCACAGAATAAGTGGTAACCCTATCTGATTATGAAATCCTTCAGCAGTTAAGAAAAAGTTCCCACAGTTAAGAAAAAGTTTCAGCGTCCTCTTAACCTTCTTGTACAACCTGGGTCCAAGCTACTGTTACATAATTATTCCCTCGTTATTTTCTTACACAATCTCATGCTCTAGCACCAGTTTGCTCCCTACTCTTCAACACTCCTAATATGTCCATTCATAATATTTTTGCTCTCCTCCTTTCTGTCTGCCAAGCTAATTAATTCCTACCTGACCTTTAAGGTTCAAACAGCTCAAGCATCTCCTGAATCAGCTCCCTTGTCTCCAGTCTCACTGCTTCAGCCTAAAGCACCTTTCAGACCCCCCTCATCATCTCCTGCCACAGCAGCTATTCTGCGGCTACTAATCATACCTGTGGACATTTACTGAGCACCTACTATGTGCGGGGCACTCTTCTAAACATCATGTTTTCATCACACTTGAAGCAGATATCACTGCTGCCCTCACGTTACAGGTGGGGTAACTAAAGCACAGGGAGGTGAAGGACATGTCTCTCTGCTGTCTGGTCTTTCATTTGCCTCTTCGCCCTCACACGATTACTCTGGCCACATTTCTAGAACACAGGACTGCTACTTCCTTCCCTCCCCTGGCTCCACAGGGGGGGGACAGCCTTCTTAGCCGAGTATTCAAAGCCTTTTATGTTGAGAACCTGCCTAATTTCAAAACCCACCGCTCCACCCACAGACCACAAACTACTTACAAATTCCCAACCTGACACGTTATTTCTTGCCTCCGTGCTGTCTGTGCACATGATGTTCCCCCTACCTGCAGTGGAATCCCAGCTGGCCGGCTCTGAAGCCATCCACGGCAGTGCACTCTGTACCTTTGGGCTTGCTCCCACCTCTGAGTGCCCAGCGCTCACTCTCTCCCTCAGCGGCTCCCAGGGAAGGGCTGGGTTCTGACTCACCACATTAAAATCACTTCTATATATATATAAACTGATTAAAATATATATACTTCCAAGATTCAAATGTAATGGACTAGGAACGGAGTCTGGGCTCTTTTCTTTTTTAAGAAGCCCCCAGACCATTCTGAAATGAGGCTAAGGGGGTTTATTTACACTGGTTTATATCACTCCTTTGGCAGTGAATTAATCATGCCCTGCCTAGACTTCATGTGCATGATTGTTATTTAACGTTTACCTTAATTCACTCGCATTCATTTATCAAAAACAAAAACAAAAACATTTATTAATTTACTAAGTGACTACTGTGTGCCCGGCGCTCACTGGGGTGTTGGTGTGGAGGAAAGCAGTACCTTCCTGGCTCGTGGAGATTAGTCCCAGAAGGGCATAGCAGGCAGAATAATGCTCCCCGCCACCCCAGGTGTCCACGTACTCGTCCCCAGAACTTGTGAGTATATTACTTTACATGGCAAAAAAGATTTTGCCGATGTGATTAAGAATTTTGACATGGGAAATTATTTGGGATCATCCAGATTCTTAATCACCAGCGTCCTTCTGAGGGACAAGGGGGAGGGAGCAGAGTCAGTGAGCAAGGCAGAGGTGTGACGCCAGCAGCAGCGGAGGTCCAACAACGTGATGCAGTTAGCTCTAAAGATGAAGGAATGTGGTTGGCTCGAGGCGGTGGGAAAAGGCAAGGAAGCAGCTTTTCCCCTGGAGCATCCAGGGGGGCAGTCCTGCCGTCCTTTTCATATGAGCCCAGGGAGACCCACTTTTGGGTCTACAGAACCATAAGATCATCAACGTGAGTTAGTGTGAGCCATCAAATTCATGATAATTGGTTGTAGCTGCAAAAAGAAATGAACGCACGGAATACTCACAACTTATTCTGTGAGGGTAGGTATGTGATGGGCCCCCACAGCTTAGATTCCAAGTGCTTTGAGGACTCCGTGTCAGATGGGGCTTTCCCTCCCAGCTCCAGGCAGGAAGCTGGACCTTCACCGGGAGCTCAATATATCCCTGCTATAGTTTCCACTCTCTGGAATCATCTGATTCTGAGGGTGGAGGTGATGTGTGGTAGGGGTTTGGGATGGAGGGGGGATGAGGCTTGTGGAAATGAAAGGAAAGGGGAGCTGTCAGTGAGGGTCAGGTATTTAAGGTTAGAAGGTGACGGTGGCAAGGATCCTCAAACTTCAGTGTGAAGTACCTTCTGAGGGTGCTTAACGGAAGTCTGGGAGGGAACCTGGCTGATAGGGACAGGGTGGAAGGAGGAATCATACTCACTGGTACTTTCACGTTTCTTATGTTTTGATTTTTATGTTTTAATTTTTAACAAAAAAATTTAAATCTCAAAGTTTAAACGAGAATGTGTCTCCTATTCAGAGATTAAATTTTAAAAGGAGTCACCGCAGCTGGCTTCTATAAACATGTATTGCCATGCCTCTCCAATGTCCAAATATTCGGATATGGTAGGTCTCAAGGTAAGCCCGGGATCTGCCTTTTTAACCGGTATTCCCCTGCGGATCAGACAGCCCAGCGACCTCGCGGTGCCTAACTCCCGGCGTGCCGTCTGCTGCTCCGGGCGCGGGGCGGCCTCCGGCCGAGAGGGGCGCTGTGCCCGCGGCGCGGGGGGCGGGCCTGGGCGGAGCACCGGGCAGCCGGCGGCTCCCGGCTTCGGCTCCGGATCGTGGCCCTGCACCTGTGACTCTCCGCGGCGCTCGCCCTCTCGCCCAGAGCCCGCAGCCCATGGCCCCGTCTCGCCTGCAGCTCGGCCTCCGCGCCGCCTACTCCGGCCTCAGCTCTGTGGCCGGCTTCTCCATCTTCCTCGTCTGGACGGTAGTCTACAGCCAGCCGGGGACAGCGGCTATGGGCGGACTCGCAGGTACCCAGAGGCGTGGGTAGCGCTGGGGGCCCGGTCGCGGGGGCGTGAGGAAGCGTTCTGCTTCCGAGGCTCCTCACGGGCGGCGCTTCCCCTGGGAGCAGGTGGGGTGTTTACCCAAAAACGTCCATCGGCAGCTCGGGCCTGTCGTGGCCCGAGCATTCTCCAGGTGCCACTGGCACCCGATGCACCCCGAGCCCCGGCACGACCCCGGGTGTGGACGTCCGGTCTCAGAGGTTTGCACACGCCACACCTGCGGGGTCGCAGCCGCCCGCTGCCCTATGACAGCCTCTTCCCTGCGCTAAGTGTGAAACCCCCCAAACACACATACACCTGTTCTGGAGGGTCCCGCCCCTCAAGTGCTTCTTCCTTGGGGGCTAGGTGAGGGCAGAGGAGGGTAAGTGGAAAGGAGGGCTGGGGGTGCCTGGGGAAGCCCACCTGTCTCCTTCTAGTGTGGACCGCACCCCAGCATAGTCCTCAGTGGAGACCTGGAGGAACACTCTAGGGATCTGATGGAAACTGGACATTTTTTTCCCCACCATGTTGGTGTCTCTGCCACCCTTGTGCTGTGGCTCCTCTACCAATCTGCTAAACAACCCGCCTTGCCACCTGCACGCCCCCACCCCGCACCTGGCCCCCCTTTCTGTGCCTCAAGGAGGGAAGAAGGGGAGGCAAGGACCAGAGTGAGAACAGCAGTGCGCAGGTGGGAAGCTAGGTGCTCATCAATGATCTGTACTCGCTGTTCACCGTCTGGACATTTCATTAGCCTCTCTGGGTTGTAGAACTGGTGTGAAGATGGAACACACTCTTTCTGCTTGCTAACTTTTTTTTTAATGCTTTCTATGTGTCAGGCACTGTGTTAAGCAATCTGCTTCCATCCTCATTTAATCCTGACTTTAATCCTATGAAGTTGACATTATTATTGTGCCCAAGTTACATATAAAGCTTAAACTGAGGCTTAGAGTAAATAAATAGCTTGCCAGGTTACACAGCTCCATGAAATAGTATGTGTGGGAAACACACTTTGAGGGAAAAAATGCATGTCAAGATAATGCTTTTACATATGATGATCTTATTCCATAACTAAAATCCTCTGCCCCATGAGCCTTAGATGGACTAATGACATATTTACTCATTGCCCCTGAGCAGCTTACTGAGAGCCGTCCCTGGGTAGAGAAAGAATGGGAGGTCAGTGTTGAGCATTCTGCCTTATAAGGGGGCGTACATAGCCACAGCCTAAGCAGTGCCAAGCGGAGCACCGGGGAGTCACCAAGGAACGGGGAGGGGTGCCCTGGCCGGGCTACTCTTGTGCCTGCCTGGATGTCCCACCACCTGTGGCTATCTGTCCTCTCTGGGGGCAGCCAGGCCCCCTCTGCTCACCCATCCACAGACCCCTGACTCCTCTCCCCCGCCACTCCTGCACCTTCACCGTCTACCGTGTTTCTCCTGGTTCTCTTCTCCTGACAGTTTGTTCCTGTTTCTTGTCCTCCCTGCTGCTGTCCCCTCAGAAAGGTGGTGTCTTCAGGCCAGACCCTGTGTGGTACTGATAAGGCCTGAAATGAGGGGCCGGTTGGAGGGGGGGTGCGAGGGCCGTCCCTGGGATCGGAGTCGGCCAGGCACAGTGAGCCCAAGCTGTCTGTGTGGCCTTGGGCCCTTCAAATCCTCCTGGGCCTCAGTTTCCTTATCTCCAAGGAGTGGGAGGAGATGCCAGTGAAGGAAATGATCTCAGAGACCCTCCCCCCCTTTAGGTATGAAATGTTGCAATTTTGTGTCCTCTCTTATTCATGTCACAGCTGCCTGTTGGAGGGCCATGAAATAGCCCTCTGGCTTGTGCTCCAGGGAGTCCTGGGATTTTCCTATGACCCAAGTTCTGCCCTCTCCATTGCTGCCTCTGAGGCAGGCCAGCTGTGGAGGTGCCTGCAGGGAGAGGCGCTAGAGCAGCAACCAGCTGGGGCAGGGGCCTGGGGCCTCCCTGACACTCTGGTTTTGGACATCCAGGAGGTGGCCATGGAAGAGCCCAAGCTGCCGAGTGGTGGTGGTGGAGGGGGAGGAGGGCAAGGGAGGGCCTGCCAGGCCAGGGCTATGCACGCGCCCTCTCCACCCTGAGTGGGCTCTGAGAGTCTGTAGCCAGTCAGACTTCTTCCTCTTTTGGGGGTGAAACATCAGCAGATTTACTGATTTGTAAGCACCCACTCTGACTTGGCATTTTTTAGCTCAGAAACTGCTGAGTCACCAGAAGGCAGCCCTAGTGTGTTCCTTGTCCCTGAGTACCAGACAGTGGCCGGGGAGGGTGCTGGTTTCTGGGTCAGGGTGAGCCTGCAGCCCCTGGGTCCAGTGGGAAGAGTGTTCACAGGTGGAGTTCTGCTCTCTCCCATCCTAGTGGCATCTGGGAAGAAGAAGCTTGGAGGAAAGGCAGTTGCAGAAGAAATCGTTTTGCTGTGGGAGCCCTGGGGAAACACACAATTTTGATCTACATCTAGCAGACAAGGAAAGAGACAAAGAATAGAAAAGTGGCCCCAGGAGTCTAAATGGCTCTGGGTTCTTCCCACAGGAGCCGAGCAGTGAGCTAGAGGACAGCTGGGGCTCTGGACCCCGCTTTTCTCGGGGGCAGGGATGGAGGGCAGGGTGCAAGAACATAGTAGGGCCCAGGCCCAGCGTCCCACTTGTCTGCATTTCCCTCTGAGCTCCCCGGACACCTCCTGTCTCCTCACCTCCAACTGAGCTGCTGGGGACACTTCCACTTGCCCTTGGCCTATTTATGAGCCCAGAGTGGAGCAGCTGGGAGGCGTGAGGGGTGAGGTCTGGCATGGACATGTGGGGTGGGAGGCCTGGGAACCTGTCCATTCTGTCCTGAATTGCGCAGACCAGGCGTCCTGGTGCCCAGAGTGTCCTAGGGGAGGGCTCAGGCCTGAGAGACAGTTAGTTGCCTCCTGTTTCAGGGGACCAGTGAGCACCTTTGGGTGGACTTAGTGGGGAGGCTTCTCTTCCACGGAAAGTGGTGAGAGCCAGGGTGGGTGAGAACAGGCCTGCCTCCAGACTTGGCTCGTGTTTCTCTGAGGTGCTGCCTACGTGCAGGCGAAGTGAGAGGTAGGGAAGGTTGTGCCTGCTTATTAACGAAGAACTGGGACCTGAAACACCTCATATATCCACCCTCCTCGTCCTCCTGCTCAGCCCTTTTTGGTATGTGGGTGTATGTGGGGTGGGTGTTTTGGGGACACTGCTTTTGGAGTGTGGCCAGCGGACTAAGAGAGGCATTTCCATAGGCCCCTATTTCAGCATTTCCTAGCCCAGAAATTGCTGAGTCACAGAGGAATTGCTCTGACCTCTTTATTTTTCTCCTGAGCTAGCTTCCAGAATCTCTGAGTGGCAAAGGATCTTAGAACTCAGCTACTCTAGTCCCCCTGCCCCCCCATGGCTTATTAAGGAGACAGAGGGTAAGTGAGGCTGTCCCAGACAGATGCCCGGCTGACTGTTCCTCAAAGGCACTCAGTAACAATGTCTCCTTCTTAGGGCCCTTTACAAAACCAGATGTCTCCCCCAGATGAACACTTAGGACGTGTGGGTGGAGATAGGGAAAGACTCTGGGAAGGATGGCTGGCCCATACTCCAGATCCCGCCAGGGACGATGCAGGCTGAAGATGTGGTGTTGCTACCCTGTCCTCCTCTGGCCTGCTCCCACTTTCTGCCTCAGCCGGAATGGAGAGAGGCTTGTTCGGGCTCATCCTGATTTCGGGGGTGGAGGGACCCACGTTCCAGGCTCTCAAACCCTGAGGAAGGCTGGGGTAGACAGGGGCAGAGCTGGGCGAGGGTGGGTGACACGGGGTGGGAGGGAGGCTGCAGGGGTTGGCAGGGCTGCACCCTCACTGGGGTGGAACCCTGAGTCGCCCAGTTTCCATGCTGGCAGGACCCTTGGACTTGCCCCTGTTTAGACTTGAAACAGTAAGGCTCTGAGAGGTCACGAACGGCACAGCAGTGCCAGGCCCCAGGCTTCCTGGCTTGCAGTCTCGTGGTTTGTGTCCCTTGCCAGGCTGCCTGAATTGTGACAACATCTCAGCTGGTAACCAGAGCATAGTTCCGTGACGATGCTCCCCTCTGCCTTTTGTTTTCCCTAACTTAAAAAATTATGAAATATTTTGGGCATGTGAAAAAGGATGGATGATTTAACAAACGCCCTTACACACCCCACCCAGCCTAAGAAATAAAACATCGTAGGTTCATTCGAAGCACTGGTCTCACCCCCACCTCTCTGCCGACTTCCCTTTCTTCTCTTTCTTGCTACAGATAACAAACCACTTTCTCCGACAGATGCCCAGCCTTCCTGTGCGCATGTGCGCAGGTCTCCTGACTGCTCCGACCCCCATCTGTGTGGGCCTCAGCCACTAGGCTGGAAGCTGGCCCGCCGCTGTCCTCATTCCTCTCTTACGGACACCCTGCAGGCCTGTCACACACCCTTGACAGTGGAATTGATATTTGTTCCACTCCTTGGGCTGTGTGGCAGGCACAGCCTGGCACAGAGGGTGCTCATTGTATTGGCTGAGCAGCAGCTGGCCTTGTAGGGGAAGCACCCAGCCAGGCCCAGAGGGTGGGCCCAGGAAAGGCTGGGGATGTCTGGCCTGCCCTTCGCTGCAAACTGGAGGGCGAGACATGGAGTGTGGCCTTGAGCAGGGCGATCTTGAAGCTCCAAGGCTGGGGCTCCGTGGGCCAGGGGGAGGGACATCAGAGTGGGAGGACTGCTCCCCACATGTGCGGCCCTCAGGGTAGATTGAGGGGAGACCCTGGAAGTGAAGGCTGGATTGCAGCAGTCCTCAAACTTCACAATGTCAGGGCCTCCTTACACTCTTGAAAAGTAGTGAAACACCAAGAGAATTTTGTTTATATGGGTTATATCTGTTGATATGTGCCATGTTAGAAATTAAAGCTCAGAACATTTTTAAGCATTTAAAAGTAATATTAAAAATAACATTGATGCTCTGGCTGGTGTGGCTCAGTGGATTGAGTGCCAGCCTGTGAACCAAAGGGTTGCTGGTTTGATTCCCAGTTGGGAATCGAAGGCACATGTCTGGTTGCGGGCCAGGTCCCCAGGACGGGGTGGCACATGAGAGGCAACCACACATTGATGTTTCTCTCTCTTTCTCCCTTCCCTTCTCTCTAAAAATAAATAAAAATTAAAAAAAAAACCATTGCGTTAACACAAGTAACATTGTGTATGTGCAAATAATCATGTTTTCCCAAACCAAAAGTTAGGGAGAATGGCATGGTTCTATATTTTTGCCAGTCTCTTTAATGTGACTTAATAAAAGGCAGATTCTCTTATCTGCTTTTGCATTCAGGTCCTAGTGAGAGAATGAGACTGAAAAGACTGACACTGTCTTAGCATTTTTATGCAAATAGGTCTGGCTGTGGGACCTAAAGGGCCCCGGGTGTCCCTGGGGTCACTGGCTGCAGGCGGGGAGGAGAGGGGAACTGCTGTGTCTCTCCCCCTGACTAAGCCTGTCCTGCAGGTGTGCTGGCGCTGTGGGTACTGGTGACGCACGTGATGTACATGCAGGATTACTGGAGGACCTGGCTCAAGGGGCTGCGTGGCTTTTTCTTCGTGGGTGTCCTCTTCTCGGCTGTCTCCATTGCCACCTTCTGCACCTTCCTTGTGCTGGCCATCACCGGGCACCAGAGTGAGGGCCGCTTCTGGAGGGGAGGGTGCGGGAGGGCCAGTGTGGGGCTCAGGAGTAGACCAGGACTTGGGTCCAGTTCCACAGCTTACATCCAAGGACTGGGCACATCACTTAACCACCTGTGCCTGGGTTTTCTCACTGTTAAAGTATGTTGAATGAGTGTACCCATCCCCTGAGGTTGGAAGGGTTCAAAGAAATGCTTGAAAAGTGCTGAGTACAATGTACCCTGCAGGTTAATTGCAGCACGATGTAGTGGGATGGGACGGCCCCCTGCTGGCTGCAACCAGCAAGGAAAGAAAGACCTGTGTCCCTGCCCCTAGGGAATCTGATTGTAAAGCCTGGGTTTGGTGACAAAAGGAGCATCATAGATGATACACACCTGTGAGTTGCACTGCCTGCTGCCTGCAGACCCTGAAGTGTCACACGGAGTGTCTCTGTAGGATTGGTTCAGCCTCTGTTGGAGGCTGGAGAGGAGTGGCCCCGGGCTTATGGGATTGGGGCTGGGGAAGAGGGCAAGGCCTCTCGAGTCACAGTCTGGCTTCTCTCCCCTGCAGGCCTCACAGACCCCAACAGCTACTACCTGTCCTGCGTCTGGAGCTTCATTGCCTTCAAGTGGGCCTTCCTGCTCAGCCTCTACGCCCACCGCTACCGGGCTGACTTTGCCGACATCAGCATCCTCAGTGACTTCTGACCCAGTGGGTGAGGTCTCTGTACCCTGGGGTCCTCAGGACCTGGACTCAGCTTCTGAGACATCGGGCACTGCCCCACCCCTGGGGGACCCCAGAACCATGGCAGAAAATACACAGCAGGAAGACTTTGGCCTCCCAGGAAGCTGTCCCGTCTACTTTGGGGGAGACCTGGGTGCAGTAGAAAGGGGCTCTGCCATGTTGCTCCTCATTGGCCTGGCTGGAGGGCAGCTTTTCCAAATGGGTCTATTTCCTTAGCACTCAGTGAGGAATCTTTGTAAGCATGGCCAGAGTACCGGTGAAGGAGCCAAGAGACCTTGACCTATGCCTGGGGCCCGGCGCAGGTGGTTTGTCCCCTGACATTCCAGGAATTCTTCCTCGGGCTGGGGCGGGCACCTGGGAAGGTCAGGTCAAGAAAGGGTCTCCGGTAGAGACCTCAAACCCAGCCCCAGCATCCTATCCTCTTGTTCCCCCAAGGGTCTTGGGCACATGGGCAGAGAATCCGGTGTCCCTGCTGCACCCAGAGCTGCCCTCCCACGAGTGTTGCTAGGCTCAGTCATCTCCTCCACCACCCAAGTCCTCCCTCTCACATGCGGCACCCACGCCTCAGAGCAGGACTCCCCAGTGAGGCCAGACTGAGGGTCTCGGGGAAGGTGCTTCCGCCCCCAGAAGGGCTTCAGGAGGGGGCAGCGAGATGTGGGCTGATGGGCCCCTCAGACCTGTGTCTGCGCACCGCCAGCCCTGCACTCCCACTCCCCCTTCTCACGCCTGCCCCTGGCCACACCCAGGTCACCCAGAACAGCCCCGGCCATGAGATGCCCCCCTACCTAGGGTTTATATCTTTTATCCTCTCCCTTCTGAAGGGCAAAATCTGCTCTCTGCCCATACACTAGCCCAAGGGCTCGCCTGACTCAGAGGGAAGGGACTACTGTTATGTGTCTTTTTATGTTAGATTGCCATTTTGCACGGTCTGCCCCTTTCCCACCTGTGTCACCCCCTCAGCTCTTTGCCTTATCTGTGTCACTGTCACTTTAGCAGAAATACAGCGACCATTTGTACCAGACAGCCTCTAGTGGTTTCTTGGGGCGGGGGGAGGGGTGCTCTGAGAGCAGTGGGCAGGAAGGCTGGTGGTACTGTGGTCTCATCACCTCATGACGCCACTTCCTTAGCTCACATTGTGCCCTGGAGGGCAGGGGAGGGTTGGCGTCCCAGGGACTGGAGACCCTCTCCCTCTGGACCTCTCGGCATGGAGGAACCTGCCGGCTGGGCTCTCCTCTGGCTCTCGGCACAGCCCCGGCCGGGGCGAAGATGCTCACAGGCACAGCCTCGGCCACCCCACGGGATTTAGTGTCTGTCACCCCAGAGGCCAGGCCAGATGGGAAGGGGATAAACCCACTTCCCTTCATCCTCTCCCGGGCTGTGTGGGCTTGGGGCCAAGCTGAGGTATGGAGGCTCTGCCCAGCCAGAGGTGCCCGGCCCACCCAGACCCTTGAAGACCGAGGCAGGAAGCCCCGACCTGCTGCCTCCCCTGCCCTCTCTCTGACGTTCAGTGTGCTCTAAAGAAGTCGTGTTTTACAGCAGGAACCAAACACAGTGTCTATTTCTGGGGCCTTGAACTGGTAAACAGAAGCCCCAAGAGGCGACGATGACATACCTGATCTCCCGCCTGGGACTGCAGCCCAGGAAAGTCGGATTGATACTCCTCAGGGTGACTTAGTGAGCAGGGTCTGAGCGACGATGTATCCCTCCCCACCCCCCAGTGGGCCCTCTGTCTATGGACTCAGCCCAAAGCTGCCGCCTCTTTATTACCCCAGGTGGGGCAGGCGGGGGCACTAGTAGGGTGTGTGAGGAACGGATTCTCCCGCAGGGCCGCTGCCACAAAGGACGAGGAGCTAGAGGGGGGCTGGCCCCTTCGCCTCCACGCTGCCTCAGACGCCACACGCCGTGCTGTGGAGCTGCACGCCCACCACACACCCCTCATCGCCGGGGTACCCTATCACATGCACCTTTAAAGCAAATAAAACATTTATTGTTCAGATTTTTTTCCCCATTTTTTTCTTTTTTACAAAAACATGCATACATACACAGGGTATGGTAGTCGTTGGGAAGACAGAGATGCGCACACACAGACACACTCACACTCACACACACACACTCAAATACTTTCCTTCTTGGCCCCAGGCCCGGACCCCAGGAGCCCTGACTTGGCCAGGGCAGCCTCCCCTCCCCCATGTCTTGCATCTACTCTCCCACCCCCTTTCCCCTTAGCCAAGCTAGTCCTATCGGGGCAGGAGTCAGAGCCGGGGCCAGGGAGACCCCGGGAAGAGAGCGTTCCTGGAGTGCAGTGGCCGGGGGAATCCCTGGGGGTCACACTGCGCTTCTGAGGGGAGATGAGGGTTTGGCACCATTGGATCAGGAAGCACAGGACTCCCAAGAGCACCCATCTGCTCCACCAGGGCACTGAGATGGTCGATGCAGAGTGGCCTCTGGCAGGGGCGGGGACCAGAAGGAAGGCCTACCGGTGACTGCCCTTGAGGGACCGTTGTTTCACTGCCCAGTGGTGGTGGCAGGGGACTAGGGGGAGGGGGGTGCCACGCCGCTTCCACAGTCATCTCAGTAAACAGGCAAAAGGAGCGACTCCTCCTACCCCTCCCCCTCTCCCCAGTGCAGCCCTCAGAGCCTAGGGAGGGCTACCCTGGCTGAGGCCAAGTTCACATTTCTATGTGGAGCCTGGGGCTGTGTGCAAAGTCAGGGGTCTGTGGGCCAAGAATAGTGGTCATGGGTGGGCCCAACTGAGCCAGTCCTCCTCTGTGCAGTCCTGAGGAATGGGGACCCAGCAGGGGCCCGGACCCCGCGGGGGCAGGCTCCATTCTTGCGAGAACCCTACTGGGGCCTGGCCGGCTGCCTCGCCTGCCTCCTCAGGGTCCTCTTTGGTCCCTATCAGACCCAGGGGCCTTCTCGGGCTCCTTGGGGCCACTGTCAAGAGGCTGTTCTCTGGCCACAACTACCTGCCCAGAGGATCTCTGAAGACCCCAGGAGCAGGTTCTGTTGCCAGAGGTGAGAAGAGAACCAGGTCTGATGGGTAGGGTGGGCCGGCAGAACCGTTCCAAAGCCTTAGAGATTCATAGGTTCTTCCTCCTCCGCCAGCTGCTCTGAGGGCCTGGGGGAAGAAAAGCCAGGGGCTGCACAAAGGGCCTCTGCACAGCTTCAGGAAGAGTAAGAAGGCTGGCATGGCTGTGCCAGAGTCTGGGACCCACAAGCTGGGAGGGCACAAGGGGCAGAGAGGCTGCTAGCTGGGGGTCTGGCATTACCTCTCTTCCGCCAAGATGCCCACAGAGAGGGATGCCAGTGCGGTCACTGCCTCTACTTCTGCATCGGCTCCTGGCACCCTGGGCACCCAGGACTCTGGACAGGAGGCCAGGCGCTGCATGCAGCCCCAGTATTTACCTGGAATAAGAAGTCGAGTAAGAAAGAGTGGGGAAAACAAGTCCCTCCAGCTGGCCACACCACACCTTCTAGACCAACACTGAGACTGCATGTCTCAGGCCATAGGTCTGAGAGTAGTAGGTGGATCCTCAGTCTGGGACTGGTACTCTCACCTGCCTCTACCCTCAACACAATGCCGTCCTCAGCTCGGCCCCCACAGCCCTGACAAGGGGGACAGAGCAGATTCCGTGTGGCTATGAGGTGGCCTAGAAGGTGCCCAGCCACTCTCCTAGCCCTTTGGCTGAAAGGTGGCCTCTGAACCATACCCGCAGGAGTGGGCTCCCTAGGAGCACCGCAGGGCCCACTTCTCCATGGACAGTCTGAATCGGAGAGACCTCACAGGTCCTGAGCCCTGGCCTCCTGGAGCACAGGGTTCTACTCACATCAGCCCCAAGCGATGGTCAGTCCCGCACACAGGACAGGGGCAGATGGGAGGAGGGAAGGATGCAGCACTGGGAGAGCTGGCTGTCATCACGGCTGCTCTGCATGGCCATCAGCAAACCAGTCGCCCACCCTGGGCTCCCATGTGGACATGCCCACCCTGTCTATTGTGAGAAGTCAAGTCCATGGTGCACACCCACAGCCTGGCCCAGCATGAGGGCTCCGTATAAAGTTCCAGCAGTGTTTTTATGTTACCTGCGTTCCCCTACTGAGCCCCACCCAGATGTGAGGAAATCTAATTTATTCGTTCCCTAGCATAGATCATGGGTCTTTACGTAAAATGCTCCACAGATGCTGAGCTGAGGAAGAAAATTCAAAGTGCTTTCCAAATGTGGGGTTATTCTAAGGGTTGGGGAAAACAAGTCCCTCCAGCCAGCCGCACCACACCTTCTAGACCGACACTGAGACTGCACGTCTCAGGCCAAAGGCCTGAGAGTAGTGGGTGTGGCCCCCAAAGCAGGCAGAGGTCCGGAGATCCTTGCAGCCAGGAATGAAGGTCAAGGTGGGAACCAGCACGTTTAGCAAGCAAGGCCTGGGTGTAGCCGTTCAGCTGGCCCTGGCCCAGGATGTGGCTGGAAATGGGAGGCCAGTCCTGCCTTGAGGAGGCCTCTCTGGTGGTCCCTGCTGGGTCCATCCAGAGGGCTCTGAGGGTGTCCACTCCTGGGGTGGCTGCCCCACCATTCCGGCTAAGGTAACGTTCAGGAAGCCTACTCCTGGCCAGCCCCAGGGCTCCTGGCCTGGCTGGCTCTGGGGCCCTGGTCACTAGGGACAACCCCCCAGAGGTCCTCCCAAGTCTGGGGTCAGTGGGTGACCCCTCCACACACTCACTGTGCACCCGGATCACAGCTTCCAGGGAGCGGATGGCGTTGAGGTTGGGCTTCTGTTTCCAGGCTTCTTCCGAGAGGGGGTCCACCTCCAGGAGAAAAGACTGCATCAGCCACCAGTCTCACGGACCCACAGCCCAGCTCTCTCACCCCAAGGGCCCTGGCTTTCGGGGCACAGATAGGCATGTGCCTAGGCTCTGCCTAGGGCAGGAAGCGCTGGCTCCACGCTTTAACTGGGGAAGAGGCATCCACTCTGTCCCCCTCATTCCAGGCCTGGCCTCCCCCACGCTACTGGTGAGCCCTTAGCGAGGTACCCCGCTTGTCTGCTCTTTGGGGCATACTGGGAGGGCCGGGCTCCTTGTCCCACAGAGGCATGGAGGGGGGCGAGCAGCTCACCTTGTTGCCCAGAAGAGCAGCCACACAGGCCTCAGAGGCATCACAGATGGCTGTGAGGTCATGGCCACCCTCCAAGGCCAGCACCACTGCACCTCCTGCCAAGCTCATCAGCTGCTGCGTCATGTACCCAAAACCTAGATGGGGGGGCAGTGTGGAGGAAGGAGGCAGTGGGGGTGGAGGAGAGGTGCACCCTCTCTACCTGTTATGTTCTGCTTGCTGTTTCCCTTGTAAATAATGACGCAGATGCAAAACTCCACCTTCCCCAGTGCTTTCACGGGAGTCCCATGTGAGACCTATTAGCATGCCTCACTCAGGGCACAGAGGGGCTAAGGGACTTGCACACGGGTCCACAGCCAGCACGTGGCAGGGCTAGGCCTTGAACCAGGGGCATCGACACCAGCTGGATGCCTTTTTCATGGAGCCACACCATCTTCTCTTTCTGTCCTGCAGGCCCTGTGGCCCCGAAGGCTGAGCGGGCTCCTTCCATTCTGAGAACACTGCTCCTCCCTATCCTCCCCCAGGAGAAACTGCCAGCCCAGCCTGGGAATGACAGTGAGGGTGGGGGAGTCCTGCGGCTGAGCTTCCTGTGTCCCCAGAGTGTGACTCAGTCAAGCCTGCCATGGTGAACAGAGCTGGCCATGAGGAAGGGCCCTGGGCTCACTAGGCTAGGAGAACTCAGGGAATTCCAGGGCCAGCCGCCACACTCCAGTCCTCACACTCATCCCCCTGGGCTGGGCCCTCCTTACATTTGGCGGAAACATGGTAGCCACCCAGTGGGGCCGGGTGACCCTCGGCAGCATCAAACCCAGCGGACACCAGGACCAGGTCTGGAGAGAACTCTCGGGCGATGGGCATCACGACTTTCCTGTGAGGGTGTGAGAAGGAGAGCTCACCACACCGTGCGGGAACGCCGGAG